CTTCATCCGCATTTTCTTTTTGCATTCAATAATGCAAACATATAAACACGCAAACTTGCACATTTATCATATAAGTAGGATACTTACTATATCTTACCGGCCGCGACTTGTTCCGCATAGATGTTTATTCGGAACATACACTGAAAAAGGTAATTTACAGAACTAGTTGAGTAAACAGATGAATAGCCAAATTTTGTTTACTAATAAATAAATTTAGTCACTCTTAACCAACTGTTCTGTTGTATTTTACATTATCATTTCAGTTAATCGAGTTTAGTTAAAAACTATTTAACCATTTTGTTATAAGCTGTCAAATTCGATTTAGATAATCTGTAACATAACAATGGTGTCGATTTTGACGTGATTCTCTAAATCTAAACTTACATTTGACATCAGTGTATCCTTGTCATTCTCTATGCACAATGAAAAGGAGTGACTGATTTTAAATTTAGTTTTAAGTTTATAGAATCATGCCAGTATCGACACCAATGTATTGTTATAATCAAACACACTTGGAGTGATTATTTACATAAAGTTGGCTTAGCTACAACTACTTTGTGGTATTTATTAGCAAGCACAAAAATCGCTATGAATAACTGAAAAGTGTTGTAAACGTTCGCCAAAAAGTTCGGTTACATTACAGATTGCACATCGACATTGATTTAACTTAGTTCTAGTATCACTTTATTTCTCTATTTACGTTTTTTTTTCTTTAGCTTTAAATAATCATGAAATACTTAAATTGCAATAATAAGTACCTATATACCTATTCGTCGCCGCCAATAGTTTGTATTCTGAAAATTACACGTATAATATATACACATACACATATAATATATTTCATAATACATAATAATTTTATGTAAAATTATTCAATCACATTCTATATTATACAGCAATGTAGTATTTAGATAAAAAAAATATTGTTCACACACTATAAATCAATAAAGAAAATATGACCTGACTCAAGCGAGGCTAGGCGAGACGAGTCGAGGCAAGGCAGGTAGTCCCGGTCGGCCGATTTCCACGGAATTTTTCCATTACAGCGACAAATTGAGCACCCACCCCGTAATGTGCTCTGCAGCATATTATTATTTATAATATTTTATGAACACGCAGCCACCCAGCGTTATTACTCCATACCTAGAAAATACCTTGAGCAACACCATTCAAAACGACCTAGATACTCGTACATTTCAACTTATCATTATAAAATACGAATATTCGGACGTTATTTTTATTTGTGTTTTTTTTTGTTATTGTCTTAATTACATATTTGGGACCTTCAAAACTTTTATCAAAAGTTGATGTTTTCTTAATAAAAATATTATTTATCTATGTACTTAGTTAATGTAATAAATAACTAAACTCTTTATAAGTTCGATTGCTCCAAAATCATAAGCTGAATATATAAAGACATTCTCTAACCATTATTTTCCGGTTCCGTTTCAGCCTTTTTTTCAAAGAACTTAAGCAAATTCAAAAGCTTTATGAATGGTAATTGCGTAAAACCTACAACCGGTCGGAGATTTTTAAATGCAACCTTAACAATACTGCGTGACCACTGAAGTGAAATTCGGGAAAGTTTCCTTTGTGTCCGCGCGGCCATCGTTGGTCAGATAATGATGTGGTTCGCGGTGAATACGCGTCTTCACGCTCCACACTCACTGTTTTAATGATTTTATTGTTTGCCAAAGTTTCACTTCATGAAAGCGGTCAAAGGAAACGAAGATGTCCAGTGGTTTCTTTGATGGCAGTAGGTACGAATTCTACTTGAACGCGTCAGCTGTTTTGTGGTAATTCCAGTACCTATCTGATTTATATTATCTAATATGTATATTAGAACAGTGATTTTAAAATATATTCTGATTGTCTTTGTACGCACTAAACCAAACTAACCATAAAACATTTCTCGATATTTTATTTGGGCAATAAAATAATAATAATAAATATTTCCAACACACACCAATTAGCCTAGCCCCAAAGTAAGCACTAGCTTACTTTGGGGCTAGGCTAGGGTAACGGATAGAATACATATACTATACATATATAAGTATATTTATAAAGAAATAAATATTAAACATCCATGACTAGAGTACAAATGCTCATGTTCATCACACTAACATCTGCCCCCACCGGGATTCGAACCCGGGACCTTTCGAGTCGGCGACACCATTAAACCCGGCGTACAAACCACTCGGCCACGGAGGTCGTCAAAACGCAAAAAAGCAATTGTTATGAAATTATATTCTTTTATAGTAGTTATTTAATGAAATAATAAACCTATTCATATTTTTACTAAAGTATATTTATCAATATTTTAGAGTACTAAAACTAAGTATTTTCATTGAAATACTTCTTTCTTAGTTCATTAAATAATTGTGACATAATCAAAATTAAATTTCTGAAACTCACCGCGGTCAATCATCAGGAGCGAGTCCTGTCATGATTTCGCATTTTAATAACTAAATAAGAGCTTTAATTTTATGACAGAAAGGTCTCTATTTGTCCTGTAACTCAATATGTGTATGAATATTCGATTACACACACCGATGGTCAAGTATTTATCAATTAATTTTGAATTTAATAGAGCAAGCATCCCTTTTGACGTGTTAGGACGGAATGTTCGTACTGAATTCTACGCTAATAAACTAGCGAAATGGTAGATAATTACAAAATTTTCCATAGGTAAAATATACGCTGTGTTATAACGTTGATATTTGTTAACGAATAAACGTTAAAATACCACTTCATAAATACTGCTCATTTTCATCAGAACATGTAACGAAATATGTGTTTTAAATTGGTTAATTTCACAGCAATTATTTGAGAGTAGTTTGAAAATGAGAGGGCTTCATAATTTATACTGAAATGAATGTATTAAAATCATTTTCAATATTGTACATGCCTGCAATTGCAATTTACACGGTCGAGTACTAACTTATCCTTATTGAAATTTGTAAAATTTTCGTAGGTATGTCAAATAATTAAAACTACAGAAGTGATAGATAAAATATGTCAAAAATGATATAGCTAGATTAACATGTCATTTCAATTTGTAGTGAAAACTTAAATGTGATTCAATTTCCAATCTCGATGAATGAATGGGTGGAGATTCGTGTGACCCTTGCAATCCGTCTGGCTAATCTACGGAGGGTCGAATTTTGTTTAGTATTCAGAAAAAATACAGATAAGGTCGGCTATAAAAAAAATTACAAAGACCTTAGTAGTAGAATATCTTAGTACGCTTTTAATTATTTACCTATGCTTATACCATTATTCGCCCTTTAGCGGTCTCTGATTATTTTTTATGGGTGAATAATATTTTTCATTTAAGTAAATTGACTCGCTCTGCACTGTAAAATACTAAACGTGTTGATGCACATGGCAGACTCTATTATAAATACTTGAACTGTTAAGACCGTACACATTACATGAGATTATGAATAAGCCTGATAAATAATATTAACAAGTTTATATTTTGGATAATAATCGTTTATATATATTGCTACTTCTGTTATTATACAATGTACTGCGTCCAGTAGGTAACATTCTTTTTCATGGTCAATTTGAAGCGTAACGCAGTTGTCGAAGGAAGGACAACCCCTTACGAATCTAATTTTCGCCTCTTTGTACTTTCATAGGGAGCTATCGGGATACCAATATATTTTGACAGAGGACATCAGATTTTAAATCAGGTTTATATAGGCAGGCAGAGTGCCAGTTGAATCAGTATAATTCCTAATGGCTAACCCTTAACGAAATATAAAAATTATTATGAATTTTATTACCAAAAATTACCATATTATTTTTATGAACGTAAATACTTCCCAAAAATTACTATAGACGGAGAGACCAGATCGTCCCCAATAATAATAACTTCTAAACAAGGGCTGCGTGCGTTTTGATGCCATTCAAATGGAATGTTACCAATAAGCCTATTGCGCGACAAGCAAATGACCAGTTTGGCAGTTTCTTCTCTTCATAATTAAATAAACCAGTACCTAAACAAATCATCTGGAACTTTGACATTTAAAAGGTTGCGAATAACCTTTTTCTGATGAGCCTGTTCTTTCGTTAATTGCTACATTTTCTGAGAATTTTACGCATTATAATTATCAAACAAAATAGAATTTGACGTATGTTTGTTACTCAATCACGCATAAATGCGGCTAGACAGATGATTTGAATGAAATTTGGTACCTGAGCGTGTAGTGTATACGTTTCATGCCTTATTACCTATTTTTTGATATTTCTACAACCTGCAAGGCTTATGTTGAATAAACTCATATTGATTTTAAGGGATGTGGCAAGGGTTGCTTACACCTATTCGAGTGAACGTTTTTTTTTTTGCGTAGCAGCTAAAACTTTTTGGAACCTGAAATATGTTACACTTCAAAAATAATATTACATTGATGTTCTATAAAATGTCTCTCTACAGCTCATAATCATAATATAGGATAGGTGGCTTGCGTTCATAGAAGTCCTATAAGTTCAGCAGTGATCAAAATTGAATTATCTTACTCTTAATTTGTCGTCGCTAAAATTTTGAGTCCAAAGCATTCTATTCAGTTTATTGTACCTAATGTCCGGTAGCTTGTATCTATTTTATTCAAAAGAGTGAAGTTAGTGCCATAGATGTTTTAAGCATAAATATCTACAGTTTTACCTATGTTTGACTTAATATATCTCAAACCAACGCATTTACTACTAAATAGCTATGCCATCGAGTTTCTCGTGACGCTAAGAAACGTGGAAATACCTACTTAAAGATAGTTTTATTTATTTATTTTTGTAGCACGTTAGTGCACTAGTGACACAAACATTGCAGTGTATTGATAAGAAACTTTTGTTAGGAATTCGGATATTCTCTTAATTATATTTCTGGCTAATTGTAACAAACAATCACGGGTACTATTTTTACTCGACTGCATACGCAAGCAGCGCGAAGCGCGGCGCGCAGACAGGGTATTGTATTTAACATTAATATATGTATGTATATTCCTTTATATATACTTGAGACCAAATGCGTGGACTGATTCTGATAACTCATACGTCAATCCATTCGCCTTAATCATGGAAGTGCTACTAATCAACTGGTAGAAATAGCTATTAAACACTCATTATTGAAAAAAAATATCCATTCTAGAATATCTAATGGGTCCCGGCGGTTATAGTAGCTTTGTTCCTTTCCTAAAAAAATTATAGACAAATAGTTTTTTTTTCTCCTATCAGTTTTTATTTAAGGAATTTTTTTAAGCAGCCGGGTTTTTTTATTTTTTTATTTAAATTTATGTACTTTCCTATTCTTTCTATTTTCGATTATTGGAATTAAAATATGACACTAAAGGTCGCATTACGCCCAATGATAATCTTTAAACTTTATACAAGTTCATTGTTTATCGTTTAGTCGCATCTGTACGAGCAGTGTGTAAAGTCATTCCGGCATTAACGCCGACTGACGATGACCAGTCTTCTTCGCATTTATTCAAAGTGAACTATTAGGAACGAAACAAAATGATAAAAATTACAATTGTGATTTGCACAATACTTCAAATATATGTTATGGTAAGTTCTCTTGCAAATAAAATAAAATTAATATAGTATATATACTTAAATATTTTGCGTACGTGCAGACGTACACGTGTTTGTAGTTGGTATTGAATAAGTTTAGGTTAACCTTCCTGCGATTACTTCCGTATTGCTGTATTTTATCCTTCTGTAATTTATCATCTTTGTGTTATGAAATACCATTATCTTTACTCGTAGGGGGGTCATGACATCTACATCATCATTAGGTACGATTGTACAAAATAAAAACTCTAAGTAAACCATATCATGAGAAAAACATATATTCTAATGGGATGAGTGTAAAAATTTGATTATTTATTTAAGAGTACAATTGTATATTTATGGTACAGCGACAGGGTACAAATTATAACTTACACATTATTATAGAAAATTATTCTATTACATAAACTTGCACCCCAATTGATGCTGAACATGACATTTACCTAATTTTAGCTCACAAATTTGAAAAAAAAATTAAATTAATTATGCAATTACAATTAATAAAAGAAATAATTAAATATGTATGTATTAATTAAGAATTATAAATAAAACTAGTTTTTACGGGTTAATGCACGAAACTTTATTTATTTATTGACGTTTCGTAGCCTTTACAGGCTACGTTTGATTCTGACCACGTACCCTGTAAAGGCTACGAAACGTCAATAAATAAATAAAGTTTCGTGCATTAACCCGTAAAAACTAGTTTTATTTAATGAGTGATGTGCGTGAAAACCTAAGAAACAAATAAGAATTATAAATAATAATAAAAATCAATTCAATTATAATTTGCTCCTGCATATTCCTAAGTAGGAGGAGTAGGAAAGGCTAAAGATATCCACGTCTTTGGCTAATTGATTAAGGGGGCCTGTTCATTCTGTATAATGGGTTATTTTAGGTAACATTGTTACTACAAGTTGGTATGGAAAAAAGTTTCTGCACCCTTTTACTTCCTCCCACTTTAAATGAAAAGGGCTCAAAAGATCCTCCACGTCCCAACCAGAGTTTAAAATTTTGTGTGTCGATAAATTCGCTATGTCTCGCATGGATTGAAGGGTGCTCACATTAAAATACTCAAGTCTAGCCTTGAATGTGCCCAACTTACGCCTCATACAGAACTTGGCGCTTTTAAATATCGAAGAAATCGCTATTCTATTTATGTGGATGTTGTAGAATGGCGACCATACCACTGAACAAGATTCGAGTGTACCTACTTCTAATCAGTGCGAAATAAAGGGTTAATATACTCGAAGGTCTTCTAAAAGGTTTTATTATTCTTAATATGAATCCCATGAGCTTATTAGCTTTTGAAACAGTATAGTCATAGTGTCTAGTGAACGATAGTTTGCTGTCCAGTAGTATCCCGAGATCCCTAAGAACGTCGAGTCTGTTTATCATTCATAGTGTAAGTGTTGTATATAGGTCGTTTATTTTTTATTAAAGATATCACTGAACATTTTATATTATACTAGCTGACCCAGCGAACTTAGTACCGCCACAAAAAAATAAGAGTTGGTGGTAGAAAGTTGAAAATTTAGGGATGTATGTATTTTTGTATGATGTAGAGTTGGTGGTAGAAAGTTGAAAATTTAGGGATGTATGTATTTTTGTATGATGTATCATAAAAAAAATATCTAAAATTGAAAAAAAAAATTAGGGTTGGATTACCCTTAACATTTAGGGGGATGAAAAATAGATGTTGTCCGATTCTCAGACTTACCCAATATGCACACAAAATTTCAAGAGAATCGGGAAAGCCGTTTCGGATGAGTTTAACCACAAACACCGCGACACGAGAATTTTATATATTAGATTTAACGGCATGTTGTTATTTAAACACCAGGTAAACAAACGGTTGATGTGACTTTGCAATGTCTTACAATCATCCTTAGATCTTATTGCTCTTTAATTTTTTATTTCATTGGCATTTGCAAAGGCACTTGCTTGAAATCAAGTTGACCAAATCGTTGATAAATAATGCAAACAATAGAGGTCCAAGGTTGGAGCCCTGTGGTACACCGGATCTAAGCGTAAACGGCACAGATTCATATCCGTACACTTTGACGATTTTAGTTCGATTACTCAAGTATTAAGTCAGCAAACGCAGAAGCGAGCCCTTTATGCCGAGGTGGTATGCTTTCCAAATTAAGATTTTGTGATCCACTTTATGAAATGCCTTAGCGAAGTCTGTGTATAGTGAATCAACCTGTATTCGTTTATTGAGAGCGGTGTTCAGGTAATGAACATAACATAATAGATTTGAGGCAGTACAACGTCCCTTGACGAAACCATGCTGTCTGGGGCTAATGACATGTTTCATGTGGTTATTTATGTGCTTATAGAATAAGCTCTCGAAGATTTTAGAAAAACAAGAAAGGATACTAATTGGTATATAATTGGTCGTCCAGATTTATGTATGGGGATTACTTAAGCCGTTTTCCAAGTTGTTGGAAATACACCAGTGCTGAGACTTTTGCTAAATAATATGTGAAGCTATAGAGTCGCCAAGCCATGTTTCACACATGCTTATTAAGTCATAATTACTTATCATTATAGAATTCATAAAATCGAATGTTTTTGTTTTTAATCGTCTTACATTTTAAAAATAAATTGATAATTCATCCATTTAAAATAACATAAAAAAGTGCATAAAATATTATTCATGAAAAGAGACAAAATAGCTAGGTAAAATAACATTATGTCAACGCTAGTAATGTATTCTCATTTTTGACCTAAATAAAAGGAGAAGGGAATTTTGACGCATAAAAATTCACACATTTCCTACCCACACAAATTTGTAAGACAAATTCTTGGCCCTGGTGGCAGCATGAAGAGACTTGTGGACTGGGACGTTGTTGCCGGCTATTCCCAATAGAGAGGAGCAGAGTTTCTCGTTTAGATGAGACTTGTTGGCGTATTACTGCTGAAATTAATTCGTCACGACAACGGGTGCTCCGTAGTTTTGCTATAATATAAATAATAGCTTTCGGTTGACTGCTCTCTTTATAAATGCTGGCTACTCTTGTGCTGCTTAATATGTCAGCGTCATCTATTTCTAAAAAAAAACTTCTGTTATTTTCTTTACAATATATCAACTACTTTGTCATCCTTGTGCTGAGGTACTCCCTGAATCGATGTTGTTGTCTCGTTGCTGCTGCTCTATTATGTTCAAGCGTTCTGACAAAGTTGCTACTGTAGATTTCAGATTGCTGCATATAGTTCCCAGGTTATTATAATCCTTAACGCGTATTATCCTTAATGCGTTAGTGGTTTTGATAATAGGCTTTGGAGATTGCCCCCCTATATTTGTTTCTCGACCTCTGCTTCTGAAATTGCTCTCAACCTCTCGCTGAGGAAGTTCTTCAGATTTCCAAGGGGTACAATACCCTAGCACGAACCAATATCGAATTCGAATAGTGAGTCCAAAATGTCATTGTCAAATGTGTATTGATTTTTAGTTCTCGTTACGTACTTTTTTGGCGCTGCTGTTCAAGTTTCCATACAAAATTAGACATTGACATTTCGGACTCACAAACGTTACGAATTCGATATTGGTTCGTATTCGTCATTGTGAAAGAGTGAAAAATACTAGATACAAATATATAATTCGCTGCTGCTATAAATAGATAGCAGTGTTTTTAAGATAAATTATTTAATTTAAGAAATAATATCAGTATTTATTGATCAAACAAACATTAAAAACCATTATAAAACCACAAATGAAGAGACTTGTAAAAATTCGACAGTTTGTATAATATTTAATACAGACAAATGATTGTCTGTATAATACTACAACTTCAATTGTAGAACAAAATCTATATTAATGACTGTGATCATCTAAAAAGATAGTACAGAAGGTAATCTATATACAAAGTAATATACATACGAAGTGATGTACACGATTTCTCGGACCGTTTAGGACCGTTTAGAGGATAACTCGGCGAAGGCTACAATGCTACGTGCGTCACGTCACGAGCGATACACGTGACAATATATACAGGGCGTCCCACGGCTACCTCACACGGAGGGAAAGTATAATAAATATTGAACATAGGATATTTTACAGAAAGAAGACATCGTTTTATTTTTAATATTATTTAGATCTGCAGTTCTTGTTATTATTAAAAATAAAATGATGTCTTCTTCCAGTAAAATATCCTATCTTCAATATTTAATATACTTACCCTCCGTGTGAGGTAGCCGTGGGACGCCCTGTATATATATATATATATATATATATACAGTACCTAATGTTAGGTTATTTAAGAAAAGAAGTTTCGCTTCAGATGTGTGTTCCGTGTACACTATTTTATTTTTTATTGTACTTTATATGACAATAACATTTTAATACTTTATTATTGGTCATATTTCCATTTTTCCTGTCTCATTCTCAACAATAATTCAAACAACTAGATAATTGTTTAAAAGCCAAAGTTGATAAACCTAGCCGCCGAGCGTTGGTAAATGTACACACGTGAGAATACCTTCTGTACTGTCTATTTTTTGTGACTCAGTACTGTGACAACTTGCTTGTCATTTTTGACATTTTGCATAGATAGCTCGGTAGATAAATAATTTCATATGTTTACATTCTCTTTATCGAAGTTTTAAATTTAGTGTGAGATAAACATTGAAAGTGACTACACGAATTTATATTTCTAATTAATAGAATGGTAAGACATAATTTGTTGTTGAGTATTTGCTCAGACCGGCTACCTGAACATTTTGCTTTTCAACATTATTATCTCGAATAACTAATTTTATATAAACAACATGTTGTGATAATAACATGATTTGTCAAGAAACTTAAATTGTAATACATACATTTAGGCACATATTGTAATTCAATTTCTAAATATAAATCAATGCCAAAACAGTGTTAAGTTTTTATGTAGCAAGCGGAGTGACGCAACTAAATTGACAGCCACCTGGTGTGCGTTTACAAAGACTGTTATGTTGGTAAACAGAAATAGGTTCATGTTTTTTACCTCATATTCATGGTTTACTTTATGTCATATCTCATATGTATATGTTATGTGCTGTATACAATAATATCATTATGAATTATTTATTTCTTTTTTTAAAAATTACTGTCGTAGCTATATGGAAGTAAAATAAGCAATATAAATGAAATGCACAAAAGAGAATAATATGTTTTTTTACAGGCTGACAATAGCGTGCCCCGAGTTTGTATTATTGGAGCGGGTATTGCAGGGCTGACTTCCGCAAAATACTTAAAAGAAGAAAGAATTAGCTTCACAGTTTTAGAAGCTACAAAGTACATTGGTGGTACGTGGCGCTATGACGAAAGAGTTGGTGTTGATGAAAATGGATTACCAATACATACAAGCATGTATAAACATCTAAGGTGATTAAAAATTTGTCACTTTTTATAATTGTCCTCAACATTCAACAAAATATGTATTTACCTTTTACTTTCCATTAATAGGACAAATTTGCCAAAACCGACTATGGAACTCCTTGGTTTCCCGATTCCGAAGGAGTATCCTTCATTTCCTACGCGGGAAATGTATTTTAATTATATCAAAGCATATGCGAAATTGTTTGACTTGGAGAAGTACGTTAAGGTGAGTTTAGCATATATTAGTAACGTAGTGTTAATTATTAAAATACAAACTATTTTTAAAACATTTTCAGTTCTTGCACTATGTGGTACATGTAAAAAGATTGCAAAATAAATGGAGAGTGAAGTATAAACATATTTCTTCACAAGCTGAATATGAGGAAGACTACGAATACGTTATTATTGGAAGTGGTCATCATAGTACTCCCAATAACCCAATTATACCAGGAGAAAAAATATTTAAAGGTATTAATGACATATTTTTTTTACCCTTTAACCCTCAAGAGTATTTTGATTCATGGAATTCTTAATTTTTTATTCAGCTTTATTTATTATATACATGATATCGTTATCAAAGGTATTTCTATATCATAGGCACTATTATACACAGCCATGACTACAGAGTACCCGATCCGTATAAATACCGTCGAGTGCTGATAGTAGGTGCTGGGCCTTCCGGCATGGACATAAGTTTGGACGTAGCAGAAGTCAGCAAAACCCTCGTGCACAGTCATCATTCGAAGGTGAAGTTCAATACTCCATTCCCGCCACATTATATCAAAAAACCAGACATAAAAGAGTTCAATGAAACGGGTGTCACCTTCATTGATGGGTCGTATGAAGAAATCGATGATGTTATATATTGCACAGGTATTGTTCTACGACTTTACCATTAAAATGATCATTCTATACCTAAAAATTTAAAAGAAGAAAGATAACAATAGTTAAGATTGGTAGAAACTGAAAAATCTCCGTTTTTATGTTTTCTACGTTTTTAAGTAGCTAAATCTATCTAAAATGTAATCATCTATATTATTACAGGATATCAATACAGCTACCCATTTCTAGATGAAAGTAGCGTATTAACAATAACTCCACAAAGTGTTACACCATTGTATAAATATATGGTGAATATAAACCAGCCAAGTATGATATTTATGGGATTAATAGTACGAGCATGTATAGTTGTTGCTATCGATACACAGGTAATTATTTGGTCACGTAATACTTAGATAACATTATCAAAAATTTATTGAAACTATTTTTATTTTAGCTTTTTACATGCCTTTATTATATATTTTATTATTTACTATATATTATTTATATTTACTTAGGCTCGGTATGCAACAGCCCTGATAAAAGGAAATTTTACTCTACCATCGCGAAAAGAAATGATGGCCGAATGGCAGCGCTCGGTGGATGCATTGCGATCCAGTGGGAGACCAATATCTCATATACATTTACTAGCCGAAAAAGAAGTAAGTATCTTCTGAATCTATTGCAATAAACATAGATTAAATACTTTGTCCGGACCTTTACAAACTCTTAGTATTGTAAAACTGACTTTATAAATGCACTCTGTAGTATATTTTTTTTTTGCAAAGGTAAAAGAAAACGTTGAGCCTTGTTGCGTTAAATAAGACCCAACGTTTTCGTTTTATTTTACTTATGCGTTTGTATAATTTTAACATAAATCGACGGTAATTGTATTAAAATTCATAAAGTTCATGAATTTGGATATTTAAAAGCGTTCAAAAGAGAAATTTCTTTCTTTTAAATTACTATTAGACTAGTAATTTATTTATTTGTTTATATATTTGTACACACAAATTTAGATACAGGAGTCACATAATTAAAGATATATATACAAGACCACTACTTATCTGAAATTTCTTCCAGTAGGCCCGTGCTAGGAAAGTATATAAGAATAGGCAGTCTGCGTATACAACTGAATATACATACCATGTAAACTACTTATAAATATGGGAACTACATGTATAGATTTATACGTACACATATATATATATATATAATAATTCAAATACATACACACACCAATATGATATTGATGACAATGACATGTACATGTACAATACAGTACATAAATAAATACATACATTTAATATGGACTACGAGACGAGAAACAATAGAAAGAATTAGGGCAGAATTATGGGCAAGCAGATAAATAACACTATTTACCTTACCTTCAGGTATTTTTTGAACACAAAGACAGAACTAGAATCTCTTATTTCTGATGGCAGCGAATTCCACAATCGGAAGGCATGTACTGAGGAATAATAGGATGCGAAGCCAGAGTTATGGGAGACATTTTAGAAGGGATTTGAGATGGGATCAACAATTAGCTATTGAAGAGTGAATGAAGAAAATTCGTTCACGGATGTAAGGTCGATACTGAGGATTATAGAGGATACTAGCTGACCCAGCGAACTTCGTACCGCCATAAAAAAATAGGGGTTGGTGGTAGAAAGTTGAAAATTTAGGGATGTACGTATTTTTGTATGATGTATCATAAAAAAACTAAAAAAAAAATATATCTAAAATTGAAAAAATTAGGGGTGGATTACCCTTAACTTTAGGGAGATGAAAAATAGATTACATCCGATTCTCAGACCTACCCAATATGCACACAAAGGACATCGACGAAATCGGCCCTAGCATGTCCAAAAGAATGTCCTTCACTATTATTTTTTTAACTTATTAGCAATTAATCATAGTAAACGGAAAATCTGTTTAAAAAAATAAAAAGTAAAAGTTCTGTTACTAGATACTACAGTTTGTTCATCCAACTTGTCCTATTTAGTAAACAATCTTGGCACTCCTTTTTATTGATAATACAGCATTAAAAATCAACTGATAACTGGATTCAATAGGTTTCAGTCTATAATATCGATTTATTTTAATAGTTTATTGGCTTCGTTAATATTTTATTATTAAATGGGTGATTCTATTAAAAAGTTGTGCCAAGATTGTTTACCTTAATAAATGCAATATGGGCGACCATAGGTATTTATCAACATAAAAATAGAACTAGGTGCCTTAGTTAATAATACTTATTACTAATATTTATATTATATTTATAAAAACATTATTTCTGAAATTATGTAAAGATAGTTTATACTCCCATCCCATGTAATATCTGTTTATTTTTATGAAAATCATAATGATAACCAGGTACATACCTAATTACCGATAGTAAAATATAGAAACAGGTAAATGGAAAGACTTTGAACATTTCATTTGAAAAGAAATATATTATTACTACAGGTAGGTATAGGTATCATAGGTGCCAACTGCCAACACTCATAAATCAAAATGACATATAAGCATTTATTATTTTTATTTTTAATTGTATTTTATGTTCATTTAATGCATATTATCTAAGGGCTTACATAGAGGTAAACACTAAATCTATTCAGAATATATAAAGTGTACATCTTTTACGATTAAGTATAATAATTATAACCTCAAAATCTAATACATTCTGTAGTAGTCCACGGGTCCTCAATTTGTCCGTATCTCAACAAATGCCTAATTAGAGTTTATGAATGATTCAGAACACAACTAGCATTTTCTCATTGCTGGGCGTTCGAGGGCATTCAATGTATGGGGAACGAGCAATGTCCTTTCATGAGAATCGGGAAAGCCGTTTCGGAGGAGTTTAACCACAAACACCGCGACACGAGAATTTTATATATTAGATTGAAAAGGAGGAGAAGAGAATATAGTGTTTTTATTTTGTTTGTCTAATAATAATTATTATTGTAAAATATTATAATACATCTTATAAATACCAAGGTCGTGAAGTTAATCATCGTGCTAAAGAAGAAATATAATGCCCAACCGAAATTATGGAAAAATGTGCTTATGTTCGTTAATAATAATGTCTATTATTACTTTCAGGACCAATATTATGAAGAGTTAACCAATCAATCTGGCATAATGAGGGTCCCACCGGTGATGTTCAAAATCCGCACTTTAGATACGCAAGCGAAATTAGATAATTTGTATACATATAGAAACTACACTTATGAAGTTTTGGACAATGAAAACTTTGTGAGACGTCTCGAAACAACCTAAAAAAACCTATAGTACACATAATATAATATTAGTTGACGCTGCTAACAGCTGTAGCAAAAAAAAATCAAACCCTAGTAAAGGGGACCTAAATTTGTGCCCAATTTTCTACCTTGGTCGTTTGTACTAAGGTACAAAATTTAAAGAAACATCTTTAATTATACTTAAAAACACAATAGAAATTAAAACATTCTATAGTAATGGGTGAAAATCTCAATTAAAGTCTTTTGAAAAAGGGATCTGCGTATAAAGAAACGTTATTACCTAGACACAAATTGTAATTGTTTAACAGATGACAGCTATTACTATTGGCTTAAATTCATTTCCCTGGTTGTAATTGAATGTATCAATAATCTCGTGACTGTTTTCGTCACATTGTTACTATGAATATGACAGTAGTATATAAATCGTCTTCATTCACAGCCCTTCAGCCAACCCTTTCAGTTATTTTGTGTATGTGTATTTTGATGGGTTTGCAATATAATATTTTGTTATATTATTTGCCGATCAGGTTGATTTTTTTATGATTGCGGAGCTTAATTAAATGAATTGAAAGAAGATACACATTCACCATCATATATTTTTGTGTTACCATTAATTTTAATATTTAGAGGACATTTTATGTGGAACAAGTGGATACTAAATTTCATTTATATTTTTAATGAACTCGGCGTACAAATTTTCTACATATAAATGTATACAATTGAACAGCAGCGGCACAAAGTACGTAACGAGAACTAAAAATCAGTACACATTTGACAATGTCATTTCGGACTCGCAAACGATACGAATTCGATATTGATTCGTGCTAGGGCTACTGGCACTTTCCATAAATGACGCTGTTGATACGATCTATAATCTAAACTTAAATTAGAAACGTATTTTGCACGACGCATATCTTGCATTGAGTTGCGTACTTTCATATATGTATTTTAAAAAAAGGTAAATTTAAAAAATCAAAAAACCCGACTGCTTAATTATACTTCAAATAAAAACTGAAAAGAGAAAAACAAGTCCAGTAGTCTATAATTCTGTTAATAAGGAACAAAGCTACTTTAACAGTCGGGACCCACTGATGAAAAATATTATGTATTCTTGAATATCTAATGGGTCCCGACTGTTAAAGTAGCTTTGTTCCTTATTAACAGAATTATAGACTACTGGACTTGTTTTTCTCTTTTCAGTTTTTATTTGAAGTATAATTAAGCAGTCGGGTTTTTTGATTTTTTAAATTTACCTTTTTTATTTCACACTTTTTAGTTAGTTAGTATTTTAAGACGGTATATACCGTAGTCTTGTTACTTCAGTATGAGAATTAATAACGCGGGAATTATTAAGTACCTGGCGTCAGCGTCGGTCTAAAAGATTGATTTATTAAGACATATAAAGACTTTACCAGCGGGGTCAAGGCTACAGATGGGCCTCATATTTCACAAAAATGGGTGAAGTTAAATCAAGTCGTTACATAAATATCTCTTATGTATGTAAATTTTATAGTAAACTAACTAGCACTTACTCAAAAAGTCATTTTTTGTTTATGTTTTTTTTTAATAGTTTAGCAGTAAATATAAAATTCATTTACTTTTATTCGTCGACTATTTAAAATTGGCAGTGGCTGCATTGTCATGTCAATGCCGGACGTCTAAGATTGTGATATACACAAATTCAGTGTCAGTCCCTAGTCTCATAATTTGATGAACCTACATAATTCACAGAAACCCAATATGTAGATGCCAGAAGTTAACTTCAAATGTTTTTAATCACCCTATATACAATACCAATCAATGACGTTTATGTCGCAGGTTGAAGAAAGCAGTAATTCCCGTCTGTTGTTTTGGACAATGGTGGCAATTGCCTTAGATCACTAAATTAAATAATTATGCAATCACCAAAGCAAAGTTTATAATATTTGATTAAACTAAAGGCGCATAATAAAATTTTCATAAAGCTAGGTAGAGCACCATAGCAATCTCATTTATTATCAATTTATAGTTCTCTTTGTAGTTTTCTTTTAAAGCGTTCACATTTAACAGGTCAAAGACTTTGTGTTCGACCCTTTTTTATTGGTAGTGTAAAGCTCGAATGAAGAGTACTCCCAGTAGTGCAATCATGGCAATTATTTTCCAAATTTTTTTTTGTTTATAAAAATACCGAATAACGTATCACTGTTAAGCACAAATGCTAAGTAACTTTTACAAATATAATCAAATAAACCTATTACTTACTTTATTTTTAAATCTTTTTCATCAATTAAATACTTATCCTAACTATCTATACTAATATTATAAAGAAGCAAGATTTGTATGTTTGTAACAAATAATCTGTCAAACTACTGAACCGGTTTCAAATATTAATTCAACATAAGGTAGCTACATTATTTATTATAACATTTTTCTTTATTTAAATACATTTTGTCCGAGTGACATAGGCTATATTTTATCCCGATAAATAAATTTCGCCCGTACAATGCCCGGGTGGATCACTAGTAAGTATAATATAATATTATAGATGCGAAAGTGAGTTTGTTTGTTGCGCTTCCGTGCCCTAATAGCTAAACCGAATACAATGAATTCCCATATAGAAGTAGATGGGAACTTGGTTCTTAGCTACAATATCGCAATACTTATAGGCGTAGGGTGATGAAAGGGGTGATTTACCTATAAAAATCTACATTATTTACTTTGAATTTTGCAGAATTATTACAAAACCAATATTATCGCGAGCTAATTAATAAATACAGGGATTCCAATAAGTATGTACTTACTAGCGAAAAATGGGTTATTTATCATTATATTAAGTAAACCTTTTTTGTAACATTGAGTAATATCGTTTAAAAAAATGAAAAACAGTAAAATTCTGAGTTTTTCATTAAAATTCAATAATCATAAATACCTACTATTATAATATTTTTTTTCATCATTTAATAAGAAGGAACTGTAGCACAGTTTTATTGTTAGTACCTACTTCGTATAGGATCAGATACTGCGAATACCCCATTTTTTTTTTCTTTTACATAGTACACCGCGCTATCACTTTGTCATCGTTGTAACTTTTTAAATATTTGTCGAAATGACATAGTGTAAAAAGCAAAGTTTATCGTCTTTAAATATCAAAAGCGATAAAAGTATTTGTTTTGATAAAAAATGATTTGTTAATACAAAATGTGCATTTTGGAAATAGATATCTAATAATATTTTAGTTTTGATTCACTATTTTAGCGGTAATGACTTACACATTAAAAATAGATATATAGTGTCACGGACTTTTTTTTAGAACTATTCAAGAGATACATTTTCACTCTATATTACATTCATGTAACTTTTATTGTTTTTGCAGTGCAGGCCAAAATGGCTCGCAGGTGGGAGATTTTTTTCCGTCTTATGTGACACTTATTGTTATATATTGCCCAATTCACTCAATAACTACATAAATTATTATATATATGTAATTATCATATATGAGCTATATTACTGTTAAGTTGCATTAAAATCCATTCAGTATTTTTTAAGGTGAAAGAGTAACAAAGATCCATACAAACGTAAGATTGAAATTAAAAGCGTAAGTGGTTAATATACAACTTTAAAGCGTTGTAGATCCTAAACAATCATATAAAATGAAAAATGATGTTAGGAACCTAAATATGATTTTTGATTTTCTAGACAGTGATACCCCACTCGACATATTTAGTCAACTTATTTTTTTTTACTTCGTCACAATATGGCGTCTAATTTTGCCCATATTGAATTTTGATTACTATCATATCTTTAGTAGCACTCCCATGATTGAGACGAATCGATTGATGTATAAATCATCAAAATCGGTCCAGGCGTTTGGTCTCTAGTGTGCCACAAAGGAACAAACATACATATATAGACTGTTAAACACATAACCCTGTCTGCGCGTCGCGCTTCGCGCTCTTGCATTGCGCAGCCGGGTAAAAAACTACACACAGTTTACACCACCGCGCAAGTTACGCTCAAGAAAGTCGATGAAACACTATATTTGATTCAAAACTAATATGAATATGAAGATTTTTTTGGAAAACCTTAGTGCATTTATTCTGCTGTTTTAATGATATCTCAATTTAAGGTATTTTCAAATAATTTCTGTTCAAAGTTACTTTTAACTTCAAGCCTGACCGGATATACGGATTTTTTTTAAGTTTAATTTAAACATAGATTAACTGTAAATGCATTCCTTTCCTACTCATATAGTTGACACCAATCACGGAAACTTGAGATTGCATTATACAAAGCACTATTAACATTGTACTTAAAAAAAGAAATATAGAGATGTGTAACACAATATTTTCCAAATCTTATATGTTTAAGTATATAAAATGTAGTATGTAGGTATTTAAGATTTTCAATGTTATATTTGATAAAAAAATCAATTTAAGATAATGCTTGCATAATATGAAAGTGTTACATTTGAATTCAAGCCTATAAAGATTATTTTAAAAGAAATTTATATAAGGATTTATTATATTTATTTAATCGTCTATAGTTGTAAATAAAAATAAAATATTTTTCTTGTTATATGTCATTTATTTGTACTTATATTTATAGTTAAAATGTTATATGGTAACATTCGATTCAGAGACGGAAAAACTTAAGTAGGTGAACAGTAATTATTTACAAATAATACCTAATTATTAAGTACTGATAATCTTAGATAAAGAGCGACTGGCACAGCGTTTTACAATTCGATAAACACTATTACATGGAAAATTATATAAGTGAATAAAAGTCATGTATTTTTTAATGTGCAGTGCGATTATTTCTTACATATTAGATTTCTTTTTGTCATACAACAGCTACGTGATTATTAAAAAAAAACATTCAAAATACTTTGAATAACAGCTGTACGCTAAATTATTACTATCACAGTTAAATTTGTGATGCCCTTTGCACCTAATTAGTAGAAATTTACTCACACTTATACTAAAACCTTTAGTCAATACGTACTTGACTAAACATCAACTGATTTGCCATAATTATTCTTTACTAAGAATAACTTGAGCTTTTTAACTAATTTTGAGATACTGAAGTCAGTCAAGATTACCTACTTAGAAAAAAAACAATGAAACAAGACAGATGCAAAATTGTATAGCAATTCAATAAGATAAGTTACTTTTAAAGAAGAAAGGATAACGTTCCCTTCGAATTACTCACAACGAACTTTTTCATACTCACTTGATGAGAAAAATTAATCACAAAGTTGATTGTCTATATCTCAAGAGGGCATGGGTTTCCCTTCCTAGGGTTGTACCATCTCTCGTATTTATAGTCATCGATGATTCGATAATCATAGTCACGGTAGTTGAGCAAGTCTTCCAGACGGTACCTCGCATTGAAGTCCCTGATGTCACTTAGTACTGGAGGCCGGCGATAAATACCCGCCTCCTGTGTCAAATTTGCGAAGTAATTGTCCTAGAAAGAGAAAACATACTTTAAGATTTAACGCCATTATAATAGTTCACAGTTAGGTATGTTATGTCACTGATCTCGCGGTTCCGCACCTAACAGCGTAAGGGGTATTCGCAGGGTTTTTTAGCGGATAGTACGTCAAGAAATCGTAGACCTGAGTATGGTATATGGTAATATAGGTATATGTGATCAATTTTAACTCGGTACCTTCACGGATTTCCGAGATAAAACGTCTTGACAGATAGACGATAAACGGCCGTATCTTTTTTTAATTAACTTAGAAGTTTGATTTTTTCACAGCTTCAAGGGGCCGTAGACCTGAGTATAATGGTTTACATTTTCACTCAATACATCTACGCGTTTCAAATATAAAGGGTCTTAACAAACAGAAGAAAATTCAACTGATCCTATAAGTGTTTTCACTTTTTCCTTTTGAGTTGAGGTATGGACCTCTAAAAACGTGCTTCAATACTTGCTCACCATTTCGTTTCCAATGACGTTGACGTCTAGTATCTTCATGCCCCTCGAATGCAGCGTGCGAACGTGCCTCAGCCAAGACTTCAGCATGGTCTCCTGAGGAGGCAGCTCGAACTTACCGGCGGCTAGCGCAGCTGCGTATTCACCCTACGTTATAAACAGTTAGTTAGTAACTCGAACCATAACACAATGGTTTATGCAAGACTAGCTGTGCCCCGCGGTGTTACCCGCAGTTTATTAGGGATATTTTCCCGCAGTAAAACGTAGCCTATGTATTAATCCAGGGTGTCGGCTAACTCCATACCAAGTATTATTAATATCGCTCCAGCCGTTTAGTTGTGAAGAAGTAACAAACATACACACTCACAAACTTTCGCCTTATAATATTAGTGTGATTGTCAAAAGTAAGCTGTCGTTGGATGATTTGATAAATCGAATTTATGATTTTTGCGAAAATGTGATATAAGTAATTCCTAGGATCTTTGCGAAAACGCGCATAATTAGACAATTGGGATGACATTACTCAATCTTACTTTTAACAATTTTTTTTTCATCCTACGTCAATGGTACTTACGTGGATTTTGTAACATGCAATCGCACTTCCTGTTCTTGTAATTTCGAATTTTCTTATTTCGATAATTCGATTCTTTTCGAATGAATTGACGATTACGAATATCTATTACTATTACTAACTTTCACTGACTGCTTCGGAAAATTGGAACTATCGAACTCTGAAGTGAGATTATGTTTTACGAAATCGCCCTATTGTATATACAAAACGGGTAGCCAGCCATTTACGTAAAAGATCTCGAATATTTAGAACGGTGTGCGTTTATGAGTGAGTGTTAGGTTAGCTAAGAAACTAGGTAAATATTTTGTACCTGGGCTTCAAGCACATTGTTGAGCACCTTCTTCGGTATGCCCACAAACACCATGGAGGGGTGTCTGATATTGACCATGTGTTGGTACAGTGGCAACAGGAACTTGCCTGTTGCTGTAATGCCGACGCTTTTGTCTAAGAAGGGATGCGAGAACACGTAGCCTGCAAGGAAAAGGAAATGCTTGGTAAGTAATGTAATTTCATCATCATCAGCCTATTAATGTCGCCACTGCAGGGGCACAGACCTTCCCTATGTAAAAATTAAAAAAAAACATATCCTTTATTCAGTTAAGGCTGTTACAAACACTTGTGAATGTCGAAAAGCTACGCCATCAGTTCGCAAATCTACGGCGGGAGTCCATGTACTGAGTAAATCCGGCAAGAAACTCAGCAAGGGCTGTTACTCCCTGTATTATTTACAGAGTCGTCAAATAGAAAAATTACTCCAATATGAGATAACTCATGCAGGCACTTTCCATTACAAATGTAAATGATATAAAAATTATGACTATAAAATAAATAAATAAAAAACACATTTAACAAAGTTTAGGAATGCCTTGTCCTACTGTTTAGGCATAAAAAGTTAAATACAAAGATTACCTAATGTCGCAAGCGCAGACTCATCTCCGCTGGCAGCACCCGTTCACGAGCATGACGCATTAACCAGCCATAACTTCGCCCAACCATTTTTTAGGGAACGTAACGACCCGCCTCACACGACACGATGTATGAAATAGAATAGGGAGATTGGGCCGTGACCCACCTCAGATGCAGCCGGGACCAACGGCTTAATGTGCCTAAGCACGGAGGAGCTCGAGATAATTAGATTTTGGTCACGCATCAAACACTACCGACCATTGCGAAAGTTGCTTAACTTGGACGATCGCAGGCCGAATGCACTAATAGACCGGGAGATGATGACACAAAATACTTGGTCATTTGTACCAGTATGGCGGTTCTTCAGGGGTCTAATTACGTAAAGGCAAAAAGGAAAATGATGGTCATAGCGCTCGCACCGGCGGCCCAATCGCGTGGGCGTTAATCGAACGCGTCGGATAAATAACGAGTGTCGAACGATTTGTTCCACAAAAATGCTTATATTTTCAGATAGTCGAAAAAAAGAAGTAGGCGGTAGCGTAATGCCATACTTCTCGGGTGTGACTTACAGCCCGCCATACCGACGCGAATACATTAATTTAAATAAAACAATTCAACCATTTGTACCAGGCTAATTTTTGCACAGCTAATCATCGTCGAGTAGCCATTCACGAAAATCACCTTGCCATACTTTTCCGACAGTTCCCAATGGCCGCCATACCGCTGCAAAGGAGTAATTTTTTTTTTTCGCCAAACGATTTGTACCAGTATTGCATTTGAATTTTTGGAAAGTATTTGGCAAAATGTGACCGTTATTATTTTTCCCATACTTCTAGTAGGGGCCATACTTGAAATACTTATTTATTTGACACGTTTTAAAAATACGACTGCAAAATACGTAAAATCATTTTTTACATCATGTCATCATTGTATTCTCGTCATTTGGATGCAATTGTACGTAAAAAAAAATATTACAGATTGTAAACATGGGGCGGATGACTGTCGGACTTGAGCTAAAAGGTGAAAAAGAAAAAAAAATTTGACGATTTGTACCAGTATGGCATTTGGATTTTTGGAAATTATACGATACAATGTGACCATTATTATATTTGCCATACTTGTAGTAGAGGGAAAAAGTGGCGCCATACTGGTACAAATCGTTCGAATTACGAATAAAATCTTGGGACTTTGAAAAAATATTGTTCACATTCGCCACCTCCCACAGGTATGGCATTATCAGACTTCTATATAAGATCATACGGGGAACTGTTAAAAAAAGTTTCAGGGTGGTACAAATCGTTTGGCGAAAAAAAAAAATTTTACTCCTTTGCAGCGGTATGGCGGCCATTGGGAACTGTCGGAAAAGTATGGCAAGGTGATTTTCGTGAATGGCTACTCGACGATGATTAGCTGTGCAAAAATTAGCCTGGTACAAATGGTTGAATTGTTTTATTTAAATTAATGTATTCGCGTCGGTATGGCGGGCTGTAAGTCACACCCGAGAAGTATGGCATTACGCTACCGCCTACTTCTTTTTTTCGACTATCTGAAAATATAAGCATTTTTGTGGAACAAATCGTTCGACATTCGTTATTTATCCGACGCGTTCGATTAACGCCCACGCGATTGGGCCGCCGGTGCGAGCGCTATGACCATCATTTTCCTTTTTGCCTTTACGTAATTAGACCCCTGAAGAACCGCCATACTGCTACAAATGACCAAGTATTTTGTGTCATCATCTCCCGGTCTATAACCACCTGCGTCATCGAGCTCCTTATGTAACCTATCTTATCATAAATGTCCCTCACTTAGCCCTTTATAAGCTGCTAAAAAGATTTAAAGTAACGAGATCGCATGACTATTGGTTTGTTGCATTTTTACATTTCTTAAAATGACAAGATAATAATTATTATGAATCATCAAATGAAAAAAATAACATGATATGAAACACCTTATTTAACATATTTGTGTGTGAGTACAAGTTATATAAATAAAAAAAAATTATTTCATTATATTCTCCCATATATTCATATCATCACTCACCAGTACAAAATATGACGTCATCTATATCTTCAAAGGTGTTATCCTGGAACATAACTCCATTCGATGTGAACATTTTGACATCGGGTTTTTTTACATAACTGCTGGAGAAGAATGGTTGGTTGTAGTTGAGATGGTGGCTGTGGACAAGTTTTGCTGTGACGTTACTGAGGTGCATCGCCAGGTCGAGTCCTGAAGGCCCCGCTCCGACTAGTAGTACCCGCCGATTCCTGTAGTCTTCGGGGTCTTTATAATCGTGGCTGTGTATCATTTTACCTGCGAAAATGGATACTTATCGTGTAACAAAATTCATCAACAACAAAATTATGCATTGTAAGTACACTTGGAGGAGAATGGAATTTTTGAATGAAATTCAGAAGTTTCTTTTTTTTAACATTAAATTCAGGTTTAATATTCGAATTTTAAAACAGTTTTTTTAAACTTGAAATTTTAAAGCTCTTTAATCAATCGTTCTTTAATTAATCTTTTTCATTTAATTTAATGGCCAACTAAATAATAAATAAATTTGGCCGGTTTCTTTGCTCTCAAACGTATGTTAGAAATGATTCCTGATTAGGGAGGACACCAATGGTGTCGATTCTGGCATGATTATAAGCCTTAATTAAATGTGACAACAGTGTATCTTTGTCAATTTCTATACAGAATGAAAAAGAGAGACAGATAAATTTAGTCTTAAATTTAGAGAATCATGCCAGAATCGACACCACTATTTTCGTAATGATTTCCTAGTTAATAACTTTTATATTTAATAAACTTTTTAACAACTGTGACTTTTCGCAACATTAACAGGTTAACTTATCAGGAAAGAAAGACCATATCTAAGTAACATACTCGTAACTATCTACACTAGTGACAGGTATTATGCGGTATATTGCTAGAAAACAAACATGAAATGACGAGCTGGTGAACAAAACGGTATAATTACATAAAATTATTTTTTCAGGAGCTGTATTAAACTGAATGACATACCTCCAGTGGGCTTTGGCATGGTTATTAATTTATAAATTTAGTATTTTAACACTGTTTTAGGCGGTTTTGATTGAAAATTTTTGAGATTCAAATTCAACGGGCTCGTAACCTTCAGACTTTAAAAAAATAGTTTGACCAGATGCGTAATTATAACGTTTTGTTCGTCAGCTCTTCAAATGTTACCTTTAAAAATATCTTGTCCTTCAAAGCTCGGCCACACTGGAGTGCTAAATTCTCCATTAGCTACAACCACAAAGTCGCATTCTGCCGTCCGAGTTTCCTTGGTGTCAACCTTCGTGTAAGTAATGTTCCAATGGTCCTCGGCCCATTTTATCAATGTTACGAAACTCTGGAACTAAAGAGCACACATCTTATTGTCCAGCATATTTCAATAACAAAACTTATTCGTATTTAAAAAAAATGAGCAAGTGCGTGTCGGGCTCGCCCACCGAGGGTTCCGGCCATATCTTTGAAAATGTCCCTTAATGTCCCTGTTCCGCTTTTTTCTTTTTGAGATACAGAACCCTAAAAACGACAAAGTAATTACTTTCATCATCACGTACGGCTATAAACTTATATACATAGTACATTAAAATATATACACATATATTTTTGATGTCTTGTAAGAACTGTATACCTATGCTTAACTATTATAATTATTGTTGTTTCTTAGATCGCTTGAAGCTAAATAAGTAATAACTTAGGCCTAAAGCTCCGTGGAATCAATTTATTCATGAGTGTTTGCTATCGGCCGATTGACTATATAAAGCGTTTAATGATTCTGTTCCTAAGTCAAACGCGGATTATTTCCTCAGCTGCCGACAGAACCTGTTCTTAATAAGTTGCTCTGAACCACGATTCGCCTTCACGTGTACAATTAGATCTTTGTGTAGGCATCAGTTGTCAATTAATTAAGGTTTTATACTTTTAGCTAAATAAATAAATATCTTTATATATATAATTCTTCTGTGAGTGTGTATGTCACTGAACTTCTCTTAAACGACGGGACCGATTTTGATTAAATTTTTTGTGTGTATTCAAGGGGATCTGAGAATGGTTTAGATTCACAATTTTGTCCGCTGGACAATGTTTTTTTAATTAATTTTTTTTACGGCGGTACGAAGTTCGCTGGGTCAGCTAGTAATATATAAAATTCTCGTGTCACGGTGTGCGTAATTGAACTACTCCCAAACGGCTCCAACCACCGACCTCCGACCAATCTTGGTGAAATTTTATATGCATGAATATCCATATAAAATTACTACTACTAATTAACTACTGAATAGTAGGTTTGAGAATCGGACAACATCTATTTTTCATCCCCCTAAATGTAAGTGTGCTCTACCCTTATTTTTTATTTTTTTGAACGATTTTTATTTATTTATGATACTTCATAGAAAAATACATACAACACTAAATTTTCACTGTTCACTCACCAACCCCTATTTTTTTATGGCGGTGCGAATTTCGCTGGCACAGCTTGTAATATATATAATTTATTTCCAACACTCACATCAATTAGCCTAGCCCCAAAGTAAGCACTGTAAGGCTTGTGTTATAGGATACTAGGGCAACGGATAGAATACATAAATAAGTTTAATTATCTAGAAATATATATTTTATAAACATCCATGACTTATAAACAAATGCTCGAATTCATCATACTTACATTTGCCCCACCGGGATTCAAACCCGGGACCTCTGAGTAGGCGATACCTTAAAACCAAAACCATACCACTTGGGCACGGAGATCGTCAAATAATAATAGACCGTGTATTTAGAATATTTCACAGCGTTCAGACAACGATGTTCATTTAGAAAATAGCACTGCTGGCTCGTTTTAATAACTAACACTTGAACAAGTGGATCTTGAGAAATATAGTCGTGAGCAATCCTATACTTAAGACCTGTTTTTTATGTTACTATAGTGTCTGAGGTTTGGATAGTTGTTTTGGTTGTGGGTGGGCTCAGGTTTAATGTAACTTTATTCTTAGATGTTGGCCTTCTATCATTTAAGTCCAGGAAATGGATATCAGAATATTGGTCGACATATGATGTTCCACATGCAGAAAAAATAAAATTTTATGATTTCTCATAAAAGACCGAACACGACAAATCTTAATAAAAAGAAATGCATTACCATAAATTTTTAAATATAAACACCCACAGATGCGACGGCAGAAAAATCTCTGATACATATATAACAAAGTATAAAATTATATTTTAAACAAGCACTTCATAATACGTCTTCGAATAGTTTTATTATTTATAGAGAAGTCTGTGCGTCAGACTAAGAAACGATTTACGATTAACATAATTATCGGGTTACAGACAATATGTTTTCTGATCACGTCAACCTCATCCTGGCATAGTGTGAATGGACCTATGATTCCGTTAATTCTCTTAGGAATAATCACTTAGTAACAATCTTCGTGCTCATAAATATTTATAGAATGGTATTTCCTATTTCTTTAAATTTAGTTTATCACTGGAGTAGGTAGGACTTATGTTTAGCTGAATAATCTATTTATGTTATTTTAATAAATGTCCTAGCTCATTTGTTTAGCATTGTTTTGACTGAGAAATAAAAGTAACTTAACTAGCAAGTAAGTACCTACTCCAAAATCACCTCACCTATGGCTTGTAGCCGTACCTACCACAGAAGGTAAGCTGACGATAATAATATGAGTTTTTGAGGAAAATGTCATCAATGGTATAATCTCGTATATTTTTATCTTATTGGCTACCTATCTAATGTAAGAAATATTTGGTCGTAGTTTATTCAAAAAAAGTATATACATTAGAACTAATTAACCTTGATTCTTTTAAACAAATACAATTAAAAACGTACTAAGACTCACTTGAATATACTTTTCCAGTTCGAAATGTTTGGCGAACGATCTCAAATATTTGTGAAAGCATTCTCCCGTGGGATAAGACTGAGTGTCTTCTGGAAAAGGAAATCCTCGGTACTCCATTGTCAATCTCGGTGTATTTATTCTGTAAACAAACCAAAAAAAAATGTGCATATATTTTGTCATAGAATATAATTATCTCAAGTCGAGGGCTAAATCATAGTGGTAGTGCCTAGTATAGGACGCTTGCGATGTCCTTGTGGTTCGATTTGTTCCTCTATCTATTAAGATCAACTCATATTTAAATGATCATCAAAACAATAGTAATCGATCCTCAAAAAAATACAATTAGTAGCCTAACCTAACTTAACCTTTGGGTTACCAATTGTAGTTTTTAGGTGATCATTTATTATTTTTTGAGGATCTAGGGCCAGATTTAAGGCAAGCAGGCCCCCAAAAAAGTCGGGCAGTCGGGGCTGTGACCCAAGACCCCTCAGAGCAGAGCAAAAAAAAATTAGGGCTGTAGCCCACAACAGAGATAAAAAAAATTGGACGAACGGTCACTAACCAGAGGGTGCAAATGTGCAAAGTGGTCAGCCCAGATTAAGGGGCCTACAAACTTCTTAATCCAGCCCTGTGAGGACCATTTAAATATTTTCCATAGAAAATTAAAAACTAGCTTCTTAAATTTTTTTGAAATTATACGGTAGACCAAAAGACACAAACTACATGTTGTCACAAAAATAAAACTTGAAGTCGAATAAATAAGAGGTGACCGTGAACGCACCAACGATTCCTAGAAGATAATGACTTTGATGAAACTAATGATTTTGTGCGATTGGAAATACTGGGTAGTATACCTAGTAGTATTTCCAATGAATGACCATTGCCAAAACAAAAAACAGCAAAAATTCAATATGAGAACATATTAATTAAGAAACTAGTGAGAGGTAAGGTAAAAAATACATTGACTTAATAAGCTTTTAAAATTTTTAGACATAATAAATTCATGAATTTGGCGGATGACCTAGCACTGACTCATATTTTAAAACCTATTCAAGAATAATAATAACATCTTTCTCAAGGTGAGTTTGTAGCAAAATGCTTTTTTTGGCATAGACACATATATTTAAAATAAAATTTTACAGTTTGTTGTTGTGATGCATTGTAAACTTTACTAACTTATTTATTAGTCTTCAGAGTATGTATAGTCTAAAGGTTCTTATGATATTCCTATTTCGGGTATAATAGTTAAGTTGATAATCTCTTAAACTACGAATGATCAGTTATTCTTTTTTTATCTGAGCCTCAAAAAAAATAATAAATAAACGAGAAGAAATATAAAAGCAATTCAAGAAATACTTATTTATCCTCGTCACGACCTGATAACTATCAGAATCACGTGATGGAGATTACCTCGCAGTGATTTAAAAAAGCTGCATGTCTGTGTGATCTGCTTCATATTGAATTGCATTAATATTGGTAGGTAGTTCTTGTAGTTAAATACTAGACTTTAAGGTGCAGCTACGAATCTGTTATTGAACCTAACGATTACAGAAAATATAAATAGGGCCTATGAAGATTTACTTTATAACTAAAACAAATGAAATGATTTTAAAGTGGCCCCCGGCAAAAAACTGCTCCCTTAACTAACATTGTTTGTGTACCTATGGTAGTTTTAAAAAGAAGTATGACATAGCGGGCTCAAATTGAAGCGCCGTTCTGGAGAATTAACCTCGATCTTGCAGAATAACACTACATATTGGCATCTTGTAGTATTGTATTTCCGCCTGCAAGTAAAATTCCAAGGTTCGGTAATAAATAAATAAATAATTCCAACACTCACACCAATTAGCCTAGCCCCAAGCTAAGCACTATAAGACTTGTGTTATGGGATACTAGAGTAACGGATAGAATATATATACTGCAGAAATACATATTAAACATCCATGACTGGAATACAAATGCTCGTATTCATCACACAAACATCTGCCCCCACCGGGATTCGAACCCGGGACCTCTCGAGTCGCCAACACCATGAAACCCGGCGTACAAACCACTCGGCCAAGGAGGTCGTCAATAAGGGGGGGTTTTAGGGGATAAGGTTCTGGTCGGCGAAGTAAAGATAGGTGGTGCTTTTAGATGTATATTTTTTGAAACCCGGCGTACAAACCACTCGGCCAAGGAGGTCGTCAATAAGGGGGGGTTTTAGGGGATAAGGTTCTGGTCGGCGAAGTAAAGATAGGTGGTGCTTTTAGATGTATATTTTTCGTGTATATTTTGCAATTAATATTTTCACTACTGGATTCCGCTTACACTTGATAATATATAGAAATACTTCTTAATTATGGAACCGCGAAGCGAACAGAGCGTTCTTTATTCATTTCATGTGCTAGTTTCAAGCTTTTTGTAATCAAAACGAGTTCTTAATGAACTTGGTTAGAGTAAGTACTCAACAGATATCCAGCTGACATCACATAACTGATTACGACTTAGTTGTAACTTGTAAGTACGTCAACATACACAAGATAAGCTTGAGACGGGCGACCAATAAAGTAGTCCCAAAGTGGTGTGGTTATTTCATAATAGCACGTTATCAACCTGTTCCGGCGACGGGTCCAGTTATCTAAGATGTACTTACAATACGTATAAGACCTATAGGTACCTACGTGATATTATTTCAATCGAAATCAGGTACCCGCTGCTGTTATGTATTTATTTCACAATCTCTACCGGCACCATTAAGTAGTAGCAAGTAATAAATACACACTTAATAGCAAAATCTGAGGAGTTCTATGGCGCAGGTGGTTAGCGCATTCGATCAGCGATCGTGAAAGTTAAGTAACTTTCGCAATGGTAGGCAATTGGATGGGTGACCAAAAACTTATTATCCTTGAGCTCTTCTGTGCTTCGGAAGGCACGTTAAGCCATTGGGCCGGGCTGCATTTGCAGTCTTTAGCACCTACCAACCCGCACTGCGCCCGCGTGGTGGAACACGGCCCATAAATAGCCTGTGGCACTACAGTGGAGACATGAATAGGCTGATGATAAATAGCAAAAGATCGGAAATCATTCGGTAACCTAAATATATATAGTAAATAAAACTGAATTTGTTCTAGAAATAACGGCGAGTAATGATTTGTATTTTAAAAATGTTAGATTTTAAATATGAGTATAGCCTTATACTTTTGTTTTAAAATGCTATCGTTGGTCTGATAAAAAATAACATAAGAGGTCAACATATTCATAGCGATATCATTATAACCGAAGAAGTTGGCGTTCAGTAATTTAGAAGTAAATTGTTTTTACCCTATCTCGATAACGAAAGGAATCAAAATGTTTTCTTCTTAAACTAAACCGAAAATTAACAAGCGAATATATATCTATGACAATAGAATATCTTTGACTGTAAAAAAATGCATTGTATTTAATGTAGTAAAAAAAGTTTTGTTTATTACTACATTCGCTCACTTGACAAGGACGAGTAGGTAGTTAAACCACTAACCATGCATACAAAAAAAAGTGGAATTTTACAGGTAAAGACCACGTTTTTGTCAAATTCATATATTTCTTGTGTTCATATTAAGTTGGAAAATCCCATTGCTAATGTGAACTTACCGGAGATGCTTGTACATGCTTGTGAATAATGGCAAGCCGTCCTCATCTGTGCCTACGTGAGGATCGAACCTCCAGGTTCCTCCGACGTGCTTGGTTGCCTCGAACAAAGTGAAGTTCACTCCATAATCCTTCATGTATCGGGCAGTGCCCAAACCCGAGTAGCCAGCACCAACTATGCATGTTCGTTGGCCCTCTTTCTGCTGAAAAAAGTAAAAAAAAAAACATTATCAGCATCTTGCGCTGGATTTGTGGCGCAAAAAACAACGTGAATGCACCAGTGCAGATAATAAACGCCTATCAATGTTTATAGTAAGTATCCTATCATTTTTTTTTTATTTTATCTTCATAATCGGGATTCAAACGGTATAAAAAATAGGAAAAAAGCTTTAGAGCCGTTTCAGTTCTGTTAAACATGCGAAAAATACTTTAGCCATTTTTTGGCTGTGGTCTTGCTGGTATAGAATAGATACGGGTTCTACTCTTACAAAGCAAGAAGTGCTAAAATCTTGAAAGGGTTCTATCTATAAGTATCTTTCAGCCCCAGGCTGCTAGAGATACTGCCAAGGAAAGAGATGTAGCAAATAAAGACAGAGAGGAGTTAGTCTTTGCTGATATGTCTTTTCCGCGTCTTTTACATACAAAAAGTAATCAGAAGAGAAGCTTCGCAAAACATATAAAAAAGACAGGACGCAGACACGACGCCTCTTCATTTTGTATGAAACTAACAATATCCATGCCCCGTCTGGGTCTTACGTCCTTTCTGGGTGTCCCGCGCCTTACATTTAAAATGTAAGTAGGTAGGATCCTTGGAAATCAATTCCAGAAAACACCTAATCCTTAGCTAATTTTGAATAAACCAATATTTCAGAAGCGTGCAAAAATTTATTCTTCTTTAACCACGCGTTTAACAATCCACTCAGCTTTGTAATCACTGAACGTCCGGCCTCGCTCGATGTCAGGAAAAAAGTGAGTGCGCTAACGACAACAAAACCAAAGGTGGCGCGAGTGATGGAGTTGCCAGTTAAGAAAAATATCATATGTAAACTACTAAATAACATCGATTATTGGATTTATTTTTGGTTATGACCAAGCTAACACTAATTAACATCATCATCAACCTATTAATGTCCACTGCTGGGGCACAGGCATCCTTATGGATGGAATAGGGCGATTGGGCAATGACCCACCAAAGAGAGAAGAAAGATACTTAACTTTAACAATCGCAGCCGAAAGCACTAACCATTAGCGCCATCGAGATCCTTAAACTACTACTCCTCGTCTACTTACTAGTCAAGGTACGAAATCAATGATGTTTGCACTATATTTGTGTTACAATCATCCCGTGACTTCGTATTTAAATCTGCCTCTCAATACGAAACATGTAATCGTTCCTTACTTGGTATGCAACGGAACCACGACCTTATACCCTCATTTTCGCCTTATGCAATTTACAATGTTTATGTGCTTTGTCTGTGGAAATCAGTAAACTTTAACATTTTAGATTTTAACTAACATAACCAGGTATTGGTAAATAATAAAAAACCGGACAAGTGTGAGACGGACTCGCCCACCGATAGTTCCGTAGTTTGCAGGTCTACAACAAAAATGGCTGTATCTTTTTTTATGTTAACTTAGAAGTTTTTTTTCCACAAGTTTCAGTAACCGTAAATGGTTTCAAATTTAACTCGATACCTCCACGAGCTCCACATAAGGGTTCCGTTTGTTCCTTTTGAGGTACGCAACCCTAAAAAGATATGGAAATTTCTTGGAAATATTACGACCACAGAACAGAAAATGTGCTGTTCTGTGGCCGTATCTAATATTTCTGCAGAGGTGATTACGATATTACTGTATAAGAAGACTAGCTGTCCCAGCGAACTTCGTACCGCCATAAAAAAAATAGGGGTTGGTGGTAGAAGAATGAAGTAGTTAAATGCTTAAAAAATAAAAACATAACTAAATGAATCTTATTTATTTATTTCGTTTTATCAACTTTTTCTATAATTTTACCACATTGAGTGGGGCTTATAAGAAGGACAGAAAACATATGAGTTTATTCAAGAGAAACTTCTTTTCGGAGGGGTTGTAAATGGAAAAATCCTATGGAAAAGATGAAACGGAAATTCGTCACGAGCATCACACGACTATATATATGTATACAAGTAGCGCTACACCGAAGCGAAGCGAGAGCGTCGGCGTCGCTTCGTTTCTGTGTCGATGTAAAATGTTGCAAAAACGGGTAAAAATATACCATTTGCGAGCTTCCGTTGCGTGCGCTGCATAAATGATTTAAGTTACCCAAAAATCAATTATTGCGGAATTCTTCCCTTTAAAAGTTCTATACAAAAATCAAGTATTATTGCGGAATTCTTCCCTTTAAAAGTTCTATAAAAAAGTCCGCGACAGCATATGCCCATCGTTTAAGTTTGGCTCACTATAACCTATTTCCTCAAATTAACGCGAGTGAAACCGCAGGGGACCTTTAATTGTGACATAACTGTAATAAGTAGGTATTGCGGACTTTTTTGTAGATATTGATGTCCTCATTAAAACTTTATTACAACAGTTTGCTCTACTGTCAATGACTCTCGCAGCGTAAGCGATATAAGGTTCTTTTTTGGTATTTTTTTCACACCCTTGGTTAGGTTATCGAAATTTTCGTACGGAACCCTAACTTTTTTGAAAATACTCTGAAACTTATATTCACCAGGGATAATGTAGGATTCTAAACGTGAAAGAATTTTTCAAATTGGTCCAGTAGTTTCGGAGCCTATTCAATACAAAACAAACAAACAATCAAATCAATCAAATGCATACTTTATATTAAGCAGCTATGGCTTTCGCACGTTACCTATGAGAATAATAAGGGATAAGTGTAATGAGTGCCAAAAGATTATTTATGTTTAGTTATTTTAATAACTTCCTAATAATTTACAACATATTTAGGGTATTTGCTATGTAAATGACACAAGAAACCGCAGCTGAGAAGTAAATGCTTTGGAGAGCGGGTTAGCCTTGCAACGGCTGTGTACCTGTTACATACTCATTTAAATACCTTGGTCATCGAAATGATAAATATTGGATTCTAAGTATTAGTATAGCTATAAATTTCAAAATTGTTAATGAAGGAAAACGCTAGAAAAAATGTGCAAATCTATATCTCAGAATGTTGCTCTTGAAAATGTTAAAAAGTAAGTGCGCGGCAAGCTTTCTTTAATTTCTATTCATTTGGAGTTAAGCGAGAAACTTGAACTTATGTCACACTAATACTGAAGTAAGTATCCCATACATATCGTTAAGAGATCTCAAGTAACAACAGCACGTCTGATTGCGCATATTTATTTATCCTATATCAAACATTCAACAGATTTATCTGTTTATTTATTTAATTTATTATGCTTTTAAAATTCTTTCTGCAGAAATATTGTTTATAGATATGAAAAATATTAAGTACTTCAATATTAGTCAGTAATATAACACATGTTGCTAAAATATTAAACCGCAATACTTCAATTTACGAGCAATTGTATTGGAAACATATTTTTATAATTTATTGTTCTCAGAACAAAACTATTGTTAATAAAACGTAATACATACTATTTTTATAACTAATACCATTCATGTACTATTAAGTACGTATAATTCGGACCAAATAATGCATGTGCCAGTGGAAATACCACCAATACCTATTTGTAATCTAATCATGCTATGCGAAAGCGCTTTGAAAGTGAAATCGTAGGGTTTACGGGACTAACACGAAATACTTCGCGGTTACGTAAAGATTTAAACAAACTCGTTTTCTTCTTTTAATTAGTAGGATAGTTAATTCCGATCGTACGAATAGTTTTCTATATGGCAAACAAAGAGAAAACAAATAACTTTCTAAAAAATCATTGAATAGAAATTATTTTTTTGTACTATTATCACGTAACCGAAAACGCCTGGGATTGGCGAAGGCTAAAATGACGTCACACGCTAGTAAACTTCCGGTCAAAGTGATATTACATTGTATCGTTTGACGTTTTAATGACAGTCGTGTGACATATAAGTGACGTCATAATGTTCAAAGAAACGTTTTCGCGGCAACTTGAAAGTTGAACTTTCTTAGTTTTATATTCCTGATAATAATATACACAACATAATGATAGATATCTTTTTATGGACTCTAAAACATTAGTAAATACCGTGAGATCGTTTTCTAAAACTTTTCAAATACCCTATTCGCATGTGTTAACTTGGTCATTAGCATAATTGCGATAAGTACTAAAGTATTACGGTATATTGCGTTCCCTTACCCCATAATCTACCCCATAGAGAGCTTTCGTAGACCTTACGAACAAATATATTTTATACCTACATATTTTCTTATTTTAAGAATTAAGTGCAGTTTAATTATGACTAGCTTAGATATATTGATTGATTAATGAACTTTATTAATAAAACAAGTTTTGGTAGACTAATTTGATATCAACAAGTACCGATGCATACTTATAAAACTTCCTTGCAAATTAGTAAGTACATACCAAGTTAATTATGTTTTTATCCGCATCTCATACGACAGCAAGGCCTCGACTGGTTTCCGTCTAATATCGACTAACAAAACTTTTTTTGTAATGATAAAAAATACAATGAACTTATGTTAGTGGATAAAGTTGACACGGCTACGTAGCTTTTGAGCAACAAGCGACCTTTGGTCGTCGAAATTAAAAGAAAATTGTTTCTCCATATTTGGTTAACACAAGGTTTACGAGTATGTAATTTGCCATACATCGGATGTGACATGTCACCTATCTCCATCGCGATAGTAATACATGATTGCGACAGCTGTACGTAGGTACTGTACTGTAGCTGTACATGTGTCCGTGACACAACCGCTCGTGTTCCGATGTGGGCGAGCGAACAACAAAGCGTAAAAATAAATAATTTTTACCTGGTCAAGGCATCGCCCGTCCTCAATGGATTAAATCATTAACGATGCACCGACGCCCTTGAGAATTATTTTAACTAATGTCAAAGCCCGTCCGATATATTGTCCATCTGATGTCTATCCGGGTCCGATACTGCGATTGCGAGCAGCGCCCTAAGCACGAATTTTTACAACTCCGTAATCGTATCATCATCATCAAATTTTATATAGAAGGAGCCTGTTTGCTCTTACGTCCGGTAGGGGCGCCGCTTAGTTTTCATAGAAACATTGACGATGCGATACGATTACGGAGCTGTCAATATGCATGCTTGGGCCTCAGGTCACTCACGTAACGTAACTACTACAAGTAGAACTCATGAAATGTTACTCGCCGACAGAAGCACAGCATAAAAAATTTAATTCAGGCTTTTCTTGTCTTTCTCTTTCTACAGGTATTAAAAGTCATGTTCTGTACCCTTAGCTCGAACCATTATCGAATTCAAATAGTTTGCGAGTGCGAAATGTCAATGTCAAAATTTGTATGGAAACTTGAACAGCAGCGCCACAAAGTACGTAACGAGAACTAAAAATCAGTAAACATTTGACAATGACATTTCATACTGGCAAACTATTCGAATTTGATATTAGTGCGTGCTCGTTCGGGTACTGTACAGTAAAATAAATTCATATTAGAATATTCATTACTATTTCGGACCAACTACTACAGAAGAGGGTTTCGCTCAATATTATCCTGTCTCACGATGGACATCGATGCATTTTAGAACTTTAATGTGCAGAATGTTCCAAAGCGGACGTTCCGAAAATATCCGATACTTCGATTACGGCTGTTTAAAAGTAGACCCGTAGTTGCATATTATAAGAATGCCCAGTAGGAGCGGAGACAAGTCACACCAGTCTCTCGGCTAAACAAACACGGAGTGACAAGCATACCGGTTGTCGAGTTGTTTGCTGGGCTTATAATAGCGAAATCGCATGTTTCATATATTATTCATAACGTTTCATTTTTAAACACTCTTTTTTGTACAAAATTAAGACTGTAACGTAAAATATATAAAAAATGTGAGCAAACGAGGGATTATCGCTAATAGAGCAACAAAAGATTTTTTAAATCTTAAAATGACATGTTATTTCATGAAACATCAGCTGAATCTTTAATGAAATAAAGTCTCAAATTTTACAGATTTGTATTAGAATGCGTAAAATAGGCACTTAGATGAAACATCATTATTGTCAAATTGAAGAATTCATACCTAAATCATTTAGATGTTTCATCCAATGTCGATTAGCCCTCTGCTCGCCGTAATTCGCGTGCGTTGCGTCTGCGCAATGCTGGTGCTAACTAAATCCACAGAAGACTTGCCTGCTAAAACTTAAAGACTAGTATCGTGAGTTTTGTCGTGTCATGTCCTAATCAACGGTATCTTTGAATGTATACTCCCTAGATACCGTGTTAACTGCACGGAAGCAGCACAAAAATATCTACCACATATGGTAGATATGCTCGTCACTACACCCTGCGCTACACACATTGACTGCTTTACACACATCTGCCATAAGAGTCAGTCACACATTGGGCAAACATGAGCCGTTTTCTTTGCGTGGTTTATATGGATTGCTCTATCTAGGCGTATAAATAACCAAAGCACGGCATTAAACTAAGTAGCTATCGTACTTAAGTTACTGTAAGATGAACTATGATGACGATCGCGAGTTGTGACGTCGGCTCCATAAGAAACTTCAAGTGTTTCAGGTTGCGTTCACAGAAATAAATCAATTTGCGTTGGTATTTTTAAGCACAGGTATTTTTTTTAATACAATATCATCAAATTTAATTGTATTTTTTTTTTGTTTTTGTCGGGTAATTAGAATATGTCATCCTCATCTTACCGTGACCTACCTGTATAATTACAACAAGGAATGACATATAAACGGTATCCGTAATATAGGTAGGTAAACTATTACGTATTCTGAGTCTGACGATCAATTTGTCTGCATAACGCTAAATGCAATCTAAACCACAGTGCGTGAAGCGGTCAGCGAAATGGTTCCTGAGTTCCGGCCGCCCATTCGTTTTCACTTTCCGGTGTAATGTTTTAAAATATCCTTTATATCATTTTTATATCAAGTTTTTTTGTTTTATACATAAACATTTCGTGTTTATGTAAAAAACAAAAAAAAACCTTACGCCAACAGTGAAAATCTAGAAAATGAATGAACACGAAATCTTGTAATTTTTTGGTGGTATGTAGTTGTAAAAAATTTTTGTAACAAACTTAGTGTACATCTATTAAACAATGTTTATGCAAAATTTGCAGTCAATCGGCCCAAGGGATAAGATTTTACGAACTAACGTTTTTTGCAAATTTCACACTTGAATTTAAAAATACCCCATCTTATTAAGTACTTGGCTAGGCAATAATGGGAACCTACTGTCCAAATCTATCATTCTAGGTCCAGCCGTTTTGGCTGTGCATTGATAAGTCAGTCTGTCACTGTATCCTTTTCTCTTTATATAATAGTGTAGACTAAAATTTGTATTAACTTTAACAGATGAGGAGTATTCATTTGCAATCATAATTAATTCATAATTAACCATAGTTAATAATATAATAGCGACCCGCCCAGCTTCGCATGGGAGCAAGAAATTGAAAAGTGTTGAGATTTCAATGCAAAAACACCATCTACATTACTCAAATTTCAACATTTCAGGAGTTATCAAATTTCTTCCCTAATATTATTTTTAGGTAGGTTATGATATCTGGCTTATTCACGTACACGCGTTCTTTTATAATCCCCAAAATAAATAATCTGGAACGGTTAAATCCGGCGAACGCCGTGATCAATTAAAATCGCTGTTTCTTGAAATAATGCATGTGTCCAACGAAAATGTCCGCTAACAACTCAACTTTGCAAACCTGAGAATGGATCTAAATTAACCAAATTTCCTATTAATAAATTTTTACAATATTAAAAAAAATGAATTTATTCAAAAATAAAGAAATTATAGACTATTCAAACTCCTTCGTTTCTTTTGAGCCAGCCTGTATATTTATCTTATAAATTGTGTTGAGGAAGCAAGATGAAGTTCTACAATAATTTTATAATTTTTTATTATCTACTTCATCATCAAAATTATTGCAGAAAATAAGAAAGATTGTGTTTTTTGCTATCGATATTAAACAGTGTCTGGCTTTCAAATTGTTTACATTTTTCTCTACAACATACGTATGAATCAGGCCCCAGACTGTTAGTAAAGTGAGTAAAAAATTTTACGTGCCCGTGCTACCTGAATCCTGAAAATTGGCCCACAATACAAATTAGCGAGTATGTATACGTTCATTGTACATGCTTATACTACTCAATTATCCATATTTTGTCCATGAGAAAATAAGTAAGGTCTGGCTGGCAATCTTGGGATCTTACTCTGTGACAATAACGAACACAACAAAGAAAATGTTGCCTAAGTTATGTTTTTATTTTTTAAGCTTTTAACTGCTAGATGTTTAAATCTAAAGAAAAGTTTACTAGAAAAGGTTTACAAGAAAAAATAGTATGGGTCTGCGTGGATTTTTTTCTAGTAAACTTTTATTTAGATTTAAAAGTTGCCTAATTTTGGTGCACTTACTCGGAAGTAATGTGTGCACTTACATACATTTTGTGACTTTAATCAAACGTAACTTTTCATTGTTAATTTTTAATATATGTTTGACAAAGACGAAGTCATGACTCACATCTGTATAATAATACTTAAGTAGCTATTAATATTAATAGCAATTAAATTGTTAAATACTTATAAATTTTACGTTTATTTACCACAATTTGCTTTAAAGATCAAACCGGATGTTGGCATTCGACTAATATCATTTATTCTAATATAATTATAATGTATCCTATCATCCATACTACATTAACCTCATAATGAACATTATGCGGTTACAGCGATTTTATTTTATTTTAATGAAATTTAGTTTGGAGATATAGGAAACTTTAAAAAAAGACAGATACTTTATGACGCGAAAATAAAAAATGTGTTACGACAAATCCAATATAAGCAGATAAAGATAAACCCATAATTGAGGAGCTGACGAACAAAACGTTATAATTACATCAATTTAAATTACACAGGCAAACTGAATGACATACCTACAGTGAACTTTGGGTTTGGTTTTTAATTTATGAATTTAGTAATTTTAACACTGTTTTAGGCAGTATTGATTGAAAATGGCTTGAGATTCAATTCAAACGGCCCAAAACCGCTGGATTGTAAAAAAATCGTGTTGCGACTTATTCTGTAATTATAACGTTTTGTTCGCCAGCTCATCAATTTATAAATAAATAAGAGTTTGTAAAGTGCAGATGAGAGTTTTAATAACATCCCCTTCCACTCGCTATTTTCTCTTTTAATGAGGAAAATCAACATAACGAAAATGAACACACACTTACAAAATAATAGGGAATACATTATTATTCCATTGATCAAATTAAAAACAAAACATTCTTTTGCATAGGTACAAAATCAATAGCTTTTAAAGTTAAGTACGAATACTTTTCCATTACAAACGATGGAAGGATAATATTTCTTTGATAAAGCCTTTACATTAGACTTCAACGTCGTCTTATTATGTTTAACTTCAAATTTATGTAATTCGTTAATTAACGAATACAAATGGATTTAATTCTCTTCTGCTTATTATATTGTTGTTATTTACCAATTTAATGGATATTTAAATACTAAGTAGACGTTTTTATAGCAATCGTGTAGTCGCAAACTAGTAGGTAAATTAGCCATTACTAACATTATATTTATCCTACATCCTACTCACGAACAGCAAATAGAAAATAATTAATTGGGTATTTACCTAACTATAAGTATTAATAACACAAAGAAAATTAATAAAATTTATTCGAATACTGAAACATTAACATTCATTACATAATTATGGTAGCAGGTAAAGTAGATAAAAATGAGCTAATTTATTCATTTGATAAAATGCGATTCTACTACTTATTCAAAAAGTTCAACCGACACTTGCCGAAATTTAAAAAAGGAATCTAGTTCCATATAGCTTACTCACTTGTTTTTTTTTTCTATAAAATAACGTACTTTTACGTAACTAATTAAAATTATTATAATTCCAATTCATTATCCGAGAGAATTTAAATCGAATGCTGATCAAGAACCCAATAAAGGAAAAAAATACACACCAGTCCGAATCCATTTTTAACTTCAAGCGCCAAATTCAAGAAGCACAATACGAAAGCACACGGCCACAGTCTCTTTGCCATTGTCGAAAGAAAAACAAATTAAGATAAAAACAAAGAACACGCGCGCATAGCCGTCAGGTCCGCCGGCTACATCACTAATGACTGGTCCCGAGTTGAGGCTGGCAGGGACCTGCTAAATAACCTTGACCGTCAAGGCTCACTGATTCACATACTCGCATCTTAAAGTGTTACTATGAATTGATCGCAAAAAAAACATATAATAGCAATCGAGTCCTTTAATTTCATAAAGAACGTAGGTAGACAAAGAAGTCTCATTTAGTAAGTATAGCCAGTTCTGAGATGTCTCTGACCAAATCAAGAATTCAACGGTTTTGTTAATTATTTGTTTATTATATTTAAGAAGTAATAGGTACCCATTTAAAATACTTTTTTCATTTAACTAAATAGCTTCAACTGTGTAGAATTAAATTAAGTACCTAATCTTGACAAAATATTTACTATGATCCCAATATGTACCGCCTGGAGCGATTTTCTTTATTTAAAACGTTATATATACATATATATATACTAGCTGACCCAGCGAACTTCATTCCGCCATAAAAATAGGGGTAGGTGGTAGAATAGAAAATTTAGGGGTGCATCTATTTTTAATTCCTCATTATAAAAAAATAAATATTGTCCAAATAAATTTAGGGGTGTGTAATGTAGTGTTCTATCAATTTCCTGGGATAACATTCATCCTAACCCATTTTATGAGAACACTATATTACAATACCCAATAGTTTGAATTTTGATGCGAAGGCGCTTTGTAGGTTTCAGAACACTACGTTACAGGTGGACAACCATTATCACTTAAGGATATGAAAAATAGATAGTAGCCGATTCTCAGACCAACGGAATATGCATATAAAATTTCATAAAAATCGGTCAGGCCGTTTCGGAGGAGTATGGTAACTAACATTGTGACACGAGAATTTTACATATAAGATTCTAAGTACTATGATACCATCCCTTATATACATCTTTACACTTGTAATTGCATGACGAAGGATAGCTCGGCTTATTCTCTTCTCCATTGTTCATAATCTAACTCAATTTATAAAATTCATTAAAATTGGACCAACTATTTAGGTGTGTACAGACACATTTATCATTCGTATTTATATAATTTAGGTACTAGCGGCTGTTTTCAAAAACTCTTATGAACCTAACACTTTTTCGGGATCAAAAATATCCTGTATGTCTCTTTCGAAGTATTGCGCTGTCTGGGTACAAAGTTTCATCCAAATCCGTTCAACCATTTTTGCGTGATTGATAACACACAAACTCTCACATTCATAATATAAGTAAGATATGAACTAAACCCTAACTACATAATTAATAGGTATTTGTGATAATACCCACATTCCATCTAGGGCTAATACGGTAGAACAAAATTCGACACGACCATCGAGGCCGCGGTAGCATAGTTGTCAGTGCGTTCGCCCGGATAGCAAAGGGTGCGTGTTCGAATCCCGTCTGCTGCCTGGTCCGCGTCGTTTATTGTCTAGTAAAAGTTTCTTTAATTTTATACATCTAGCAAGTAAATGCTTAAAAAATATATAACCATAATTGCTATTTCTTCATTCAATGTTTAATACTTGTAAATGTATTAATTTGACATTGTGGGTTACCTACAATGCGAAGAGATGGCACTGCCTTGCAGCCTAAGAAATGCTAGAAAAATTCGACACGGCCATCAGGGCCGTGGTAGCATAATGGTGAGTGCATTCCCCCGGATAGCGAAGGGTGCTGGTTCGAGTCCCATCTGCTGCCTGGTCCGCGTAGTTTTTTTTCTAGTATAATTTTTAACATGCCTTTCCTACCTCACCTTGGTTTTCGAAAATGAGTCTTAGTACGATAACCACGTCTAATATCATCCGCATGAGACTTGGTCATGTGCCGGCTCCTGCGTATCTTTATAAATTAAACTTATTATATAATAATTACCCACCAATCGGCACTTCACCAGCGTGGTGGGTCATGGCCCAATCTTCGTATTCCATCCATAGGCAAGGCCTGTACATAAGGCCTAGGACATTAATAAGCTGATGATGAGATTATAATATATGTGAATGTGGTAATGATGTCGGATATCTTAACCATATTTTTCTTGCTCGCCCTTTGTTCGATCGTTCAGAATTTATGAAAAACTTATCCTCAAATGTTCCCTTTTTCTACTTCTATATCTATTTATTTTATTGTCCTGGATATTAATGATATTTATAAAGCGGTATCCCTGTTTTTATCAAATAATAATATTAAAATATGACTCACTACCTTCCTACCTATTTCTTTTGATTCCACTTTTCCAAAATTCCGTATATCCCTTTTTTTCTAAATAGCCGTTTCCCTACGTTTCTGTCGTGGCTAATATACAAACCGAGCAAGCCAAAAAACCTAAAACAAAATTATTATACTAAAGAAATAGGGGTTGGTGGTAGAAGGGTGAAAATTTAGGGTTATATGTATTTTTGTATGATGTATTATACAAAAATAAAAAAAATGACCAAAAAAAATTTAAGTGTGGATCACTCTTAACATTTAGGGGAATGAAAAATAAATGTTGTCCGATTCTCAGACCTACTGAATATGCATATAAAATTTCACGTAAAACGGTAAAGCCGTTTCGGAGTAGTTCAATTAGGCACACCGTGACACGAGAATTTTATACAGGGTGAAAAAAAACATATGACAAAGACTTAAACTACGCATTCTGTACACCCAAACAAGTCATATTACAAAATATTATAGGTGGGAAAAAATTGTATTTTTAAGTTAAAAAAATACACTTTTTTTCCAGTACGCCATGTATAGCGCGGCGCTTTACTGTAGCGCTACGCAAATAATGTGCCTGTGTGTATGAGTGTACGTGTGTGTAAGAGCGTCGATAAAAAAGTTTCTAAATAACGTTTTGAAAATATTAATGTATAAATCTTGAAAAACTGTTTTGGCTTTGACCTTCAATATCTCCATAACCATTTTCCCAAGTATGGTCTAGAAGAAAAAAATGATCTTCTTAATGTGGAAAATACGTGGCCTTCGACTTCGTTATAGGTATTTTTACATCCTGTATATTAGATAGATACTCAAAGATTAAACTCTTAATCGATAAACCCAAAGACGGTATAATCGGACCACGATAAGTTTGCAGACATTGAATCTGTAAAAATCTGGTCACAACAGAAAACTTGATCTGGAAGCACTTTCTGGATATGTGATGTTTTTTAAAAAGAATCATCGAAATCGATCTCGGAAATACGCGTCAACAATAATAAAACAATGAGAAGATCGATGGCGCCAGCGGTTAGCGCATTCGGCTGCTATCGTTGAAATTAAGCAACTTTCGCAGTAGGCATTGGATGGGTGACCAAAAATTTCCTATCTCGAGCTCCTCCGTGCTTTGGAAGGCACATTAAGTCGTTAGTCCGGCTGCATCTGCAGTCGTTAGCACCTACCAATCCGCACTGGGGCCGCGTGGTGGGTCATGGCCAATCTCCCTATTCCATCCATAAGGAAGGCCTGTGCCCCAGCAGTGGGGATATTAAAGGCTGGTGATGATGTGACAATAAAACAAATTTGGACCAGAAAAGTTTCTTTTATTAACTTAATATAAGCCAAAACCGCAAAATAGCATCGACTAACTATGGCATGCTAGGAGCAATTATTATTTGCTCATAGCTGGAATGCATTACCCGTTTTATTTATATATACTTTTTGTAATTGAGGAGTTTCCTCGTTTCGTCTCCCAAGCACTCCACAGATGTTCACCTAATTAAATTGCAATGAAATAATCCTGTAATTGAAGCTATCTAATATCACAGTTCCACGTACACACAATTTGCGTCAACCCAGAAAAGCTCTACCTACGTCCAAACTAGACAAAAAAATCCGGCCAAGTGCGAGTCGGACTCGCGCACCGAAGGTTCCATACAAACTCAATTTAATACCTACACGTTGATGAGAAAAGAGGTAATAACTTTAAAATTTTCAAAAAAAAAATTATATGATGTGACTAAAAATTTACGGTTATCGCAATTTTACTTTATCTGTACTGTAAGACGTTACTTCGTACCAAATTTCAAGATTCTAAGTTCACGGGAAGTACCCTGTAGGTTTTGATTCCCATGCGAGTTTCGAAAAGCGGCATAACTGGCTGTATCTTTTGATTGCTTTGGCTTAGAAGTTTATTTTTTTCGCAGCTTCAAGGGACAATAGACATGAGTATTAGATAAGTATTTCAGTTTGATATCTCCACGCGTTCCTGAGAAAATTGGTCTTGACAGACGGACGGACGGACGAACGGACAACAAAGTGATCCTGTAAGGGTTCCATTTTTTCCTTTTGAGGTACGGAACCCTAAAAATATCACTTCAGTATTTGTTGTTTAAATACAGATTTCAAAATTGAAATATATCACATTCATAGCTAGTTTTGATTTTGATATAGACCAGTATAGACCATACCCGTAGCAAAAACGGTATAAAAATTACCTACAACTTTTACGGCTACCCTTGTCTATAGTGAACAGTGAGTGCATTGTGACTAACATTGAGTGTTTACTGTGTGAACAGTGTTGTTACTAAAAAAATGTCAAGCGTGAACTGGCATTATACTTTTGAGCCCCGTCCCGACACCTAATAATATTCATATCCTACTCAACGAGCTCTAGTCCATGATTTATCATACATACAATGCGATTCAACTAAGAATAGGACCGACTGGGCACCACATTGTGACGTCATATCTGTCAATTCAAACCATTTCTTTGGGTAGAGTAAGCAAAAAAGTTTTTCTTTAATTAAACTTATTTACCTACATTTTACGGAGAAACAATATCAGATTTTTTATAATATTTATTTATTAAGACTGAGTGAGAAAAGACAATAATCAGAATCTAGCTCTTTAATTCTGCTCATCTCTGCCGTCAGAGAAGTCATCATCATCGTCATCATCATCACATCACTGATGCTTTCGGATATAAATTAAAATATAACGCATTTTGTGAAGATTTCAATAAATATATTCTAATGTTTTAGTAGCCTGTTACCAAATTATCATGAATTATCGCCAGTCGTATTAAAATTACTTATTTATTATTTTTTCTTTTTAAAATAAAGAGTACGTGAAACTAGACGCAGTGATGTGACATGAATCAACTGTCAGTTTGATATAAAAGTGTTGCCCGAAAAAAAATATTCCTTGAATTTAAGGAAAAGTATGTAATATGTTTATTATTGACATTGGGACCCAAAACAACAAATGTATTTATATTTGTTTTGCTCTATACAGAATGAAAAGGATAGATGATGATGATGAGATTGTTGTTAAATTTACTTTTAAAGGAGACGGTTCTTTGTATGCTTTGTCTGTAGTGAGTCTCCGGCAGACTCCAAATTTTTATGACATGTAGTACTCTTAATTGTAAATCATTTGACAGAAAACTAAAATTGATTTTATCGAGACAGACTTAATAGACCAGAATTAATAGAAAGGACCTAAGTAGTCTATGGTGTCGATTTTGCCATAATTCTCTGAACCTAAACTTAAATTTGACAACAGTGGTGTCGATTCTGGCATGATTCTCTAAACCTAAACGTAAATTTGACAACAGTGTATCCTTGTCATTCTCCATACAGAATGAAAAGGAGAGACTGATGTTAAATTTAGTTTTAAGTTTAGAGAATCGTGTCAGAATCGACACCATTGTATCCTTGTCATTCTCTATACAGAATGAAAATGATTAAACCGGGATTAAACCGGTACTATTAAAAAATCAAGCCATAATCAAATTTGTGTCATAATCAATGTGTTTTTTGCTTATATTTTCATAAGCAAATTATGTCTATGTATTTTAGTTTATTTATGACAAATAATAAATGACAGCTGCCTAAAATATAGCGAACAGGACAAATTTTCTACTACTGAATAATCTACATACTTCTATTATATCTACGATACTTCTATTGAAAAGCTGTATTTAAAGTTGATTAAAGAATATCTATTTAAGAAGATTTGAATGACAAAACGGCGTGATCATGATTTATCCATTGTTTTTGCTTTGTAATTGTTTGCAGTGTCCTACAGATAAATTACTTTAATTTTAAGTAAATATGTTGTGGTTGATATAGGTGGTTATGGGTAGTCATGCTCTCTTAAAAGTCTCTTCGGTGGCGTCGTGTGAGGCGGGTCATTATGTTCCCTAAAATATGGTTGAGCGAAGCGATGGCTGGTTCATGCGTCATGCTCGTGAACGGGTGCTGCCAGCGGAGATGAGTCTGCCCTAACTACTTTGATATTTAAGATATAAATGTTTAATTACACCTATTATAAATAACTCTGTTTGTATTTATACTGTGTGACACAGCAATCAAAATGCAGGTGAACAATTAATCTATAATTTCACATTATGTAATGAAAGGTGACTTCATGAATCATCTCTGAAATCATTTTTCAACTTGACGACTCTGTAAATGATAAAACAGGAAGAAAAAAAACAGCCCTTGCTGAGTTTCTTGCCGGTTCTTTTCAGTACAAGGTCTCCCGCCGTAGATTTACGAACCGATGCCGCGATGCCTTAGCTTCCAGACATTCATATGTGCTTGTAACAGCCTAAACTGAATATGATTATTATGATTACAATTCACACGCGTGAATTCACGATTTGGTAGACTAAACTAAGCTTTTGCAACACCAGAGATTTTACCTTCGTAATATTCTGCAACCTGGGTAATTTATTATCATGAAGCGGCAACATCGTCAATTTGACAGCTGATATGAGATGAAACGGGGAATACTCGAATAACCTCATTTTAAGTTATTTACAAAAACACCGCTTACACTTGTTGAAAAAATTACCTTTAAAAATGTCTAATGACACAGAAGATGATTTATCCGATTTCAGAGTAAGTTGTGCTTTTACTCATAGACCTGGCATTGAGTTTTTTTTCACTAATCAGTATCCAATATGTTCCAGATACCACCAATATTTGATGACTTGAACGAACGACTAAAAGAATATCTCCTGAAACCAGAGCGGCTCTCTATACATAAGTGGGAAAAGTCTCAAAGTCACTGGCATCGGAATTCAGATGTAGATTCTCTGTTTAAAATAGATGATGATGATTTTGGACTGGATACTACGCTGGAGGTAAACAGTGCTTCAAATATTTAAAACAAACTATATAACGACATTGAAGGGACCACATAACTTCGGACGTTATATCCGATAGTTTGTAAGCAATATATGTGTATATTAGTAGTAGTAGTCATATTAATTTTCATATGTATGTATGTAGTGTGGGTATAGGTCATGCATATGAACTTGTTTATTATAAATGATGATTATCAATACATTTTATATCAATATTCACCATTTATAAGTCATTTTAAGCGATATTTTGCTATATCCGATGTTATTATAGGTGGTTTGTTTGTTAACTTAAAGGTTTGTATAGGGATTCGTCTGGGACCTAGCCAATTGGTTGTAATAACTGAACCGTGGTTTTATACAATGTCGTTATATTCAGTTTCAACTGTATCTATACACTTGTTAAATATGTATTTTTTGCACCTATTTGCGGTTGGATTGCTCAAGACATTTAACTTATTACCAAAACAGTAAATTAATTATTAAAAGTGTTACTTATTGCATTGGGTCACACCTGTAATGTAGTAAAAGTGAGCTGGCGGACAGTAATTTTATGGCATAAAGATTGTACTTTAAGAAGCAATTCTGCAAAGTTATAAGGGACTGAACCTTGTAGTTTTATAGAGAAAAAAAAATGAAAGTTAATTTTCAAAGTAAATAACAATATACAGCACGATGTTGACAAGTTACTATGATTTTTTTAGTATAATAGTCTATGAGACAAGGTTTACATTACCATACAGCTATTAAAATTCTTAATTTCACTTCACTTTAATATAAAAATCAGTGGGTTAGGTTAGTATTGTGACTGTGATGCTTGAGCTGAAGGAGCGAAAAGAGGGTAATCACCATTTTGCTATCAAGAAAAGGACAATAATACAGCTCAGCTATACGGACTCAGCCCCTCTAGCATGACCACCGAAACGGGATATGATAAAGCGATATATCGGCATTAACTGTCAGACTACTATGGGGTTTCACAGTAGTCTGACAGTTAATGTCGATATGTCGCTTTGTCATATCCTGTTTCGTTGGTCATGCTAGAGGGGCAGAAGTGGAATCGCCGTTTCGCTCGCGCTGCATTGAAGTGTAAAGTTCCGTCTTGCTTGATATTTATCTTTTTGAACTCTACCAACTTATGAATTAATAAATAAATATAAAATTACTGATTTCTCAGTAAATTTGAAGTTTTCTGAAAAAAAAAACAGTCGAAGTTTAACTGATATAAGAAAGAAGGGCATACATTTCAAAAACATTTCATTATGATTTGTAATAGATACATTTACTTAATAATTTGAAAAGGTTGTACGGGATCCAATATCAGGTGAAATTGTGGGATTAGAAGAAGTTAGTATACCTATTGAGGAAGATGAAGAATGTATGTCTATGTCCAGAGCACCTTTGCCTCCTAGTCTTGCAACTCGTGGTACAACCACAAGAAGTCCATTTATGCCAGCTGGCTTTGAAGAGGAACTAGATAAAATACTCAATAATGCAGCAAATTTAAAAGAAATCAATATTGACTTGGATAATGATGAGCCTGGAAAATTCTTGGGAGAAGGTAGGCCTGACCTAATGTTTTAACTAGATCTCAAATACTATTCTAGGTGTGCTCTATCCCAATTTAAATTCTTTGTTATTGTTTAAAAACTAAATAACATAATACAGAATATTTGTATGTGTGTATATAAATCTAAGGTATTCTATGGCATCCCTAAATGATTATCTCCTCAACCTTGTAACATATAAAGAAAAACACTTTGTTAAAATTTTTAGATATCCTTACTATACCCCCTGGATGCAAAGAAGGTGTCATTTTCGCCAATGATGGTGTATCAGTACTTAACGATGAGACCAAAGATGAAAGTGTTGAAGATGAAAATTTGGATAAAATACAAAATCAAGTTAAAATTAATTTAGAAGAGGTTGTAGACAATAACACACATTTGGCGGGTTTGTATTTTATATATTTTCACAATTTGTTTATCAATACTCGAGTGAACGAATAAAAAAGTTTCATTGAATTGTTAAAATACCAAATAAACAAAATTTTAAGAGCTTGATGGGGCAAGTGGTTAGCGTGTTCGACTGCGATCGTTGAAGTTAAGCAACTTTCGCAGCGGTCGGTTATTGGATGGGTGACCAAAAATTTACTATCTTGAGATAGTAAATTTTTGGCCACCTTGCTTCGGAAGGCAAATTAAGCCGTTGGTCCGGCTGCATCTGCAGTCGTTAGCACCCACTAATCCGCACTGGGCCCGCGTGTTGGGTTACGGCCCAATCTCCCTATATCATCCATAGGGAAGGCCTGTGCCCCAGCAATGGGGAAATTAATAGGCTGATGATGATGAAACAAAATTGGTGCAATTTCAGTGCAGTATTTCTTACTAACTTTAATATAAGAGTAAAATCACGTTCACTTGTGCATAATATTTGTACCTACCAAATATTTTTTAACTTTTTGTGATATCCCAAGTAAAGTTTATATCTGTAATAAGGTCTATGGAATGATGACGATGATGATCAACAAGCAAAATCTTCCAAACTCCAACAAAAAATCGAGCCAGCTGCCAATGAGGCAGATGATGACAACTTCCTTGAGAGTACTGTGATACGCCCACCTGTAGAACTTCCAGAAATACCTATCCTCAATATAACTTCATCATCAGCAAGAACTGGAGTGACATCTACAGAATGGGCGGAGATGATAGATGTTTCATTGCCTGTCCCTGAATTCAAAGAGAAAATTAAAGATATGGCACACACATATCCATTTGAACTTGATAATTTCCAGAAGCAGGTACAATTGCTAGTTGCTTTTATTTCTTAAACAAAACTGTAAAAATGTAGATAATTAATAATAAATATAATAATAATAGTATTATAGCTATTTACGGGATTGTTACCATGTACTATGTTTTTTATGATTCTCTGATATTTACACTTACTCTGTGATCATGGTGCTTGCAATAGTGCTGAAATATCGGAGACTCATAAGAAACAAGGTATATGGTAACAATCCCGTTAATAGCTATAGTTATATAGCTTAGTGACCATTAAAGTTTAAAACTATATATAATAAACATAACTTTATTTTCTTTAACATTGGTTTGGTTACATTCTATACAAGTGATTGAAGCCACCTTTTAAGCAAATATTGCCTGTGACAGGTGAAATATGCACACAAATATTATTTAATTTAAATTCATTATGCTACTTACATTTGCTTGTAAAAAACAAAAAAAAACATTTTTAGGCTATACTGAAATTGGAAGAAGGTCACCATGTTTTTGTCGCCGCTCATACATCTGCTGGTAAAACAGTTGTTGCTGAATATGCAATTGCAATGTCGAGAAGAAATTGTACCAGGTAAAAAATAAACGGTTCTAACGTAAATATACCTAATTCTAGAAAATTATTTAAAAGATGCGTGAAGAAGCAATATGCAGATCGGCAAGGTAAGGATGGCTGGTGTGGCAGGTAGAACTGCTGTACCAACTATCCTCACGTCTGGATTTCACCGTCACTTAACATCAGGTGGGGTGGAGTTATTTGTCGGACCAATCTATAAAAATAATAATAATAATGAAATTTGTAATTGGGTCGGAATATCGTAAAAAAATATTGGTTAAGCTACCTCAAAAGCTTAATTTAAGAACCATTGTTATCACTACATTTTACTAAATGCGTTTATTTAGGGGTATGAACGGTTAGTAAATAGTAAAGTAACTAAAAATAAAATATATTGCTGGTTGCCACTAGATACTTACTTACATTGTCATCGTTTCAAAATTAAACCAAAGCAGAAAGCCTTTATAAATGTGAATTAAACAAATTCTCTCATTTTAATACTCAGGGCTATATATACATCACCAATCAAGGCGTTATCGAATCAGAAGTATAACGACTTCAATAAACAGTTTGGTGAAGTGGGTCTACTGACTGGTGATCTTCAGATAAACGCCACCGCCCTTTGTCTGGTCATGACTACAGAAATTCTGCGGTCGATGCTCTATTGTGGATCAGATGTCACAAGAGACTTGGAGTTCGTTATTTTCGATGAAGTCCATTACATTAACAATGCTGAGGTACCTATGTCTAATTTGCATTTAATTTCAATGAAAACTTTTCTTTGATTTTATTTCCCATACAAAATTCAATCTCCCCTTTAATACCTCTTCAAGTATTATTTTATTCAGAACGGTCGCAATAGTCCCATCTATACCAAAATTGAGCACAATGGATTCTATTCAGTGAAGTGTAACAATCAATTAATTTAATTTTGTTTTTCTTTAGCGTGGTTATGTTTGGGAGGAAGTGTTGATATTACTGCCAGCTCACGTGAGCATAGTCATGTTGAGTGCAACTGTACCGAATACGCTGCAATTCGCCGATTGGGTAGGACGGACGAAGAAGCGAAAAGTATATGTAGTTTCCACACCAAAAAGGCCTGTTCCTCTTTGCCACTATCTGTACACAGGTTTGTAAGAAAATATGTTTACGTCATCAATTTATTTGATGTTAATCCTTCAGTGAAAAGTGAAGTCAAGTTTCAGTTTTCATACGTTAAAATTATTCTCCAGGTTCCGGTGGAAAATCTAAAAACGAGAGGTTCTTAGTTATTGATCAAGAAGGAAACTTCCAGCTAAGAGGCTATAACGAAGCAGTCGCTGCTAAAAAAGCTAGGGAAAATGACTATAAAAAGAACTTTGGACCTAAAGGTAAAGGAGTTAGGTGCTATTTTAAGCAAGTACAACATAAAGTTGCTCATTGAGTAAATACCTATTCCTGTATGTTCTAGCTGGTGGTAAGCAATTCCAGAATCCAAAAGCAGAACAAACTATGTGGGTGGCTTTCATAGACCATTTAAAACAGAAGGATAAGTTACCTGTGGTTGCATTCACACTATCACGGAACAGGTACACCAAACATAAACTTAATTAATTAAATCTATTATATTAAAGGTGTAGTATTATTATTATACTCTTTTGAATTTTTCAGATGTGACCAAAATGCCGAGAATTTAATGTCCGTAGATTTAACAACAGCTAAGGAGAAAAGTCATATACGATCCTTCTTTCAAAGGTGTCTTCAAAGATTGAAGGAACCCGACAGACATTTGCCCCAAGTAATTAAATAATATATTATATAATAATACTGCTACCATACCAGCGCGAGAGACAGGGGCAGAATAATAAATTTATATTTTATTTCAGGTGATACGACTCCAAAGGGTCTTAGAAAACGGTATCGGTGTTCACCATAGCGGTATACTGCCGTTGCTCAAAGAAATTGTCGAAATGCTGTTTCAAACTGGTTATGTAAGTTTTAAGATATTTTAAAAATTCTCCTTCTATCTATTTATCCATCCATCCATCCGATTCTTGTTCCCGCTTAAGGCATCGGTTTGGGATATTACAATTTTCTCAATTCGACTGTATTTTTTATGTTTGTTATCTTAGAACTTACGACTGGGTGAACCGATATTGATGATTCTTTTTTTATTTGAAAGCTGGTACTTCCCATGTGCCCCCTTTTCAATTTGGTCCAGTTGTGACAATGGCATCGATGAGAAAACCATATAAGTCTTAAATTTGCATTAAGTATTTGCACGACAAGTGGACGAATGACTCAATATCACACCAAACGATTTTGATAATTATTTTTTTGTTTGGAAGAGTTTGTTTGGTGAAGATCTGATAAATACTTCCGGAGGTAAACAATAGATCTCCTCAAATACATACATATTACATACATAATATATTACTAAATTGTCATCTTTTAGCCATGTGACTATGCAATAAAGAATTTGAATACGAACAGTACTCATATCGCGTTTGGTTATTTTACGAAATATGATAGAGAGATCGCATGTCAGACATCTAGTAAGGTGATGTTGCTCTGGCTTATAAAAAAGGCAAAAAAAAATGATAACCGATTTCATAAAAACACTTATTTGTTAAAAAATAATGCATATTTATTTACTAATATGTACATTTGGGGCGTAGCATGGGGTTATAATAGCAACACGGATCTATCAATATATACATGGCCCAATATATCCAAATGATAATTTGACTTTAAATGTAGATAATGTAAAGAATATGCATTATTTTTTTTACACTATAGTGGTTTTGTTTAATGAAGTCGGTTTTTATTTTTTCTCAAAAAGTTTTTATATGTTTAGGATGTTTTCTTTGCAGCACTTTGACAACAAGCTATAGGTAGACCGCTTAACTGGGTCCTCGCCTGCGGGGTAAAGGGTGTGGCTCTAAAAGCATATGCGGCGTCCGGTTGCGAAAGCCATTTTCATTGTATAGAATGCTACAAAAATATAGAAATAAATAAATGATATAAATAAGCAAGCATACGTATGTATGTATATGTGTAAGAATTATAGTTTGACCGATTTGACTAGAAAAACGTAAACAATCACTAAAACTGACTGTATATACTCAAATCGTAGGTTTTAATTTTGTTTTTAAACATTTATTTAAAGTAATATGTATAAAATTGTAATTGGGTAAGGTAAGTAGGTACTATCTACCACCAGATTTATTCGGATGTTGATCGCCCGGCCCGGCTGGCGCCCCCTAGGGCCCGGCGCACGTGTGCGGCCGTAACCAGCGCTCCTATGGAAAAGACCCCTGGCGCCCCAAGCCCACACCTCCAGCGGTCCTCGTTCTCGTCCCACTCCCTTTATCCCGCAGGTGAAGACTCAGTTAAGCGGTTTACCTTTACGTAAGGGTATATAACATTGGTTTGATCATACATACGAATATTTAGAATGTCGTATCTGCTTTAGTTAATTTTCTTTCTTTCTTTTCTTCTTAATATAATAATTGTATGCCCGAAATGGGCAAACTGTTGGTATTACCAAATTTTACGAACCATTTGTACATAGTTCTGGACAATAAATGATTATCTTATCTTATCTTCTGTTTTTTCCCAATTGAGGAGCTGGCGAACAAAACGGTATAATGACTTAAAATTAAATTTTACAGGAGCTGTATAAAACTGAATGACATACCAACAGTGAGGTTTTGGCGTGGTTTTTGATTTATAGATTTAGTTTTTTTAACACTGTTTTGGATGGTTTTGATTCAAAAATTATTTGAGATTCAAACTCAACGGGCCCGAAACCTGCGGACTGTAAAAAAAAAGTAGTTTGACCTGATGCGTAATTATACTGTTTTGTTCGGCAGCTCCTCAAATCATAGGCAAACCTAGATTTTTTTCTTATTTCTTTTTTATTCTACAATACATTGTATAGGTAAAGATATTATTTGCGACGGAAACTTTTGCAATGGGCGTGAACATGCCTGCCCGAACTGTCGTCTTTGGTGAAATCACGAAGTTTGACGGCCAAGAGAGACGGACCTTGGCACCCGCCGAGTACATTCAGATGGCAGGCAGAGCTGGCAGAAGAGGTTAGTGAGAATATGTGTAAGACTTTATCCTTATCATCATCAGTCTGTTAATGTCCCCCCTGCTGGGGTACAGGCCTTCCCTATGGATGGAATAGGGAGATTGGGCCATGACCCACCACGCTGGTCCAGTGCGGATTGTAGGGTGCTAACGGCTGCAGATGCAACCGGGCCAACGCCTTAACGTGCCTTCCGAAGCACGGAGGAACTCGAGATAGAAGAGTTTTGGTCACCCATCCAATGACCGACCACTGGGAAATTTGCTAAACTTCATCGATCGCAGCCGAACGCGCTAACCACACGCGCCATCAAGCGCCTCGATTATTTACTTAATTTTAGTATGCATTACTTGAAAAAATCATACATTATAAAATTTAATTAAAACCAATTTTAATAATAAACACATGATATACCCTCTGCTTAATCTGTGCTCTGTTTAATTCCACGAATAAGTAACTAAGCATTAGATATTTGGAAATCACAATTAAACGGCACATTTTCCTTGCGAATCACAGAATCACAAGGCATCAAATTGTTATAAATAAATATTTTTTTATATCGAGCAATTCCGGTTCATTCAAGTATGAAATCCGAATTTTAACATCTCAAAACTTAAACTCTGCTTCAGGACTGGACGATACGGGAACAGTGATCATTTTATGTAAGGACGAAGTGCCGAATTTGGTCACCTTAAAGGGAATGATGATGGGCATCCCACAGAAGCTCTCGTCGCAGTTCAGACTCACTTACGCCATGATATTGAGTTTGCTGCGGTAAGTTGATTAATTAATGTATAACATCTTTCCTCTCGCTTTCCTGCAATTTGTGGGAGTGATTTCGTGACATGGGACGGAAGTGTGTAACAGGAAGTCGCGAAAGCACGCGCTATTTGATTTGATTTTAGAACATAATTTTCAAATGGCTTATTCCTTTTGTAGTAGGTTTTATTTCCTTTTTTACTAATGTAAGGTGAGGTTTCAAATGTTACACATCATACGCGACTACTGTAAGGCTCGCTCGTTTTTTTTGACGACCTCCGTGGCCGAGTGGTTTGTACGCCGGGTTCCAAGGTATCACCTACTCGAGAGGTCCCGGGTTCGAATCCCGATGGGGGCAGATGTTTGTGTGATGAATACGAGCATTTGTACTCCAGTCATGGATGTTATTTTTTTTTTTTATATAAATATACAGTATCAGTACATGTATTCTATCCGTTACCAGCCAGCATCCCATAACACAAGCATACAATGCTTACTTTGGGGCTAGGCTAATTGGTGTGAGTGTTGGAAATTATTTATTAAGTTTATAAATAGTAAACACGAATTGCCAATTTCGTCTTAGAACTGGTTTCGTTAGCACCCGTTTCTATGGCTATATTTCAGGCTCTAGGCACATGACCTTTGAACCTATCATTTACCGTTAACGAAGATAGAGGATTTGGAACTATTTGGGGATGTATTTTCTTTTAATACTGATCTTTGCTGTTTTCAGTGCGGCCACAGTCTCAGTCGAAGGAATGATGCAGCGTTCCTTCCGAGAGTTCAATCAAATCGTCCAGGCGGACAATTATAGGAAACAATTGCAATTGGCCGAGAAAGAATACTCTGAGAAATGTAGTAGTCCTTTAGCGTCGCACTTGACGCCTCTAGCCACCTTCTACGATACGGCGGCAGCTTATGTCGACGTATTAAATGAGATCATGCCGATATTGCTGAGTCAAGCGAAGTTGGCCAAAGAAATGGTCCCAGGGAAAGTATTGGTCGTTTCGGCGGGCCCGTATATCAATCAGCTCGGAATATATTTGAGTGGGAACGGTGAGAAAGACATTTTGAAATTATATTTAAAAACTGTTTTCGATATTTTGCCTGTGATAATAATAAAGAAATATGCCTTTTAAAGTTGAGTTCGTATGATTCCGGGGATGATTCTCCTTTTGAATGCGAGTGCTTTTTTATTTTTTCAGATTCGCCTTGTTGGAAAACGGGTGTATTTTTCGCATAACAAATCACACTTGAATATGTACAATAATTACAATTTATAATAAAAAGAGAAAAACTTTAAACTGTTACATGTTACTAGAACAAAAGTTCGACATTGACAAGCGAGTTTATACAAATGAGTACAATAAACTGAAAAACCTTATAATATTATAAAGCCTCTTTTAACATCCTTACAGAAGACTATCCAAATTTAGTATTGTATTAATTGATGTAGTTTTTGTTCCTTTATGTTGTAAGTTTACGAAAGTTCCATAAAATTAAGGATATATTAATGTAGGATAAGGTCAGGTTAAGGTAGATAATGCGGGAGCGACACGATAAGTTTTTTTTTACAAGCAACTAATTTAATACTCAACTATTCGAGGCTATATTACTAATTTCCAATACGTAATACAAAATTATTGATTTTAGGACCTCGTCAAACCCCGTACAAAGTTTTGGTACTGAATACGGCTGAACAAGACCCGACCAGATACAACTTCGAAGTCGATGAGAACTGGTACAGAATGCTTGGTTTCTCCACTATGTATGATTTCGTAGGTAAGTACCTACGACAAAAGTACTCCAATGTAATATTTTAGAACGAATTCATGAGTATTGTGCTTTTTATTTATCGCAAAAAGTTTAACTCTGCTTACATTATATAAAAATAATGATACCCACTATTAGCTCAATCGCACATTGAGCCCGCTAATCACGGCTACTAAACGCGACGACAAGCTGCGGACGAGTTTATAGGGTACCGTCGCCAAATGGCAAAAAAGCGGAATCCTTATAGATTCGTCATGTCCGTCCGTATGTCATAGCCACTTTTTTCCGAAACTATAAGAACTATACTGTTGAAACTTGGTAAGTAGATGTATTCTGTGAACCGCATTAAGATTTTCACACAATAATAGTAAAAAAACAATAAATTTTGGCAGTTAGAACTGAAACTCAAAAATTTTTTTTCGTCAAATTCATACGTGTGGGATATCTATGGATAGGTTTTCAAAAATGCTATTGTGGTTTCTAAGATAATTTTATGTCTAAACTGAATAGTTTACGCGAGAGACACTTCCAAAGTGGTAAAATGTGTGTCCCCCGACTGTATCTTCTAAAATAAGAGAATGATAAAACTAAAAAAATATATGATTACCATGCAAACTTTCACCGAAAATTGGTTTGAACGAGATCTAGTTAGTAGTTTTTTTTAATATGTCATAAATCGCAAACCGCTTTTTACCTTTCATTCAATCAACTGAAATAAAAAAAAAACACATTTAATATCATTAACATAAACGTTATGCATAAACCGTGAACCATTATTTTCTAATAATAAATCCGTAATAGGTGCCCAAGTAGATAAGGAAACTAAACGTTGGAGTAGCCGCGTACGAGCCAGAAACTGTGAGAGTCGCCCGAGCTCTCTACGTGTGGCCGATGAATTGTATAGCGGCAACTAGTGGCTGTCACTAAACCACTAGCGGCGGCGATTGGTGGCCGAGTCTAGTGGCTTGACCGAGCTGCTGGTGATCTCGTTTAGTAGCCGCGACTAGTGGCTCAATGTGCGATTGCTTTTATTAATATAGAGCATGTCGCTGTTTGTAACTTGAAAAAAATATGTCGTTGATGCTTTGTCATACTATTCCGCTCCACAGCAAAATATAATATTTTTCTTACAATTTTTACTTATTATAATCTTCCATTTTATTAAATGTGCGTGCTGTGTAATTTATTTACACCTCTTTTTAAAGGAACTGAAGAAAGCACATTAGATCACACAATACTATGCATAGCGGCAAAAAACATTGTAGCAGTCACTAAACTGAATCTCAAAATTGACGCTAATATCATCATTCAAGACTGGGAGAAACGGCAGATGCCAAGGTACATTTACATCTTACTCCTACTAATATCTTACTTATTAATAACTTATAAATTACCTATTAGAAATTAGTAAAGGCTCATCATTTTCTTCAGAAAGTTTTATTTTATATTTCTAAAAGATTATGCCTACATGTAGCAAAACTGTTTCCATTTATTATTATTGCAATGTTTCTGTTATATTTGTTTATATGTCAATGATCTCAAATTTAAAGCTAATGGTTACCATATTATATTATTATTAGAGCAATAGCTTGATACTTAAGTATTAGAAGATTTTTATGTTTATTTAAGTAAGTGCAGTGGAGGTTATAAAAATACATTTTTTCGTGATTATTTAAGAGCTTTTTCTAAATTTTATTACTTAATAAGCAAATAATTGCCTTTTTTTGAAAGACTCGAGAATACTCAAGAATTCGGCCTCGAAAATTCCCGTGCCTTGAGAACGAAAATAGTTCGAGAAATCAGAACCCCTACTCGACAACCATGGCTTAGGATCTAACATATGTGCTCAACAAAAAAATAAGTGCCCATACCAGAATTCGAACCCGAAACCTCTTTGGGTGAGAAGTCAGGAACACAAAAGTTACATCAGCCAGTCGTCAATACTAGTGCTTATTGAAGGATAATGTTTTTAAAAACGGCAGGTTTAAAGACGCCCCCGTTGGCTCGAACTGTATGAACGCCACTCAGGAGCTGTCCAGACTATCGCACGCGGTCCGAACGGGCGCGACTAGTTTGGAACATGTGAGTCTCACGCAATCGCTGGCAATCTCCACCGGAGAGATACTGCAGTCGCTGGATAACTTGAATCGACATAAGGTAAGCCTATTGTTGTCCCCATAGTATGTTTAAAGATACCCCAGTAGGTTCAAACAAGTAGATCTAGTTTGGAACACGTGAGCTTCACTCAAACGCTGGCAATCAGCACCGGGGAGATCACAGAGCACAGAAAGAGGTTAGAAAGGGCATCATAGACCCTTTGTACGGGAACCGATGTTAACCGCCCCCACTACACTTCCACCTAATAGATAAAATCAAACGACGCGACATCAAACATTCAAACCTATCGGCGCTCACACCCGAGACCAACGACGCATCAGAACTAAGTTTTGGTCAAGTTATGAGCATTTGCTTACACATAACCTTGGCGCGCCTGCCCCTCCCACAAGGCCCTTTTAACTTCTTTCTGTGTTCTGTGGGGGATATACTGCAGTCGCTGCATGACACGAATCGACATGAAGTAAGCCTATTGTTCTCCCCATAGTACATATAAAGATGCCCCATAAGGTCCACATGCAACAAAATTGCTGAATCCCAATTTAAATAAAACTAGATTTAGTCCATATAATAATGTCAAATTGATATTGACGTTCTCACATTTTTCAAATAAAAACAAAAGTATAACAACCAATGTTTACTTCTAATACTGCATTTACTTTTCTTCCGTCTTAATAGCCAAGATAAACAACATAACAAGCGCTAGTGTGATCGTTGAAGTTGAGCATCTTTCGCAGTGGTCGGTCATTGGATGGGTGCCCAAAAATTTGCTATCACGAGCTTCTCTGTATTTCGAAACGCACGTTAAGCCGTTGGTCCCGGCTGCATCTACAGTCGTTAGCACCCGCCAATCCGCACTGGGCCCGGTGGGTCATGGCCCAGTCACCCAATTCCATCCATAGGAAAGGTCTGTGCCCCAGCAGTGGGGACATTGATAGGCTGATGATGATGATAAATAGGATGGTCTAATACTTTATCGCAGTATAGGCAATAGGGTATTTGATAAGTTTTAGAAAACGATCTCACTTTATTGTCTAATGTTTATGGAGTCCGTAAAAAGTGGATATTCATCATTCTGTTGTGTATTTCAGAAAAATAACCAAATCAAAAACTCCATTTTCAAGTTGCTGCGAAAACGTTTCTCTGGACAATATGGCGTCTTACTAGTGTATGACGTCACACGACTGCTAATAAAACGTCAAACGATACAATGTAAGGTCACTTTAACCGGAAGTTTACTTGCGTGCGAGGATCATTTTAGGCTCCGCCAATCCTTAGCGTTTTGGGTAACGTGACAATAGATACGAATTTATTATCTTTTTCGTGGGTTTTTAGGAAAATGATGAATATTTTTTGGTAAAAATAGTAAAAACCTCTGCCAATATTCAATCTAAACACAGATGCTAACAATTGGCACTTTATTTTTAATACTGTCAAAAACCATATTTTACTTTTCTGTTAATAACTACTGCCTATTACAATAATTCCAGAGTGAACTAGAAGCCCAAAAGAAATGTACGGATATCGCCAACTTCAAGTCGGAGTTCGCGATAGTGTACGAAAGGAAACAGACTGAGAGGAAACGAGACAAATACAAGAGACTCCTATCTTTTGAGAATTTAGCTCTGTACCCAGACTACCAGCGAAGATTACTAGTGCTGAGGGAACTGAATTACATTGATGAACATGACAGTGTTATATTGAAAGGTATGTATTTACTTTAATTAGGGATGATGGCTTACTTTCTTATCTTCGTCTATCAGGTAGATTTATCAAAAAGTATTGGACACGTTCTTTTTCTTTTTTCACATAATAATAACATTACAGAGACCATATTGACATGAAATATCGCATGACGTCACGTCTCGGTACAATTTTACTTAGAAGTGACGAGTCACGAGCCCCCTCTCCATTTTTCGTTGTTAGGTTGCGTAGTATGCGATATGGTAACGTAAAAGTTGATAATTTCTATCTATCTATCTCTCTAGTATCCAAACTCGTGTCCCGCAACCTGTTCAAAAATCCCACTGTGATCGCGGAATTGCTCAATTGCTTCGTAATACAAGCGACTTAACACATACCTACATTTTTGGCAACTTTCTGCACTTTTCTGACAAAAGTTTCGCTGAAATCACGGCGTTACTCAGTTGCTTCGTGTTTCAAGCTCCTTATAATATTAAAAATCCTTTATTCCTAGTCGTCCCCGCGGTGATTGCCACGCGAGGAAAATGGAAATAAAAAAACTGAAGTGGGAACAATCACTTCATTCCCATTTGCCTCCGGTGCAATCCCAGTGGGGGCGACTGGGAATAAAGGAATAACCTACATTTTTGGCATGAAATGATTAAATAAAACAAGTTTTAACGGGCTAGATATAATCAGTGCGATTTTATTTATTTATTGACGTTTCGCACCCTTTGCTGGAATGCGTCGTCAGAATAATGTCAATAAATAAATAAAATCAGTGCATCTCACCTGTTGAAACTTGTTTTATTCAATAAGTGATGTGCGTGAAAACCTAAGAAACAAGAAATGATTACTCAACTTTCTCCATTTCGCGTTGTCAGGTCGCGTAGCATGCGGTATGGGAACGAACGAGTTAATAATATCGGAACTTGTGTTCCGTAACGTGTTTACGGACAAAAGCCCCGCTGAAATCGCTGCGTTATTGAGTTGCTTTGTTTTTCAAGCGCGCACTCAAATAGACCCGCAGTTTACTGACAAACTAGCTGAAGGCGTGAAGGCGATAGAGCAAATCGACGACGAACTGACGAAGATAGAGGCCAAATACATGGTGAGATGTCAGCATTTTGTCCTTTTCGTTTGTGGCGGCCATATTCAGTAATGCCAAAAATATTTATAGATGTTTAAACAAGGAATTAGAAATATTATGGAATACGAACTGCGTTAACAAGTGGTTCCACGCAAACTGCAATCAACATGCCCGATTATGGGATTGGGATTTCCGTTTAAAATTATTTAACACAATGAATGGTTAGTTGAATTCATTTGCAGATATTTCATTTTTCAAAGTATAATGTTTGGTCTGTGTGCGTGTTGCGTTGGTATCGAAGTTTAGTTGTATGAATTTGGAACCATGTTTAAACGGTCTTTGTTAAAGATTAATGTTTCTATATAATTTCTTATTTGTTGTGTTTAAATTAAAGACACGTGTTCTCTTACTAAATTTTTATAGAAGAAAGTGCGTACAATAAGTTAATAAAACTTTTCTGAGTATGGTTGTGTATCACAATCAATAAAGCACTTGTATCCGAGCAGTTGTAGTATAAATTATATTTTGTCCCCGCAACCATATGACTGCTATTTCAAAGTTTTATTCTGCATTTTATTATATTTTGTTATTTATATTTATAGGTAAACCAATTTGAAGGTCAACCTGAGAGACTGAATTTCGGCCTCGTGAGAGTAGTATACGAATGGGCTTTGGAGAAGCCCTTTGCAGAGATCATGGACCTTACAGATGTCCAAGAGGGCATCATCGTGCGGTGTATACAACAGTTGCATGAGGTAACATAAACTATTTTTACACAACTGCTCAAAAAAAAAGAGTGATTCCGTCAGCTTAACCTATAAGTATTATATTTTAATTTTTAATATACAGTGGTGGTCGTATAATTAGAAACACTACCAACGGTCCTTGACATTATTGAGATACTTCACCGCAATCGTTTTTATTTTGAAATTAAACAATAAAAAGGATACTACATTACGGACTAACATTTAAATCAGTTTTTAGGTATGAACAATAATGGTCAACTATAATATATATACATATAACTGAAAAAAGCGTGGGGCGCTTCATTAATAAATTTTATCTGAATTGTTGAACATTATGCATCACGTAATATATCAATTGATTTGATAAATATAACAATGAAAAGCGCCCCACGCTTTTTTATATACGCAGTTATATATATATTAAAATAAACTATAAACATGGCTTACTCTAACGCCCTAATGAAGTAAACAGAGAGTATTTTTTTTTATGTTATAGGGGGCATACGAGCAGACGGCTCACCTGATTGTAAGTGATCACCGTCGCCCATGGACACTTGCAACACCAGGAGTATCACAAATGCGATGCCGACCTTTAAGGAAGGAGTACGCTCTTTTTTTGTAGGTTCTTGCGTCGTAGTGGTCCGGAAACACTGCTGGCGACAACATATTCCACAGTTTTGTCGTACGTGGTAAAAAATTTCGACAAAAACGGTTATGGATAGCCACGCATCAAGATGATGGTCAAGATGATGGGGATGAAATTTTTGTCGCGATGTACGATGGCGAAATGCAGCAGCTGGAATTAATCCGAACAATTCCTCAGAACACTCCCCGTGATAAATGCGATAGAAGATGCAGAGCGAAGCTACATCCCTACGCAAAGCCAAAGGATCAAGCTGATCGGAAAGGTCCTGATCGTCGACGATTCGAGCCGCTCGGCGCTGGATGCGAGCAGTACTCCATGAGAGGCCGAACCTGTGCCTTATAAAGCTGCAGTCGGTGGACCGGTGTGAAGTACATTCTCGATCTATCGAGCACACCAAGCTTCTTAGAGGCCAATTTGGCCTTGCCCTCTAAATGATCCCGAAACTGGACGTCGCTCGATATGTCAACGCCAAGAATTCCAATACTAGCTGAGGCAGTTAGAGGAGTGTTCTCAAAAAGAGGAGATACGACAAATGGTATTTTTTTGCGGTGAACGCGCATACTTGTGTCTTCGTAGGGTTAAATTGGACTAGATTAAGTCGGCCCCAATTCGTTACTCGGATTAACAAAGTTTCGACTTCAGACACAAGTTTGTTCCGGCACTCGATGACGTTTTCCCGTGAAATGTTGGCGCGACCGGTATATAGGGCATCACCCGTGCTGTCGTCTGCATAGCAATGAATGCCATCAATTTGAAGCATATCATTGATATGAAGTAGAAACAGCGTAGGTGATAGCACACAGCCTTGTGGAACACCAGCGTTTACGGATTTGGAGTCCGAGCATGCACCGTCGACTGCGACCTTGATGCTCCTGTCCGCAAGAAAGCTAGTGATCCAAACGCACAGCTTTTCAGGAAGCCCATAAGAAGGAAGCTTCGAAAGAAGCGCTTATATAAGCGCTATATTTTGTGTATATTTTTTACGAACATATGTACGTTGAAATTATACTCTCTCTTTATTCATAAGAAGTGTTTCCAATTATATGACCACCACTGTATTGCGACTATAAGGTAAAGTGCTAAATTTTTAACAGCTAAAGTTTTTTTTTTTTTTTAAGTTAGTCATCGACTCAGTTATCAGGCTTGGGTCTCCATTCGCTTTCCTTCACTTTCTTCTGATATACAATTACTTTGATTTAAGTCTTATGCCATTATCCCGAAACGTTAACCAAAAATAAACTCTGTCTAAAAATGAAAGAGAGACCTATTGTTTACTAAAGCTTCTCTTTAACAGAGATAACATTAGGCTCAAAGTAAACGACAAACTTTTGTCCACGTTTTATAAAAAGGCGGTTAAAGTTTTTATTGATAGTCTCAAGTACTCCATCAAAATGAACCCATTCCGATTAAGTTAACAAGTAGTTGCTCGTGACATCAAAGAAAGGAGTCGAAAATGCCAACGCAAAAAATTCTGTCTCTCTCGCACGGTACCTGAGATACCAAGTGCGAGAGGGGCAGAATATCTTAGGTCGGCATTTACGATTCCTTTCTTTATTGACACGAGTTATAGCTAACGATATAAATGAAAAATTTACTAATATTTTTTTCAGCTTCCATGGTCACTAACATTATAATAATTTATGTTATTAACGGGATTGCCATGTACCTTGTTTTTTACAAGTCGCTGATCTAATCCAAGGTGCATGGTAACAATCCCGTTAATAACATCTAATATATAAAATTGTCGTGTCACGGTGTGCGTAATTGAACTACACCGAAACGGCTCGACCGATTTTTGTGAAATTTTATATGCATATTTAGTAGGTTTGAGAATCGGACATCATCTATTTTTCATTACCCTAAATGTTATGGATGTAATGTTATGGTCCACCCTTAATTTAATTTTTTTGGAAAAAAAAGTTTTTATTTTATTATTATACATCATACAAAAAATACATACAACCAAAAATTTTCACCCTTCTACCACCGACCCCTATTTTTATGGCGGTACGAAGTTTGCTGGATCAGCTAGTAAATTTGTATAAAATCTACTTTATTTCCGTAGCTCCTCATCGACGTGAAAGACGCGGCGGTGGCGGTAGGCGATCCGAAGTTACAGGCGAAGATGATGGAAGCCTCCACGGCCATCAAGAGGGACATTGTGTTTGCGGCCAGTTTGTACACCACGCAGAAGGAATCGCTCACCGTTTGAAATTCAAAATCCTTAGTTTTCATGGAAAGTACTTACAAGCTAAGATGATGGAACCCTCCACAAGCAACATGCAGGCCGGCAAGGTGAGGATGGCTGGTGTGGCAGGTAGAACTGCTGTACCAGCTATCTTCACGTCTGGACTTCACCATCACTTAACATCAGGGGGGTGGAGTCATTTGTCGGACCTATCTATAAAAAAAAGAGGGACATCGTGTTCGCGGCCAGTTTGTACACCACGCAGAATCGCTCACCGTTTGACATTAAACACTCGTATGTTTGATAGGAACTCGTAAATAAATTGGTGGACCCAATTGTCTAACTTATACTCATAGATATAGAGATTGCACAGAGCGACAATCCCATGGATTTGGAAACCCTCTATAGAAAAAGAGTAGGAGATCCAAAGCTACAAGCGATGATGATAAAGCCTCCACGGCCATCAAGAGGGACATTGTGTTTGATGCCATTGTGACAACCACGCAGAAGGTATCGCTCACCGGATGGCATTAAACATTTGCTTGTTTGAGTGTATTTCAATTATTTACAGGGTCCTTATTGTCTTACTTTCATAAAAAGAGAAAGGACGAGCGATAATAATTTCATGAATTTAATAACCCTTTAAGAATAGACAGAAAACATCTAATACTCAAACGAACTATGGACCCCAATAGTTTCGTTGGAGAGAATGCTCAGTTCATTCTCTACTTATGTCTATGCTTCTTCCGCGATCCGTTGTATTCGACATTTGGAAAAAATCGATATAATGTCACTCCACATTCGCTTTGGCTATGAAGTGGATCGTGACTTTTTTTACGCTGAAGTTAGACAGTTAGCCACCCAGGACCTATTTATCACACCAAAATCATTTTAACTCAAACTGTGTATACGTCGTTCTATGTGTACTGAGAGCAGAGGCCCGAGCACGAATTTTGACAGCTCTAAGTGTATCGCCCTAGTTTGTTCTTATATCCGATAGGGGCGCTGCTTAGTTTTCATATAAACTATTATAAGAATAGAATTATTATTATTAAACTGGCGATGCGATACGATTACGGAGTTGTCAAAGTTTCGCGATTGGGCCTCTGCATTTCAGTGAATTTGTAATACTTTATTCTATGCTCCCTCCATCGCAATGTTAACCAAAGTATAAAATGATGCGATAGCGACAAGGACTAATCGAAGATCATTTAGCTTCGCTGCCAATGTAATCAGTATTGTATCTTTGTTTACGGTTTAAAGCTAAAAATATTAAGCATAAAAATTCACGTCCAATATATAGCAGAAAAATACTACGAAAATGGCTTCTAAGTCATAAAGGTAATGAAACCCAAAAAGTTATCCACCAAGTGATACGATTGTAAAAAGTTTTACGTGCTGCATTGAACCAATTTTGTTACTGATTAGGTAATTTAATTTTCGTCTTGTCGTCATTAAGAGACACTCAAGTTTCTTTTACTTCCTTTTTATTACGTGTGTTTTTTTATTATCACTTTATGGATGATGGAGTACATATAGATTTGAAAATATGTACACGAATTTCACTAATCGACGTGTGCCTTATACCGATTGCAATAAAGGTTAGCTCTCAAATATATCATATTTTAAGTGTATGATTGATGTTATTGTATTAAAACAATAGATTGTTTTTATAGACTGAACATTTAACTTATTATCTACGTAATATATGTATGATATTTCCAAAGAAACAGGAAGAGTTTGCTACATGTATCATGTGCTAAAATTTGTTTGTGATAAAATATACAGATATAATACAAAATCTACAGCGTTTTACTAATGTTGCAATACACTGTGGGATGATACAATTATTCTGCTCTAACTGCATTGCATAATATCTTTTAATAAATAAATTGTTTGTATTATATTTTTTTTAATAATATCTTTTTAAATTAACGATTTTAAAAAATAATACACTACAATTGTTAAAAATATTATTTTATTCATAATGTTAGTTATAGGTATCTTAGTACTACTACTCAATAAAAGTATTCTATATGACCTTTAATAGTTAAGTTTAATGTATATAAAAATGGTAGTTTGAAAAAATAATATTATATATTTAACTAAAATAATTTAAAAAAACCTTGTTTCTGGTGATAAAAAAATTTGTAGGTATGTAACTTTTTACATAAATTCGAGGTCAAATACGAAGAAAAACTCAATATCAACACACACATCCCCGCCTCAACTTCCCTTGGAAACAGCCGCCAATAGAGTGCATTATTAGTCTCTTTCATTCTCATTCACTAAGCAGATTAACATTTTGCTCTATAAGGTACATTTTTGGCCATACACACTACGAGAAATCGTTAGGTTACGATTAGACTGTACCGTCCGAACGGTACCGATAAATCGTAGCGTGTATGTTATAAAACTGCACAGTTTCCTATACGTACGCCACGTACGATAAACTGTTCCGTTCGAACTGTACAGTCTGATCGTAAAGATTTCTCGTAGTGTGTATGGCTACCATTAGCCTTTACGTGTCAACGGTGTGAGCAACTTTCAAAATAAGTACACAACTAAATATTTTTGCATTAATTTCTTGAAAACTGTACTTATGAATGGAATGCCATGTTTTTCTTGTCTAATAATTCTCGTATATGGTGTGTACAATCAAAAATCACACATAGGGATTTTTGTCTGGAAACACGTAGAATATTTACACTTGCAGCAAAGTGTAGCCGCGGCGAGAGAGCGTGCCCGACTGAATGCAAGACGGGCAATTACCAGACTTTCGTATTGCCAAATTAGAGGCGTGTATGACGTATCTTTACTTTAAAACATCATAGACCCGTGCTGATTATTTAACATACCGAATTAAAATGCTCGAGAGACTGGCATATTATTATAGCTATAGCAACACATATTCAATTAATGGTAACAATTTATTTTTATTATTTGCGTATAATGGAACGTGGTGCCCTTGCGAGGTGAAACATATTGACGTCAATCAGCTAAACGTCAAATTTTCGTGAAACGGAACGTACAACTTGTCTGCTGTGCTGATACGGAATTTTCATAAAATTATTCGATGACTTGTGCAAATTCAATGTTGATGTGTTGATGACGGAACAATAGTTAAAAAGTGTAAGCACGTAGGTACTGCGATAGACTGTTAACTTGTGCTCATGTGGCCGTCAGTGATAAGGGACATTGGTTAAACTGTGCATTTATTTTTGTTCTACGTTTAATAAGAAGTGATAATCGTTGAAAATGATTCAAGACGACGAGTATGAACTTTTTGTGACTACCCCAGAGCGGATAGAGGCTCTGGGGTTTAAGCCTCAGAAGGAGATTCTTACTAACCACATCTTGCCATATGCTGATGAGCTGGATGCAGAATCCACCAGTTTCTTGGAGCAGGTCAAAACTAACCTAGCAAAATCTGTGATGCTGCGTGAGATGAAACCTGCATGTGGAGTATGGTCATCCACGCTAATGAAGTAATACATAATATTGTACCTAAGTTTGTAATTGTTAGACTACCTTACAAATTATAAAAAGGCTCTGCTCAATAGCAGTACACACAGTTCTTTGTCACAATATCCACAAAACACTTATAATTTAAATAACTTTTTGAAACAAAGTAGAAAATATATTGTAAAGTTCATTGTTCTAAATTTTTTATGTTCTTACAATTGCTTATAAGAACAAAAACCTACTGGAAAAAGTAGAATGGATGAAGAATTAACTACTTTATAATAATATTAATGGTTTTTGGAAAACTAGATTAGTATTTTTACCTGTACTCTAATTTAACAATGAACAAATTTTTTTTTTTTAAACCTTTAAGAACACGCAACATTAGGCATTAATTCATTTGATGAGCAATAATATTTGTGTCCAAGTCATATATATTTATGTACTTTATATGTAATGTAAAATGATATATGTAATATAAAGTATATTATCTATTTATTTCCTATGGTACAAAACTCTGCTTAGTTTGGAACTAAATATTTTTTTTGAGTTTATTATTATGGAGAACTGATTGTTTGGTTGGTAAATAAACAAATGCCACACTTAATAGTAGAGAGCAACAGATACAATAGAAACAATTAAAATTGACAACATTTCCCTTCCCATGTGATCTGGTACCCTAACTAGCTGTAGAAACAGAAAATTGCATTATTCGGCTGTAGTCTTTTCTAACCCAATATGAGCAGGTACACTGGCCTGTACCTTGCTGAAAATGCATATATGTAGTTACAAATATAAAATTCCCTTAGATAAATATTACATTCTTAAATAGGATGTGTTATTTATAATTTACAAACTTACTTTATAATATTAATCTAATCTATATAAATGTTATCATTAGTAAAACCTGAAAATCACTTTATTTCAATTGGCAGTCTATTTTTCCTGTTTCCATAAAAGGACTATCTTATTTATGGTCATAGCAATGACTATTGCACTCTGTAATAATTACAAATCATAATGATAATGAATTAAAGTATTTTTTGTTTTTAAACAATTTCAGTTGAATCTTTTTAGTAATCATTAACATTTACATATTATATACTAGCGGCCACCTGCAACTGCAGGAATTAACATTTATGAAAACTTAAAAAGTATACAGAGAATATACTACATGCGAACAAAATTTCATCTAAATCCATTCAAAACCGTCACATTTATAATATTAGTAGGATGGTTAACTCATATCATAATTCCATATATAATGTTTGTAACATAGCATCATAGATATTTATTTACCAGCAATATCATTCATAACAGAGGAATATCCTAGTTCAAAAATAAAGTTGTAACTAATCTCTATGTTGTTAACCTTTGGCAGCATTTTCAGTGTCTCAAATTGTCTGGCCCTAACCCAGAACTTCCTGATGATGACACCTTGTCTTTATGTTGTTATTATTGTCATTTGATATGCACCTAAACACTAATATATTTATGAATTGTTATTGCCTGAATAGGCACAAAGTTTATAGAGTAGAGAAAGAAGTTTCAAGGTATAATTAATTACCTTTAGTTATGTGATACTTTATCAAAAATGATATGTGTAGTAATTTGTAAAATATATAAATTGATGGCTTAACCTATCATGCATTAAATAATAAGGTATTTTCCAAATTTTTGAAAATGCTTATATTTCAAGATTGTTGATGGCTTAATTACCTATCATGCATTAAATAATAGGGTACTTTCCAAATTTTTACAAATGTTTATATTTAAAGATTGGGACAAACAATTTAACAGAAAAATAAATTGAATGTAGTCTTTTTTCTCCATTAAACCAATTAAAGTTGAATTTATTTTTAATGGATTTGAATTTACCGCCAAAATGCTCGGTTTGATGACATCAACTTTGTGTAATCATTTGAAAGTCAAATTATTCACTTTTTTATGTTCGGGATAAATTTATAGTATAATATTTACACATTTTTTTTAAAAAGAAAAGAAATTGTCAAATAATTACTCCGTAATCACAGATCGTCCACAGACTACATAGGTGTTAAAATTTTACACACAGTAGACATCATCGAACCGAGCATTTTGCAGGTAAATTCAAAACCATTCAAAATAAATTCAACTTTATTTGATCTAACGAAGAAACAAAGACATTAATTTATTCTGTCAAATTGTTTGTCCCAATCTTTAAATATAAGCAGTTTTCAAAAATTTGGAAAATACCCTATTGTTGGTAGCAGTTCACCATTCATGTCAGTGAATGCCGTCGTTCCTCGGGGTTCCGTCCTATCCCCCATTCTCTTTCTGCTGCATATCAATGACTTAATTCCTCTTGGGAATATTCATTGCTATGCAGACGATAGTACATTGCATGTGGGGTATCTCGGACAAGCAGTGGCTGGACAGGCAGTGACCAAGGAGAAACGGGAGAATCTTGTCATTGAACTCAATTAGGCTTTGGACCACATTTCTGAATGAGGTACCGAGAACTTGGTTGAGTTCAATGCTAAGAAAACACAGGTGCTAAGAATTTACCTCTAAGATGGCTCCGCCAAGTACTTGCTCGATGCTTTGTATAGGCTACAGCGGCGCGCGGTCCGCATCATAGGAGATGAGGAGGTGACTAAACACCTGGAGTCTCTTCAATTACGCCGTGACGTGGCGTCATTAAGCGCGTTCTATCGTCTGTACCACGGCGAGTGTTCCGAGGACTTATTCCACCTTCCCCTTTCCTTCAGAGAACCACGCGCGCTGGCCTACGTTGTCACCGACTAACTGTGGCCACAATTCCAACGCGTACAAAGAAATTTGGTGTGACTCTGTCGCACTATCCGTAAATGGAATGCTCTGCCTGCTCACGTGTTCCCTCCTTCTTACAACCTGAGATCCTTTAAAAGAGGCGTGAAGAAGCAACATGCCGGCCGGCAAAGTGAGGATGGGTGGTGTGGCAGGTAGAACTACTGTACCAGCTATCTTCACGTCTGGACTTCACCGTCACTTAACATCAGGTGGGAGTATTTGTCAGACCTATCTAAAAAAATATAATTGTATTTTTTTTTTACAGATACATAAGAATATATGGACTAAAGTTTGGAAAGGAGGACCACATAGCTTTGATAAAATTGGCATATGAATTAAGTACTCATTCCTGATTTGGAACCACGCAAAATACACAAGTTTGCTACATTGTTTTTGATGCTCACAAAGTAAGTTTATTTATTTAAAAAGATTTCCGTAATGGAGAAATCAAATTTTATTTTGTCAGTTCTTAAGCTTACATGGGTACAGAGAGTAGTTATATTGTAGTAGAGGGCAAGCCAGTAATTAAGTAAAACGACATATTAGAATATATTCTATGTGATCGAATGCAAACATACATTAAATATTTAACACGGGAATGTAATCTAAATTATGCAGCTGATATAACTCTAAATAAACAATTCATTATGCAGAGTTATGTGGGAATGAGAGATATCTATTATTATTATTCTCTTAACCTTCCAGTAAAAATGGTAATAAAAGTTATAATGATTCAAATTAAAGTTTTAGAAATAGCCTCTACAGTAACTACACATATATAAAGAATACGTCCTCCTTTGGTTTATGATCATCCTAATATAAAACTAGTCTATCATTCTGTATTTAGAAAGAAAATTTTTAATTTTTATATGCATAAAAGTCCATAATAAATAATTACTTCACAGAAAAAGATATTTAGTTTCGCCAGAAGATCTTACGCTACCATGGCGCCCCCTATATGAAGTTGGAAAGAAGATTTTCGAGAAAAGTGCAACTCATGTCGGACTTTATCATTATCTGTCGTAAGTACTTTCATTCCTTGTCTTTATAATAAAACAGTGTTGAAATGTCATGTAACTTAGAATGTTCTAGCCGCCAGTTGTGTCAACGCCACTTTAGTTTTTTTGTTATCCCATAGGTATTTAATTTTTTTTTTGAATTAAGAAGTATCCTGTAGCCATTTCATCCAAATCCTAGTAGCTGTGAAAATTCCAAATACATAGACATAGTTTTCCCATATAATATCAGTAGGATTTGTCTTTTTCTGAGTAGTATGTTGATCTTCTGTGTACACGCCATTTAGTTTTCCATCTGGACTGCAGCCAAATAATCTAATATGAGATAACAATAGGAATGGGACATTATTAGATATTAATAGGGCAGTCACTATACCAAAAACATTAATTGGATTCATCATGTATATTTTCATGATTTTGGATGAAAATGTAACAACATTTAGAATTTTATTTTTCTACAAATTATAGTCTAATTATAACTTTGCCATGTGTGTTCAGGCCAAAACGTTCTGGCAAGCAAGGAGACGATATACTCGGTATGATTCGAAAATTCCTGTCCGGGTATGGGCTCGATGACGCCTTAAAATTGTTCGGCCTGGCAGAACGGGACGACAATGATCTGCCCACGTAATGACAAAGTTTCAACACATGGGTTATGCTTAAACATTCGGTGGAAGTTGGTTTGGCCTCATACCTCATTTCATTTAATACTTTGTTGGTTCTATCCTGTGTCCACATTTCGCGAGGTGCTGTGGTGGTATGGTGCATGTTGTGTTCTTCAAAGTTTACTTGAGGTAATTATAAAATCTTTACTTTCGCAGGTCTCTGGAGTCATCCTACATGTCTATGGTGAAGTGCGCAAGGCCGTAAGTATCTCGTGTTTCGATTTGAAATTATAAAATAGATTCCACCAAAAAGGAGCTCATTTCAAATTTACCTTTTTAGATATTTCGAGCTGAGCGCAACAAAAGAGATACTTGATGAGTTCTTACCGCAAATAAATCCTTGGTCCTCTGAATCAAACCTGATTTGCCAGCTAGTGGTGTTCCTCCCGGTGGCTCTCCCTCCGCAACACGCCCATCAGGGCCACAAACTATGGCTGGACAAACTAATGGACCTATGGGACACATGCTACAACTCGCAATGTGGAGTTTCGGTAGGTTTATTAGGTAATTTGTGTATCAATGGATGATTGAAGCACAAATAAATAACAGCTGTAATGTGCTTTTAAAAATAAATCAAAATTTTTAGATCTTTTCCCACATACTAGAAAGCACCGCTTACTCTAATATGAGAATTATAATTTAAATTTTAACCATCATGTAGGTTATAGTCTTGCGTTATTTAAATAACTTTATTATTATGATCCCTTGCTATTCTTTTATATTATTATTAATATGTAATGTAATGTCATAAGACATTACAGACATTACTAAAATGTAATGTCATAAGACATTACATTTTAGTTGACATAACGAAGTTACAATAACGGAGTCTTATGTTTGTAAAGAATACAATCAGCATATTTTTGTCAGAATGCGCCGAAGGACAGAAGGCTACATAAACACACCGAAAAAGAAATATGTATCTTTTTCTGTGTGTTTATGTAGAGGCATAATCACAATTCCCGTTGATTGTTGAAAGTATGTCTTAGAGATAAGAATAAATTCATTTACAGGAACTCACCATGCTGTTTGCTGGGCTGGCGAAACGAAACCCAGGCGCTGTAGATTGGAGTCCGCAAGTTGCTAAGTTGTTCACACGGTTCCTACATGCTTTGAACCTACCTGTTGGCTACAAAGACATGCAAATTAAGAGGAACCACTCATTAGGTCAGTGACAGTAAGAAACAGTAAATAAACAATTGCTAGAAAGCAGTTATCATATCATCTTAAATTAAAACTGCCACTTTTTCATCAGTTCACGTATCTCATTGAATTTTGTTTTAGACATGAAACACGTTGCCTCGTGGATCGTGTGGAGCATATGCCCTGACGGCATGGTGTTAAAGCATCTCCGCAGCTTTCTTGCTGGAGTGGAAAGTTATTTACACAGCGCTAATTCTGGTCGCTGGTCTTATAAACTAAGGGATTTACTAAGAAAACTAGCCAGAGAGTTTTTAAACAGGTATTTTGAATATAAAAATGACTACTCAGTACTCGTACAATACGTTATTAGTAAACCGGGTTACAATATCCCGTTGTTCTACTTAACTAACATAATATTTCGCTTGTGTTGAATTATTTTATTACTCAGATAGCATAATTTCTAAAATGATATATCCTATTTTCAGAGTGAGAAGAGAACGTGAAAAGCGTTTCAAAGAAAGCTGGGAGAACCAGACGCCCGACCATTACAAGCTTCGAGACGAAGATATCACAGAATTTGTAAAAATCGTACTCGAACCAACACTTCAGGCGGTTTACAGTCGCAGTGGGGCGTTAGATATCTCCATCGCATTGCAAAACTTGGCTACTCTCAGGCCCGTTATTGTAGTACCACCCCTATTGGAAAGATTGCGGACTTCGTTGACTTCTTTGACTGAACCGCATAGAGTGACAGCAGCTATGTCTGCGGTAGCTGCTGTAGCCAGACCCATGTTAAGAGGCGCTGATGCTGACTACCCTGAAGGCCCAACGCATGTCGTCCCATTCCTTTTAGCTGTTCTTCCAGGTCTAGATCCGAACGACATTAAGAAAACCTTAGTAACACTACATTTTATATTGATCTTCACTTGGATGGTTCCATACATTGATTGTAGTTCAGCGCATGAGCACTGGAATGATTTGACTGAAGAGGAGCTGTTAACATGCGAATCTACCGCGCAAATGGAGGATTTTGTCCTAGTCTTTTTAGATAGGCTCTTTGTAATCATCGAGTCCAGCACTCTAGAACACGTACGTCTCGATACAAAGGAATCGGACTCGTTAAGAAGCAAAACTGACGCAGTGATAGAGACGGCGATATCTTCGGCAGCCACAGCTGTACTGATGCAGTGCTCGCCAAAGATATTTAAGGAGGCCTTGAGAAAGTTCAAGGCGTTCGCCACTGAGTCAACGTTTGAGACTAATGTATCCGGCAGTATGGTCGGTGTGTTACTGCGCGTTTTCGCTCGAATCGACTCAGAAAGCACTTTAGCAGCATTCATACCCAAACTGTGCGAGGATCTGAAAGAGTTATTGGCTACGGAAGAAGCTTTGCACGAAGAGAATCCTCCGCGAGATCTGTTATACAGACTGGTTTTATTGATGCGCGTGGTCGAATGCGACGGCGTTGAACTACTGAAATACGTGCCTGATATACTGCCTTTATTGGACAGAGCGTTGAAACTGCACGCCAACTACGCGTTGTCGCGTGCTTGCGAAATTCTGAGTCATATGCTCACGTCGTTGTGCTACGTGGACCTAAAGGAGTGGCGTAGTTCACCGAAAGATTACGGCGCCGCGCCTGAAAAGTGGTTGCCTGTTCGGGAATGGGGTCGCGGTTGTTTGTTGAAAGAAGCTGACTTTAAGTGGCACGTGCCTTGCGCGGCGGAAGCGGAATGCGCTCAGATGCTCATAGACCGGTATTTAAAACCGGAGGTTGCGAGACTACAGCAGTGGATGAGTGACGAGCGGTCCATGTGTCGGGAGCGTAGATTACGTAGCTTCTATATAATTAACGCTGTTCTGTCGTGCAGCACGTTCTTACCACCACCTGATGAGGAACCTGTTGCTTTGTGAGTAAATTTTCTAGATATCGCAAATATGCAATATTATTAAATTATTTTTTGCTGATATACATAACGATAATCAATTTCCATTCACTAAAGGAGTGCCGAAAACATTTTTTGGGAATCAACTAAAATTATGTAGAGAAAGATACCTGGTACCGGTATTATGAATTGTGAACACCACACTGCCCAAAAACAGCTGTTGAAGCGAGATACTGCTCTTATTGCGCGTATGTGATGTTTTGCTCGTACAAAGGAACCTGCCTGGCGTAGAGTTCATAATACGGCCGAGTTTGTTTGACTGGGTTATGTAGGAAATATTTTGTAGAAAAAAAATATCAATATTTTTCTTAATTTTAAATTTAATTCCATGTAGTAGTAGGTATTGAAAAGCTTAATGCCGGCACTTCACTCGGCCATTCGTGTTGGCTATTTGTAAACTTGACATCAGTCTGTCCTTTTCTTTCCTTAGGTATTAAGCATGATAGCTAGCTGTTGTCAAGTTTACAAATAGCAAATACAAACAGCCAAGTGAAGTGCATAACACTGAATTTTTGTCGATTGTATTCAAAACTGTCTTATAAAGTGACATGTTACAGGATGGAATCGCAAGTGCCGGCAACCAGCTTGCCTTTCACTAACGGCGTCCGCTACCAAGTGAAACTCGAGGGAGAGAACATACGAGCGGCGCTTACTCGACTCCTGTTGGCGGTGCAAGCGCGCATGCTTGCAGATAAGGCGGACGACACGCGAGGCTTCGAAATGCTTATACAGGTCAGGAAAATGTTATAGTATGAGATACAAATCACAAAATTAAATTATTTTCACAAGAATACATTAACACATATTAGGCTTGTCAATGAAAATAAAATAGGCCTTTCGAAGACGGCAGAACACTATAGGTGTGTACCATCTTCAAACATAATCTATTAGTAAAAATATTGATCGGAGTAATATTCACAATTAAAATCAACCGCCAAAATTGTTCAATGTTGTATCAATCTATATATATAAAAATCAATTGCTGTTCGTTAGTCTCGCTAAAACTCGAGAACGGCTGAACGGATTTATCTTATTTTGGTCTTGAAATGTTCGTGGAGGTGTAGGGAAAGATAAAAAGGTGAGAAAAATAATTATATAAAGAAATTCATTGTGTATGAGAACAAAATCTATAGTCTACCTACACTACAGCTATACACCGAAGCGAAGCGAGGGCGGGCCACTAGTAAATTATATATTTTTACATTCCCTCAGGTCTGGGAACGCGTGGTGGTAATGAAAGGACTACGGGCAGGCCCGGGCTTAGAAGCGAGGATGCGTTCGTTCGGCGCTTTAGAGCGGGCCTTGGACGGACGCGGCGGAGTTGCGGGTGACACACGCGGTGCCGCGCGGCTTCGTATGTTACTCGCCGATGGAGCCAGATTGCAAGACGAATCGAGATTGGACCTTGTGTGCGACGCTGGTATCACACCGTCGGCTCTTCAAGCACTGCATGCGTTGTACGAGCTGTCTATCAACACTTATAGCTCGGTAAGTTGTAGAAAACTATCTTGGTTAGTACGTTTTTGCATATTGTTCACTGATAGTGACAGACTGCAAGACGAACCAAGATTGGACCTAGTTTGCGACGTTGGTATCACACCATCGGCGCTTCAAGCAGTGCATGCGATGTATGAAGTGTCCATCATCACTATAGCTCACTGAGGTGAAGAAAACGTTTTTGATAAATGCATTTTTGCATGTTGTTGACTGATAGTGATAGACTGTAAGATGAAGCGAGATTGGACCTAGTATGTGACGCTGTTGTCACGCCGATCAAAAATTATAGCTCGGTGAGTAAAAAAAAGGTTCTTTGTTAGCGTATAATTTAATGTTGTTCGCTGATGGAGCCAGACTACAGGACGAAACGAGATTGGACCTAGTGTTGACTGATTCCGTATTTTACATGCTAATACAACCAAACTGCAAGAAAAAGCTGTTTTGAAACCAGTATGCCCAGCTGGACACCGCTTGTGAATGCATTATTTAGCAAAATAAAAGATCTTGAACAGATTATATAGCCCGTATATTTGAATTGACGTTTGGAACCGTTAACCTAGGTCATAAGATATACTCGATTTATTAAAAACATATCTATTTTATTGGAGCGTCGACTTGGGCCCACAAGCCTGGCTGTAATATTATATTTTGTTAAGAGTCAAAAAAAATTTTTTTTTGAATAGGTCCGCATCCTGGCTCAGATCCGTCTTTACTGGATGCTATGCCATTATCCGTACTCCTACCGCGCTCTTGTTCCGAAACTGTCGGAATTGCTCGCGAAAGGAGGTGAAGGGGACGAATGGCACGATCGTCACAAGGGCGCCTTGTACATGATGCTCGGACCCCGATCCGGTCCTCTCATAGCCAAACAAGACTGGGATGTTGTGAAGTCTTTATGGCCTGCAATCCTGAAGGCACCATTGAGTGAGAAACCTAGCATTTTAAGGTGAGTTTTTAACGTCTGGTGATATTTATACACCATAAGTTTTACTATTAAACCCATTATAAAATCACCGAGAAAAAGCGCTCTTGCAAACGAATGAGATTTATTTTTCTTTTAGACGACATCTCATTCGTTAAATCTCGTTTACAGCAGCGGATATTCTCAGCGTTTTTTCTAATGCTTCAAATAGCCCTTATGACTTTTCCTTTATGTGTTCGAATGCGGATTCCCTTATAATTCGAGTGTTTTTATCAATGGACGCTGCATTTTGAACCTTGGGGTATATACATTACGTTAAGTTCAAAATGCTAGGCCTGCGTTATAAAAGTGTTAAAATCATTATTTTAATACAAAAAAGTGTTCGTGTGCATAGAAAAAAGTGGTCTATTTGCCACCAGCAATGATTTCTTTGTATTCTACTACACAAAATAATTATAATTGAAATAAAGTCACATGTTTTTGTTTTTAAGTTACTAGGTACTATTAAAATCTAAACTATGAGGGGAGGCCCAGTACTTCTAGTATGCTATATTTTCATATACAAAACATTTTTGTAGACCAGAACAAGCGTTAAGCGATTCAATGCACCGATTCTTACCGTCAGTGTCTACCCGACTATACAGGGCGTCCCAAGGCTACCTCACACGGAGGGAAAGTATATTAAATATTGAAGATAGGATATTTTACTGAAAGAATACATCATTTTATTTTTAATAATAAATAGAACTGCATTCACAGATTTTTTTTAAAATCGCCTGCTACAACTGGGAATCAAACTCGTGAAATTTCAAAAAAAAACACGACATATTTTATGATAACCATCGAAAGGGTTAATCATAAGGATTATGGTTTGCTAAATAACATAACATTTTAAATGAAAGGAATGTCTTAATAGGTGATGAAAATAATAAAGTGATATACAAATTGTAGTATGTATGCATTTCTTTTTTAATTCTGTTACAATGCGATTGGCTGAAATTGTAATAATAATTCGAAAATGGACCATATTAATTTTCAAGCCTGTGTTCTTTTGTATTTCGTGAGTTTCATTTTCGTTTATTTGCAATTTTTTGTTAATTTACTTACCATGGCGCATCAAAATAAAATAGATTTAATGTAAGCTTACTTTATGAACCACAAAAACATATCATTAGCTTAGCGGTGGTACCGCAAAAGATATCCTGATAGAGACAAACCTTCTCGATATGTGTTTAAATAATGAAAGAAAGTTAGAGATAGCGAAAGATTTTAATAAGCCATGGTAAGTAAATTAACAAAAAAATGCAAATAAATGAAAATGAAACGCACAAAAAAAGAAAAGAACAGACACTTGAAAATGTATGTGTTCCATTTTCGAATTATTATTATTACAAATTTTTGCCAGTCGCATTGTAACTGTGAGTTCAAAAAGAAATGCATACATACTACAGTTTGTAAATCACTTTATTATTTTTATCACGTAATTCACATTCCTTTCATTTAAAATGCTATGTTATTTAGCAAAAAAATAATCTTATGATTAACCCTTTCGATGGTTATCATAAAATATGCCGTGTTATTTTTTTCGAAATTTCACGAGTTTGATTCCCAGTTGTAGCAGGCGATTTTTAAGAAATCTGTGAATGCAGTTCTAGTTACTATTAAAAATAAAATGTCTTGTCTTCTTTCAGTAAAATGTCCTATCTTCAATATTTAATATACTTTCCCTCCGTATGAGGTAGCCGTGGGACGCCCTGTATATCAGGGGGCGGTAGACGCTGCCACGTATCTGTCTTAGTATTTTTATATCGAGTATAGATAGCGGCAAACTACAGATAAATAAACTTGTGCAGTAGACCTTTTGTATGCAAAATTACTACTGCGCAGGCTTCCTTGTCTATGGTCGTTTCTCGGGAATTTTGCCTGGAAGTATACAATTGGAATAAAAACTGAAGGCGGTCCTCCTCCCCCTGCTATAATAGTCTCCTTGTTTGAAATACACACAAATAGACAGTTGAAATTTTTGACAAATGATTTATATTTGTTACCGCTATAGCTACAAATACTTACTAAAAATAGAATAAAATAAATATTTAAGGGGGGCTTCCATACAACAAGCGTGTGATTTTAAGTTATTGAATGATCTATCAACGCACAGCTCAAACCACTGAAAAGATTGCGCTGGAATTTGGCATACATATAGATATTATGATGTAGGCGTGTGATAAGAAAAGATTTTACAAAACTCACCCCCAAAAGGGGTAATACGGGGGTTCAAAATTTGTATAGAATACCAATATTTCTACGCAGACGAAGTTGCGGGCACCGACTAGTATAATATAATATTTAAATACACATTTTCGTCACAATATTGTCGTAGATTAGAACAAGCGTTCAGCGATTCACTGCACCGGCACTTCCCGACAGTGAACACCCGTCTCACTATACACCAGGGGGCAGTGGAAGCCGCCTCTTATTTTATCAACGAGAAACACCTCGCCGATACAAAGTTTGCTCAGCAACTCGCTAACGCAGTCGCCAACGAGCAAGCCAACTCGGAAAGAACGGAGAAACTGTACAGAGAACTCATTGGCGAACTCGTTGATATCGCCGAAACGCCCAATATGTAAGTTAGTCTATTTGAGCTGGATGAAATTAATTTAATAAGCAGTATTTATCCATATTAAACAATATTTCGTTGATGACTATAGTGTTACAAGCTGCGACAGCAGAGTATGTATTCAATCATCTATACATGCTTACATTATGTAATCCTGTTTTGAAACCGACAAACTCTTTATCATTTCATTCGTTTTGTATCACTGTCTGCCTGTCTCATCTGTCACACACAGTCTATTAATATTTTCTTCTTTAAGAAAACTTACTGCAAAATCATTCTTCCGTAAAGTAGGAAGACTCTAGGACTGCAATTGAAATATTTAAGAGAGGTTGGGTACAGCAGGTTTCCGTCCCTACTTCTACCATACGCAGGACAAACTCAGTGAAATAAAACTACCATTTTATCATGTGAAAAACTTTACTCGCCAAAGAAAATCTGTTGGCGAGTCAAGTTTTTCGGACTCTACAGAGTGAGGGATTGGGTTCAGGCCGGCAAGTTGAAAATAGCTACAGCGGCACATTTTAATGCCGCATCAACTATCTGGACTCCACTTACACTTGGTATTTTGCTGCCTTGACTAATAAATTTCGCATAAAGCTATCTCTCTTACCGCTGTAATATCAATGTCCAACTTTAATCATCACTATGTTATTAATCAAAATGGAGCATTGTTTTACAGCCAATGGCGTCGTTTAGAACTGGCGATGCAAATGCTTACTTTCTGCCCCTCCGTACAAACTCCGTACCCGGCGCGAGCAGTGAAACTAATGGTGAAATCCCTCATTCACGACGACATTACAGTCAGGAGAACCGCCCAAAGGCTCACACATTACGCCCTGAAGCAAAGGAAAAGACCGCTCAGAAAGATTACCATAGACTCTTCCGAAGTAACCGGTGCACCTAAAGCTGAGAATACCGTACCAGGTGAGGAGGAATTTTGCGTAAAACTCCTGTCATTAAATAAATTAATCGCTAGTGACGACGTAAGATATTCTCTCCGTCTCTCTCATGGTATATATAACGTGCGAGAGTCTATCGAGAGTATCCTAAGTAACAGAACGTCTTGCGTCGGCATTTTCGATTCCTTTCTTTAATGGCACATGTTATACATAAATATAATTTGGGACATTCTTAACAATTTGACTTAAAGTATTTAAACTTGTGAGAGTTTAAACTTGAGAGAATTAAGAGTGATAATCGTAGTAAAAGTGTATCCACTGTTAAAGTTATAACTTTACCAATGCTTTGCAAATATGAGTAAAATTAAATGCTACCAGAAGTTAAAATGTCTTGTTATTTCCGCATTATCGTCAAATCATAAGCATTTCTTTCAGGATATAGGAAAGACTTGTTATGGGCAATATATTCAAACCAAGAGCCAGCAAATGATGAGGAATGGGACCGACCCTGGCTTCGTAACTCCACATACGGCTTCTACACTTGGCCTGAAAAGCTTGTGGTTGGTATTGTTGACATTTTCACAACCTATAATATTATATTAAACATCATGCGTAATAAGGAATATGCATATAATTCATATAAGCCTCATTTTATTTTTGTATAAACTTTATTTTACTTTTAAGTTAAGTTGCCCCTCCAATAATTGTTAATAAAATTTCTTTTTGGGCAAGAAATTAATGATATAAAAGTGCGAAATACTTGTGGGAAATTCAAATATTTTGAAACGCGACAAGATCGGTTCTGTCGTAAAAATATAATAATTTCCAAAATTCCGAAGTTTTTTTGTTTCTGGGAACTTTGTAATGCCATAGAGAATCAAGTCAAAATATAAACGAATAGGAAATACAACATGGTTTCAAAACGTAACCTATGTTATTTCAAGTAGATAAATACTTCAGTTAATTTGACCAATTAAATTTACTCAGGTAGCGGCGCCTATTAGCGAGCAACTCCAATCTTCGGACCTTCGTCCTGAGGATATGGAAGAAGGCGAGCGACACTTATACGAATTCTTTGACGAGCAAGCCAATGTTGATAAACTAGTGGCTTTCCTCACTGTTGAAGAGAAAAAGGGCAAAGATAAGTTCAACGGAATCCGCTTCTCTATGTTCAGGGTAAGTTGAATAGTACTTACATATTATCACAAAACGGCCTACGGCCTAAGACTACTCCCATTATCTTTGAAAATAGGGTAGACTATATAATGATTGGACCTACCTGCAAGCGGAATTTTTCATTTATTTATCTGTAGTAAATTCATTATTAGTTTTCTATTGAATATGGCTCCACAATTCTATTAAATATGCAATACTGACCTATTAGTACTTAGGTCAACGTTGAAAACCGTACAACTACAGGCTTGTATTAGCATTATTTTTTGTATACAATTATGTCTTATTTTAAGGTAAGGTATCGTTGACGATTCAGCGATATTTTTATGTAAATAGAACGCTAAAGATGGCATTAGGACTTGGCCCTCTAGCATTCATACTAAAATAAATGAAATATTTTAATACATGTTAGTATTAAGCATTTTAAGTCGTTTTATTTTGTTACTTAACGATATATTAACAAAATAAAACGACGATAAAATGCTCTATATTGAGATTCGTTATGATAAGGTTTATTGCCCACAAAAAGATTACTTTTAAGTTCGGCCTAGGTTTTGAAAAAAAACATTTTTATGTTTAAGGTTGTAAAATGGTTCTTAAACTTATTTAGGTAATGCCAACAACAGTATGTCCATTTCATACTAACAATATATTCATGATGGTGATTTTGTCGCCAGATGTTATTCGCCCAATTCGGCGAGAAAGTTGCAGCAAGGTACCTAGATCACGCGTTGCGTCGCGCTAGCGACAGTCAAGAGGCGCCGCAGCGTTTCGCGGCCGAAGTCGCCGCGGCCGCTGTTAGGGCGCCCCGGTACTGGCCGCGGAGGCAGGCGCTCCATATGTACGAGAGAGCGATGCAAATCATCACCGCTGGTGAGTTAACCGGTGTTAAAAAATATGTATTATAAAATTTATATAAATCTGTGTAAATAGGGGTCCCTTCTGCTCCGCCTGTAATAATTTATAAATTATTTTCTTATAAGAATAAATAAATCTTTTTAAAGTTGAAAAGTATTAAAGGCGAAACACGAGACGCTCCCACTGAAAAAGAATGTAAAAGACTTTTTTTCTCAAAAACCTTAATGTTCTTGGCATACTAAAATATAAAGACGGCGTATGAATGAATGTCTGTGCGAGATGTGTCTATGAATGATGCGCGGGAGAAGAACGCGCCGGTGAGTGATGTAGGACGGAGGCTTTTTGTCCTTTTCTAACCGTGTAATCTAATATATAAAACTAGCAAACCAGTGAATCAAATGTTCACCAAAACCTGATTTAAAAAAAAATGTACATATTTAATTAATTGAGAACTTCGGAGATTTTGTGTGGTTTCGTTTGAAATTCGTGATTTCTCGAAAACCGGAAGTGCTACGTTACTCAAATCCGGTTTGTAGTCTTATCAGACTATTCTTGTAGGGATAAGAAGGAAGCCGGTCTCCTGTCTTCCTCAATATACAGTTTTCAGCCATTTTTTTTTATTTCATTTGTGTATCGATCGTAGCAGTGACTTATACGTATTATTTTAATTTTCCTGTGCATCTATTACGTTAATTTTACTCTCATCGTGAATTTATTATTAATTTCCAGTGCAATAATTATTTTTTGACATTTTATTAATAACTGATAAAGACAGTTTTAAATATTAGTTAATTAAGTGATCTCATATAAATAAACACGTGTTGTGATCTACCGCCAACAACGGCCATTACTGTGAGAAGGAAGCCGGTCTCCTGTCTTCCTCAATATACAGTTTTCGGCAATTTTTTTTTGGTTTCATTTGTGTATCGATCGTAGCAGTGACTTATACGTATTATTTTAATTTTTCTGTGCATCTATTACGTTAATTTTACTCTCATCGTGAATTTATTATTAATTTCCAGTGCAATAATTAGTTTTTCACATTTTATTAATAACTGATAAAGACAGTTTTAACTATTAGTTAATTAAGTGATCTCATATAAATAAACACGTGTTGTGATCTCCTGCCAACAACGGCCATGACTGTACCTGTATATATTGTCTTTAACGCTTTTTGAAAATAGTTTTAAATCAAAACGAAAGCGTGTACGAGTTTAATAAATATACCTTTTTCATTATTGTGAAAGGTAAGTCAAATAATAAACAAATGAATACAATATAATAATAATTATTTTTATACAGACATTTTGAAAATATATAATATCTTATCATACATATATTAAGTCACTGTTTTTTACCAATACACTGATGGAAGGATTTATTAACTATTAATATTTTAATTTCTTTGAAGACAACTTTAATAAATATTTTTTTACATTTAATAAATATTTATTTGGGAATAAAGTATATTTATTAATAGTTAATGTAACATTAAATAAATCGTATTTAATAAATAATTTATTAACTATTATTAAATATTCATTAGATCCTATGATGTTGAATAATTATTTATTAAGAGCCCTTTCACATTTTTTGCAATAAATCGCAATTTCTGAGCGCCTCGTTTGCCCCCTTAGAAGAGATTTTGACTACTTCCAATAGAAGTAAACAGATTTATTCTTCCTATTGAAAATGAATGTAGAATATTTTCAAATACTATTTCCATTTTTTTGTACTGATCGTTCTACCGCAGCTAGTTTACGGAAAAAAGGATAATATGCACAACTAAAAACGCCTTAATCTCACAATAATGTTCAATAAATTAGATCAAATTAATTACTACGACACCAGAAATATGTTTTTGTTGCAACATAATGTATTAGAATCTTGATTTTTCATCTCATTAATTATTAAAAAAACATCTAACCTCCGTGAGTTTCCCTAAAAAATAACGCAGGTTTACCTCGTATTTTGATATTGAATTAAATAGAATTACTATCAAAAACCTAATCATAAAACTAATCTACAATCATTGAACTACTGAAATATGTATATAATTTTATAATAATTTCATTAATTATTATTTTATAAGACTCTGAACATCACCCGTAAAATGCAATATATAGTAGTGCAAATCAAGACGCCGTTCAGTACGGCGCCAGCGCCTTTGGAGGTCGGACCTGTGTCGCTTTGTACCGCACGCGTTCCGAGCGATGCTACGAGTGCATTCATCGTAAAACTGGCTGGATATGCTACGACCGCGAAAGTTTAATCGTTGACTGTATGTAAGTATCCACAACCGTATTAAATTTTTTTATCATATTTTTGTTATAAGCTTTTACAATGGGGCGTAAAATTCCTGCTTACCATTGTGTCAAAAAAAACGAAAGAATGATGCAGCCATAAAGAAAGCTTGTGAAGCAAGGTGAATATGCTTATAACATTTCGTTTTTTATTCTTGTGGTTTCAATGGGTGTTTTAATTGTATAAAAATGGTGATTTGTCCGGACTTTTCAAGTATAATTGGTATAAAATTGTAATCAGTCAAGGGTACTGTACTCTAATGGCCAACGATTTTAACTTACTGGCTTAATGGGTATGTCAATCTATCCTTATGTCTATAAAAAAAGCTAGAGTGCGGTAAAATTTTGCATTTCGATCAAGTATAACAAGTATAAGCTTGTGGGCCGCCAAAGTACATATTGGCCCAACATAATAATATATTTAGAATAGAAATCCACAGTTCTATGTATTTTAGATGGAAACAAAATTTTAATGGCAACCCCGAAAATATTGAAACTATACCGACCATAAGTTCAATGGATTCGATTGCAACGGAAACTGTAAGTTTTTCATGTTGTTGTTATTGGAAGTAGACAATGAAAAGAGAAATTGAAATTATAATAATAAATTTAATTATATAGGAAAAAAATGCTGTTGGATTGGAAATCGAATCCGAGGAACAAGGGGAAGCGTCAAACTCTAATTTAAATGTTTTATTTGTTTTATACTGACTTAATAGGTATTTCACTACTACACTAGGTACATGGTTTACAATGTTAGCAGTTTGGTTTTTTGTTTTAAACTTAAACTAATGGGATGCGTTTCTAGAGCAAAAAAGTTTATTTTTAATAGTTTATATTTAGACTTCTTTGCTCCATAAGTTCAATTGACAGTAACTTGCTGATTTACGTACCATATCTGTGTCTGGATTGGAAATGTATTTCTAGTGTTGCCTATATCTGTTTATATGCGTAGATAGTCGATAAAAGCAGTATTGTAGTCAATTAGATAATCTGTTTTCAGGAGGAGTATATGGTTGATGGAGGACGTGTAATGATACCAGGACATTTTGCACTTGGAAACACCAGACTGGGTGTTGGACCGTCAAATGTCAACATATCAATATCACCTCAGCTGAAATAAGAACTTATAGAATTGACAATGAGCGAGGAAATTTCAGATGTTGTTATTATAAGTATTTTGTTTATTATCGTCATACTTTTATTAAAATTAAATGTATTGTGGCCCTTTGTCACCGTAATAATCCACAAAGAATAATATATTATTATAGATAACTATAATATAACCTTCATTGTAATTTACGAAAAACAAAACATCAATCATCAGTTTTAAAAAGAGACAAACATTGTACGTGATACGTTATACTACCAGACTGCTTCCGGTTATGATAGCATCAGTGATGATAATCTTTGATAACACTGATGAGTAATTAATTGTATAGAGAATAGCAGATTTTATTGAATGTTCTTTACAGGAGCTAGTGATGGAAGAGGTGTGAACTTTTCCAGCTCCGTTTTCATATTATTTATCCTGAAATTACCGTACGAGAACTCGCAGCAAAAATTTCATGAGTTAGGTGTGTAAGAGATGAGTTCCTATGAAAGTTAAATGCTTTTGATGGGTTTTGTTTAAATGAATGGAAATTACACGAATACAAAAAAACATGCTTTTTATTTTTTTATCAAATACTCTTACATATATATTGAAAATACAGAGTGCGAAAACTTTTTTATTAAATGAACTACGAAGGCAAAGACAGAACTACACTTAGTACAGTTTTACTGAGATATTTGATTATTACCAAACATCAATCATCATTAAAAAAGTCAATACTAAAAATACAAGTAAATAAATTATTATTTCTCATTGCTCAGTGAACAAACTTTTCATTTAATTACTGAGTGAATAAAAAAATTTGAATAAACAGAAGTTATGCAAATCAAACATATAAAGTTACAATAATTAGTAATAATCATAATTAATCTTTATTGTCATTTCCAAAACGCAACCAATGTGTACTATAAATATATTATTTATTTTCTCACAATAGTAAAAAAACTTAAGGATTGATCCTTTGCTCCACTCAGGATTCCTATCTAGAATCGTTCGTTGCTACAGTAGGGATCCATCTTAGCACTTCAAATTAACTTTATTTTATATTTGCGTTTATTGTATAATCAATAATTGCATATTAAAGTATCAATTTGATAAAGCGCGCTATACTGAACTTCGCCGCTTCGTAGTCTCGCTCGTGCGACTCGGACACGCTCGCGGTCATATTTACCTAAACTAGAGCGGCGCAATTTTGTAAAAGGGCTCTTAACAGTTGATAAAGCTTATCAAATATAAAAAAGATCTTTCTATCTGTGTAAGTATTTTAACTTCATTTATTTATATTATGTTCTATGTACAATCAGCAATGCCAAAAAGACGTAAAGGGGCCAATTTGAGTCGTAGAACAATATTTTTAACGGATTAATGCACGAACTTTATTTATTTATTGACGTTTCGCAGCCTTTTCAGGTCTGCATCGACAGAATAATGTTTTTTTTTTATTGGGTGTTGTAACGTAGTGTTCTCATATGGGTTAGAAGGAATGTTATCCCAGGAAATCGATAGAACACTACGTTACACACCTCTAAAATTGTTTTTGGCCAATATTTATTTTTTTATAATGTGGTATAAAAAACTACATACAACCCTTTTTCTCTTCTACCACCTGCCTCTATTTTTATGGCGGTACGAAGTTCGCTGGGTAGCTAGTCTAATATATAAAATTCTCGTGTCGCGGTGTTTGTGGTTAAACTCCTCCGAAACGGCTCGACCGATTTTCGTGAAATTTTATATGCATATTCAATAGGTCTGAGAATCGGATGTAATCTATTTTTCATCCCCCTAAATGTTAAGGGTAATCCACACCTAAATTTTTTTTTCAATCTTTAAGAGCAATCGTACATTGAGCCACTAACCGCGACCACTAGTGACTCAATCAAGCAACTAGACGTAGCCACAAATCGAATAAAGAGAAATCGAGCCACTTAGCTACTAGTGGCGGCCTCTAGTGAATTAGTGGGGGCCACTCGATCGAAGCTTAGTGGCTGCGATTAATCGCTCAATGTGCACTCGCTCTAAATGACATTTGACCATCAATCAATCTCTTTAGGGCTGACGGCTGTGACACCAGAGACTATGGAAGACTGGGGCACCTGTCTAGCCACAGGCGTGGAAAAGTTGGAGCCGAACCGAGGCGCTTCTCTATTAAACAGTTTATTACAATTGTGCGCGCCCACAGTAACGCCTGAAGCGCATCCCGATAAAGACGCGTCGTTCGTCGTGTGCGCAAGGCTGTACGCCCTGCAAGTAAGTTTTTAAGATATACTCCGCTCTCCGATTACGCCTACCCTATTACTTGATCTTAACTAGCATCAGGCAGGGCACGCGGGGCTGTGCCCTTCAAGAGTGCTAAAAACCAAATTTTGACGTGTCACAACCAGAAATGGTCTGCCACCCCGGACCACTTACGATTTGCCCAAATTGTAATTGGCCTCAGTGCCTCCACGCCTCTAAATCCGGCCCAGTGTGGGAGTCAGAGAGGTGGGCGTCAAACTCTTCACTCTTTGTTGGCTATATGTCATTGTTAGCGTCTTTGATAGTTATTTTATGACTTTTGTTTTATACTTTCACTGTAGCATAATTAAATAGTGAAATTATTAAAATATAAATTAAATTAAGATCTCGGTAGCTTAATCGGTTAGTCCGTCCGTCCGAATAGCGAAAGGTGCTGGTTTAAAACCTGTCCGATGCACGATACATAAGCCGAGTGAATTTTTTTCTAGTTTTTTTTTAATAATAATGGTCTTTATTTTAGGGGGCGTTAGGTTCATTAAACTGGCGAGTCGCACCGTTAGCAGAAGAACTGCTCAAACGGCTAGAAGCAGCTAAATTCATCAATCATCCATACCAAAATGTTCGAGAGACAGTAGGAAGGTATGTTTGACTTATTTAATAAAAAATGTTTGGTTAGAAAAGTTCCAGAACCACTCGAATTAAGTTCCAAGCCAGTCGCTGAAACTACTGCAAAGTTGAATAATTTAGTTGTCTTTCACTTAAATCGATAATTGCTTTTATTGGTTGTATAAAGGTAATTATTTTATAATCATAAAGTACCCATTGTTAGCATCTGTATTTAATATTGAATATTAGCAGCGATTTTACTATTCTTACAAGAACAAATAATTAATAACTATTCTTTAAATAATTAAATAGAAGGGGTTATTTTGTTCTACGGTCACGTGACCAAATTGGGAAGATTAAAATGACATCATACGCCAGTAAACTTCCGGTCATAAGTGACATTACATTGTATCGTTTGACGTTTTAATGACAGTCACATACCTGTGAGACGCAATAATGTCCAGAAAATCGTTTTCGCGGTAACTTGCAAAAGGTATTTTTGATTTTGTTTTTTACAGAAATACACAACAGGATGATGAATATCCACGACTCCATTATAATACTTGTCAAATACCCTATTTAAAAAAAATACTCGAAAATAAAGTATTTTTTGTCCAACTTCATTAATTTAATGTTTCTTGTCTTTACAGTTGATAATAACCTCTTAACAATATTGCATTCAATATTGATTCATTAGTCACAAGACAGATACATCAAAATATCAATGATTGATGAGGACAATTGAGTTCTCCGTTGATTGTATTTGCTGTAATGACATGTTTCTAAACTGTTAATTTTATTTTTGTTGTAGCATTTTGATGACCATCTTCGATACTGAGCTAGTGTTCCCAGGGGGAGAAAACAAATGGACACCAAGACTCGGAGATTTCTTAAGTTCAGTGCAGCCAAGGCTAGCAGCGCTCTACGACGCTCAGGGAAATATAGGTTCGTAAACAACTAATTATTACTTGTACCTATTTATTTTTTATTATTAGTTTCTATTAATTCTCTCCTGCTCAAGAGGTAAAAGGAAAAGTAACCCGCGGCAACTGACTACCCTACGTAGATAGCAGAAACCTATCAACAGACAGCGTTTTTTTGCTGCTGATGCTTTAAACAATAGCATCAGTTGGAATAATTTGCAGGTTTTTAGTGATTTTTTTTATTTTTAATTCAATATGTTGAACTCTGGACTCTCAGTCTGGGTCGTCAGACATAATTCCGCACTAGCTCAGGTGCTGGTGCCTTAAACTGTGCAAGTATATAGAAATCAGGTGGAATGATTTGACAAGCCTTTTGGTGAAATCTTTAATTTTTAATTCAACATATTTCCGGGAAGGCAAACGCGTGTGCGTTGCAGCGCAGCACATTGTGTATACGATGTCACACCTGCCACGTGAAGTTTACTGCTGCATTTGGTGTGACGCCATTCATATTTTGTAATGAAATACAACCGTCCATTATATAGTCTTGCGCAGCGGTGCATGCCTGATATTTCTCCCACATCTGCGCGATGAGGCTTCGGGAATTGGCACTAAATGTGCTAATATTAGCTCGAAATATTTAAAATTAGAGGTCGCCCGCGACTTCGTCTGCGTTAACTTAATTTCTTGAAAATCCCTCAGGAACCTAACATTTTTCTGGGATAAAAGTAGCCTATGTGTTAATCTAGGGTGTCAGCTAACTCCATACCAAATTTTATTAAAATCGCTCCAGCGGTTTAGACGTGAAGAAGTAACAAACATACACACTCACATACTCACACACTCACAAACTTTCGCCTTTATAATATTAGTGTGATTAGTGTGATAAAATAGTTCCAAATTTGAATTAGCTCAGTCGTAATGAATAAGGGGGCTGCGTGTCTATAGACCCTAGACGATAACTTGGCTGGCGATAATTTGTCACGCTAAAGGAGGTTGTGGAAAGAATAAATTTGTATGTGCAGCTGAACGAAAAGTACGCCCCGCACTTAATTCAAAGTTCGACCGCTAATTTTAGGGTATATTATAGTACCAAAGCCACCTGAGTCGTCGTCACGCAGCAGTGGGATAAGCGTGATGCGCATCTTCAGAATCGATGTGCCATCCAACATACAGACTCAAACAATACAATGCAGAGACACGCGCGATGTTGTCAGCTCGCGTGTCGTCGAACGCTGCCTACGTCCGTTCGGTTTGTCACTACTGTGCAGCTTAATGCGTATCCGCAACAATCGCGCGGTCAGTGTGACATATACAATAGCATTTCATGTGTTACAACGTCGTTTACTGTTACGCGCTGTGTTACATTTGGTTTAATTTAATAAAAACGTAACATGTATCGGTGCAGTGGTGAAGTCAGCATCGATGTCGGGCGGGCAGTGCGGGGGCGGGGGCCCGTCGTGTCCGGAGTCCGAGGTGAATCCCGCCCTAGAGCACATGGGTGGAGTGGCGGTGGAAGTGGCTGCGTTGACCCCGGAAACCGCTATCACTGAACATAATGCACAGGTATGAACCAAATATTTATTTATTTGGTGAAATCAGCGTTGATGTCGGGCGGACAGTGCGGGGGCGGAGTCCTGTCGTGTCCGTAGCCCGAGGTGAATGCCTCCCTTAAGCACATGGGTGGAGTGGCGGTGGAAGTGACTGCATTGACCTCGGAGACCGTCTTCCAGAATATAATGCAGAGGTATGAATTAAATATTCATTTATTTATATATTGGTGAAGTCTGCGTTGATGTCGGGCGGGCAGTGCGGGGTCAAAGGCGTGTCCGGTACCCTTAGAACGAACCATTTTCGAATACTTGAATTCGATCTAAATATGCGACAAATGTGTACTGATTTTTAGTTCTCGTTAGGTCCGTTTTGACGCTGCTGTTCATGTTTCCATACAAAATTTGACAGTGACATTTCGCACTCGCAAGCGTAATGAATTCGATATTGGTTCCTTCTAAGGGTGTGGAGCCCTAGGTAAACCTCGCCCTAGAGCACGTGGGTGGACTGGCGGTGAAAGTGGCTGCACGCCAGAGACCGCTATCACCGAACATAATGCACAAGTATGAACTAAATTATTAGGAAAACGCTACTTATTGTAAATGATTTTTATGCAATAGTTTGCTTGATTTAGTATTGCTATTAAATTTGTTTCTAGAAAAAACTCCACTCGATCCAATGTCAATGTCAAGCTGGGTTTGAAACAGGAAACAGCCTTCCGCTGTTCGGTCCGCTAATTTTAATTCAGACCTAAAAAATTTCAACTAGTTTAGCTGCAAATGAATGTACAAATAGTGATCTTAAACTAAAGCGTATTTTATCACAAACGTTCAGACTGTCAACTGTTGCAAAAGCTGATCCGCGGCGAGCGGTTAGACAAGCAGTTGTCGGCTCAACTAGACATGCTACGTCACCATGTAAAAAAGAATAATATATAGCACTTCATTTCCATTTAATTGTGTTTTTATTCAAACGTACAGACCACCTAAGTACAACTTGCTGGTGCAATAGTTAATTCGCTCAAAGGACGTCACCATTAATAAGAATCACTTCATATCCATTTCAATAGTGTTTTCTATTTAAACATACAGACTGTGGACGTACCCAGCAAGTTACCCGCTCGCCGTGGAGTTGCTCCACGCGGCGAGCGGTTGGAAAAGCAACTGTCCACGCAGCCGAGACTTGCCGGGGATCTCGTCATTAATAACGCTTAATATCAGTTTCATTTGTGTTTTTATTAAAATCATATGTGCCAAGTTGTCAGAGTTGATTCGCTGCTAGCGATGGACAAGCAGTTATTTGCTCAATTCAACATGCGATGTCGCCATGTAAATATATAAATAGTAAATAAATAGTATTCGTATTCATTTCATTTGTGTGTTTTGTCAAATCATGCAGACTGCGGACGTACCCAGCGAGTTGCCAGAGTTGATCCGCGGCGAACGTTTAGACAAACAGTTGTCCGCTCAACTGGACACGGCGCTGAGACTAGCCGGCGACGTCGCCATGGCGGGCCCTGAGGACCACGCCGCTGCCATCAATCTACTAACTACCGGTGAGTATGAATACCTTTGAGATGATATCTATGAATCAAGTTATTTCCGGTTTAGCACATATTTTATCAACTTAGTTCCACTGTAATGAATTTTTATGCTCATTTTAAAAGAAGTCCGGAGATCCACTTAGGAACAATATTGGACAACTCAAAAGTGTTATCTATAAATCACTCTGAATAAAGTAATCTGTTTGTGCTAAAATACGATCATTTTAACAGAGGCGCATTGACCTCCTTGTTCTGACAAAATGTCATTGCTCGCCAGTCCTCCGCGGCTGCATGGGCGTGACGGTTCGCGGCGTCAACGGCAGCGTCGTAACGCAGCATCAACTGATCGGTACCGCGTGCGGTGTAGCGGCTCGCGGTCCGCCGCAGCCCAACGACGAGATGCCGCGCGCTGCGGCCGGCTTCCTGGCGGGGCTGGCGCTCGCCTACCACGCGCCCGCAGCCTTCGAGCGCGCCCTCGCCGAGCTGGAGGCCCGCGCCACAGGTAAAACACTCCCCTGCGAGCCAGACAGAGGCCGCGCCCCGCCCTCATTCTGGCGGGGCTGGCGCTCGTCTACCACGCGCCCGCCGCCTTCGAGCGCGCCCTCGCCGAGCTGAAGGCCCGCGCCACAAGTAATACACTCCCCTGCGAGCCACACAGAGGCCGCGCCCCGCCCGCATTCTGGCGGGGCTGGCGCTCGCCTACCACGCGCCCGCCGCCTTCGAGCGCGCCCTCGCCGAGCTGGAGGCCCGCGCCACAAGTAATACACTCCCCTGCGAGCCACACAGAGGCCGCGCCCCGCCCGCATTCTGGCGGGGCTGGCGCTCGCCTACCACGCGCCCGCCGCCTTCGAGCGCGCCCTCGCCGAGCTGGAGGCCCGCGCCACAAGTAATACACTCCCCTGCGAGCCACACAGAGGCCGCGCCCCGCCCGCATTCTGGCGGGGCTGGCACTCGCCTACCACGCGCCCGCCGCCTTCGAGCACGCCCTCGCCGAGCTGGAGGCCCGCGCCACAAGTAATACACTCCCCTGCGAGCCACACAGAGGCCGCGCCCCGCCCGCATTCTGGCGGGGCTGGCGCTCGCCTACCACGAGCCCGCCGCCTTCGAGCGCGCCCTCGCCGAGCTTGAGGCCCGCGCCACAAGTAATACACTCCCCTGCGAGCCACACAGAGGCCGCGCCCCGCCCGCATTCTGGCAGGGCTGGCGCTCGCCTACCACGCGCCCGCCGCCTTCGAGCGCGCCCTCGCCACAGGTAATACACTCCCCTGCGAGCCACACAGAGGCCGCGCCCCGCCCGCATTCTGGCGGGGCTGGCGCTCGCCTACCACGCGCCCGCCGCCTTCGAGCCTGCCCTCGCCGAGCTGGAGGCCCGCGCCACAAGTAATACACTCCCCTGCGAGCGACACAGAGGCCGCGCCCCGCCCGCATTCTGGCGGGGCTGGCGCTCGCCTACCACGCGCCCGCCGCCTTCGAGCCTGCCCTCGCCGAGCTGGAGGCCCGCGCCACAAGTAATACACTCCCCTGCGAGCGACACAGAGGCCGCGCCCCGCCCGCATTCTGGCGGGGCTGGCGCTCGCCTACCACGCGCCCGCCGCCTTCGAGCGTGCCCTCGCCGAGCTGGAGGCCCGCGCCACAAGTAATACACTCCCCTGCGAGCCACACAGAGGCCGCGCCCCGCCCGCATTCTGGCGGGGCTGGCGCTCGTATACCACGCGCCCGCCGCCTTCGAGCGCGCCCTCGCCGAGCTGGATGCCCGCGCCACAAGTAATACACTCCCCTGCGAGCCACACAGAGGCCGCGCCCCGCCCGCATTCTGGCGGGGCTGGCGCTCGCCTACCACGCGCCCAGCGCCTTCGAGCGCGCCCTCGCTTGTATAGCAACTTTAAAGGCGATGTATGTTTACATTATTGAATCGGCTAGCTTGATAATTTGACTTTCCCTTAACATTTTAAAGGAGAGGGTGAGAGGCGATGAGAGTGAGCATAACAGCAACAGACGCACTTTATAATTTATTTGTTTTACATGTTGCATTTATTATCATCCCTAGCTAGCAGTGAAGTACCCCACTGTAGGCCTTTCCTATGGATGGAACAGGGAGATTAGGCCTATGACCTACCACGCAGGCCCAGTGCAAACGATTGCAGATGCAGCCGGGGCTAATCGTGCCATTCGAAGCACGGAGGGACTCGAGATAATAAATTTTTGGTGACCGACCACTGCAAAAATTGCTTAACTTCAGCAACCACTTGCGGCACCGAGCTCCTCCAAGCATGTTACATTAATTAATCGTATTTTATTTCAATTTCCCAGGGCGTTCCTGGTGGGCGCGACTCGCTTGCGTAGAATTCGCGCAACCTTTACTCTTCTACGGGCTTCCCCTGCTATGCGAGGAGCCCGAACGAGCTGTACGCGCCGAACAATTCGCGCTGAATCTCATGCGAGACCCGAGACTTGAAGTAAGCTAGCTACTCAATACACAATAACTCGTATGTGATTCTGATAAAAGACATTGAAGAAAATTTATGAATTTCTTAAAAAAAACAAACTCCCAATCGCCTAACAAAAGTGCATCAAAAAACGTCTGAGCGGCGCTGTGTTATACATATACATACATCAACACATTTGCTCACATTAACACGTTTTGTCGTGACAGTTAGGTTCAATGTCAATTGTATACGGGTTTGATTACGGTGCGAGAGAGACATACACGATCACGACATGCTCGAGGCGCTCACGGGTAGAGATATTTGGTTGTAGTTAATTAAATGTAATTAATTCGCAATACAATGAAAATATTAGGCATATTAGTGTGACCCGCAGTTGTAACCAGGTTTAGGGGACGGGGGGCAAAAACTCGTGAAATTCGTCTGACGTAATATTACTGTAGGCGTTGATTATACAGCCATTAAAACCTTTTCTATAACAAATAAACATTTTCAGGTACGCCAAGCCGCTGCTAAACTACTGACTGGGTTAATGCACTGCCGAGCACTAAAGAGTGAAGAAGTGACGCTGCGTGGTCTCATGAAGAGTTGTCGCTCCAAGCAGTTAGTCGAAAGACACTGTGGAGTCTTAGGGCTGTGTGGTTACCTAGCCTCGCGGCCTTATAGCCTCGGGCCTAGATTAGGAGATGTACTGGCGGAGTTATCGCGCCACACTAGCGCCCCGGATCCAATCCCGGCGACTATACGCACTGCCCTGGCTGACTTCCGTCGGACGCATCAAGACGACTGGCCCAAACACCGAGACCAACTCACTGAGGAAGAACTCGATTTACTGGCGGACCTCACTTCGCCTCCTTCGTACTGCGCCTAAATTTTTAATGTGTTAGCAGACTATCAATACGATACAGCGTTTGTCGGTTGTTTCTGTTAGGATGCTATTTAACCGTGCGCCCGTATTTGATTCTGATCTGGTAACGTTTATTTTCCGTACCTACCGCGCTCACAGACTTTCGTCGAACGCATCAAGACGACTGGCCCAAACACCGAGACCAGCTCACGGAGGAAGAACTCACTGGCGGACCTCACTTCTCCTCGTTCGTACTGCGCCTAAATTGTTAATGTGTTAGCAGACTATCTATACGATACTGCGTTTATCGGTTGTTTCTTATGGGCTATGATTTAACCGTGCGTATTTTTGTTAGGACATTGTCGTCTTTGGCACGTCGTGCACTAGACGGCCACGACCATGACCAGTGGCCGCGACGACCAGATTAACTAAAGTCCATGCGGTGACGGAGAAAGAATACCACTCACCGCCCCATCACTTCCCGCGGGTGTCGTAAGAAGCGACTAAGGGATATCGAAGCTTCCATCCGCTCTTCTGGTGGTAGGGTGCCTAACACCCGCCTGGTTTGTTACCACCGTACGCATGGTGAAAAACCCGTGAAGTGCTTAACGCGCGTTTCGGGATCAGCCAGCGTACAACCAGAGCTCGAGTGGAGATTGCCGCGACGGATTCGGTCTGTTGGAGGCATCCGTCGAACCGATGCCGGAAGGACTGCATCGACCCGCCGGCCAGGGAGACCCGTAGAAACGGCTGTCCCGCTGGCCGCCCGTGGCACAGTACAGGGGCCCGAGCGTTCCTAACCAGTTCGCGAGGCTGCCCCATCATGTCACGCATAATCTCGGGGTGGACCGTCGTGCCGGTTGGTGACCGGGGCGTGGGGTCCCGGCGGCCACTCCCGGGGGGCCCTTCCGTCCGGTGGGTCGGCGTATATCTTTCTTAGGCAGCTACTCGGGAAAACGTGCCTCCACATATTTGCCTGACTTTGTCGCGACTAACTCCGCTCGATTCACGTCTCTCAATTTCTTCGCATGATGGCAGCCCGTAAAACGAAGTTTGGTTGTACAGCGGTGCACACCCCCACGCCTTCCGCGCTGATTGAGGTTGAGTTCTGTAATATACGCGGACTCCACTCTAACCTCAATGCTGTCCACCACCATCTTGAGACAGCACGGCCAGCATTATTGTTTCTCACGGAGACACAAATACTTCCGCCCGCTGACACAGGCTACCTTAATTATCCCGGCTACGTGCTTGAAGAATCCTTCAAAGCAAAAGCCGGCGTATGCCTGTATGTTCGGGCGGATGTTTGTTGTCGCCGTTTGAGCTGCCTGATAGACTCCTCCTTCTCCATGTTGGCGGTACATGTAGACTCTGGTCCTTTGGCCAGAGTGTACGTGTGCCTCTACAGATCCCACACCGGCGACGCTGAGACAACTCGACTGTTTGACCACCTTAGTAGGGCAGCAGATGATGCCCAGGCGCAATTTCCCAACGCAGAACTGGTGTTTTTGGGGGACTTTAACGCCCACCATGGTTTGTGGCTGGGCTCCTCTAAAACTGACCATGCAGGGATCTTTGCCCATGCATTCGCTCCCACGCATGACTTGTCACAACTGGTTGATCAGTCCACCAGGATCCCAGATATAGCAAGTCAAGCGCCTTCTTTGCTAGATCTTCTGCTTATGACTCATCCGCAGGAGTATCAGGTTGTGTTTCGAGGCCTACTGGGTTCATCAGATCATTGCCTGATATCTGCCAAGGTGCCACAGGCCAAAACCCCTCAACCATTGGTGGTCAAACGCAGGGTCTGGCACTATGGGTCGGCAGATTGGGATGGTATGCGCGAATACTTTGCGTCCATGCCTTGGAAGCAACGCTGTTTCAGTGAAAAGGACCTATCGACCAGCGCCGTTGCTATTACTGAGGAGATCTTAATGGGAATGGAGTATTACATTCCACATTCTAATCTCATCAGTAAGAGCACACGATGGTTGCGTGTAGACGTCGATGACCATCCCCGCGTCTACGCCTGCCTCTACAGGTCCCATAGCGGAAATACCGAAATTGACCGACTCTATGATCACGTCCAGGTGGCTACAGACTCCGTGCTTCAGCAGATCCCATCATCTGAAATTGTGATCCTTGGCGATTTCAATGCCCACCACTCCGAATGGCTTGGATCGCCAACTACCGATCATGCAGGCAGATCTGCTCACGACTTCGCCTTGGCCTATGGTCTGACACAACTGGTCACCTCGCCTACGCGAATCCCAGATGTCGAAGACCATACTTTCACTGTTGGACCTTCTGCTGACTTCACATCCGGATAATTACAAAGTGTCCATAGATGCCCCTCTTGGCTCTTCGGACCATTGTCTAATCCGGAGTATGGTGCCACTCACTTACTCACCGCGGCCGCAATTTGCTGGCTGTCGTCGTGTGTGGCACTATAAGTCACTTTCTTTTCATCCTACCCTTGGGGCCAGGTTTGCTTCTCGCAGAATGATCCCAACGTCGCTGCCGATTCTGTCGCCGATGTTGTCCTTCAGGGTATGGAACTTTTTGTTCCTTCCTCTGTGGTTCCCATTGGTGGCAAATCCCAGCCTTGGTTTGGTCACTACTGTAAACTGGCATCTCGCCAAAAACAGATGTGTTATCAGGCCTGGGCAAACGCAGCGGCGGTCGGGGATAACAACACTAGCGATCTCAAAAAGAAGTATAACTTGGCCTCCAGGTCCTGCAAAAGAGTAATTGCCAGAGCGAAGTCGGAGCACATTAGCAGCATTGGCGAGAGATTAATAAAACTTCCCTCTGGAACACGCGCGTTTTGGTCTCTTGCCAAGGCTGTTGAAGGAAATTTCTGTAAGCCATATCTCCACCCCTGCACAATGGCGACGAATCGATGGCCCATACTGCAAAAGAGAAAGCAGATCTTTTACGCTCACTCTTTGCGTCTAACTCGACTCTAAATGACAGGGGATACATACCGCCGACCATCCCGCGGTGTGAGAGATCTATGCCGGAGATCCGGTTCACACAAAGCTTAGTGCGTAAAGCACTCTTTTCCCTTGTCATCCACAAGTCGAGCGGGCCTGATGGAATCTCACCAATTGTGCTGAAGACGTGTGCTCCTGAGATGGCTCCGGTACTAACGCGTCTTTTCCGGCTCTCCTACTCTTTAGGTGTCGTTCCGAACTCATGGAAGACAGCTTTAGTGCACCCGATTCCTAAAAAAGGCGACCGCCCACTCCCTACTAATTATAGGCCTATAGCCATCACCTCCTTGTTCTCCAAGATAATGGAGTCCATTATAAATTGCCAGCTCCTGCGGTACCTAGAGGACCACCAGCTGATCAGTGACCACCAGTACGGTTTCCGTCAGAGTCGCTCGGCTGGTGATCTACTAGTATACCTGACTCATCGTTGGGCAAAGGCGATCGAGACCAAGGGGGAAGCATTGGCGATCGGTCTGGATATCGCAAAGGATCGGGTTTGGCACAAAGCGCTTCTTTCGAAGCTTCCTTCTTATGGGCTTCCTGAAAAGCTGTGCGTTTGGATCACTAGATTTCTTGCGGACAGGAGCATAAAGGTCGCAGTCGACGGTGCATGCTCGGACTCCAAATCCGTAAACGCTGGTGTTCCACAAGGCTGTGTGCTATCGCCTACGCTGTTTCTTCTTCATATCAATGATATGCTTCAAATTGATGGCATTCATTGTTATGCAGACGACAGCACGGGTGATGCCCTATATACCGGCCGCGCCAACATTTCACGGGAAAACGTCATCGAGTGCCGGAACAAACTTGTGTCTGAAGTCGAAACTTTGTTAAACCGAGTAACGAATTGGGGCCGACTTAATCTAGTCCAATTTAACCCTACGAAGACACAAGTATGCGCGTTCACCGCAAAAAAATACCATTTGTCGTATCTCCTCTTTTTGAGAACACTCCTCTAACTGCCTCAGCTAGTATTGGAATTCTTGGCGTTGACATATCGAGCGACGTCCAGTTTCGGGATCATTTAGAGGGCAAGGCCAAATTGGCCTCTAAGAAGCTTGGTGTGCTCAATAGATCGAGAATGTACTTCACACCGGCCCACCGACTGCAGCTTTATAAGGCACAGGTTCGGCCTCTCATGGAGTACTGCTCTCATCTTTGGGCGGGGGCACCCCAGTACCAGCTTCTCCCTTTGGATCGCATCCAGCGCCGAGCGGCTCGAATCGTCGACGACCAGGACCTTTCCGATCAGCTTGATCCTTTGGCTTAGCGTAGGGATGTAGCTTCGCTCTGCATCTTCTATCGCATTTATCACGGGGAGTGTTCTGAGGAATTGTTCGGATTAATTCCAGCTGCTGCATTTCGCCATCGTACATCGCGACAAAAATTTCATCCCCATCATCTTGATGCGTGGCTATCCATAACCGTGCGTTTTTGTCGAAATTTTTTACCACGTACGACAAAACTGTGGAATATGTTGTCGCCAGCAGTGTTTCCGGACCAATACGACCCAAGAACCTTCAAAAAAAGAGCGTACTCCTTCCTTGAAGGCCGGCATCGCATTTGTGATACTCCTGGTGTTGCAAGTGTCCATGGGCGACGGTGATCACTTATCATCAGGTGAGCCGTCTGCTCGTATGCCCCCTATAACATAAAAAAAAAATACGTAACCGCTGGTTCAATCGCGACTGTGCTGATGCTGTTTCTCGTAAGCAGGCGGCCTTGGACCAGAGGCCGCGCTCTTAAAGATCCCGGGGTTCACTCACTGAAAGCTGCCTATAATAATGCTTCCAAGTCTTGCAAAAAGGCTTACATCAGAGCGGATGCTCAACGTGTAACGTCCACGAATTGTTAACGCACCCTACGGGCTCCCGTAGTTTTTGGCGTTTGGCTAAGGCCGTGCAGCACAACTTCTGCCAGCCCTCGCTGCCACCTCTGTGATGTCCAGATCACTAGCTCATGAGCCGCAAGAGAAACCTGATTTGTTGGCAAAACTCTTTGCGGCTAACTCCCGAATCAGTGATTGCAATGCGATCCATCATTGGCGATGAAGAGGTAACCAAGAAACTCGAGTCTCTACAATTACGCCGCGATGTAGCATCATTAAGCGCATTTTATCGACTATACCACGGCGAGTGTTCTGAGGAGTTATTCTCCCTTATCCCTCCATCACCTTTTCTTCAGAGGCCTACGTTGCCACCGACTTACTGTGGCCACCATTCCTACACGAACAAAGAAATTTGGTGACTCATTTCTTTATCGTACTATTCGTAAGTGGAATTCTTTACCCGCGCAAGTGTTCCCTCCTTCCTATAATCTGGGGTCCTTTAAGAGAGGCGTGAAGAAGCATTTTTGCAGGCCGGCAAGGTGAGGATGATTGGTGTAGCAGTTTATAACTGCTGTACCAGCTATCTTCGCGTTTGGACTTTATTACCACTTAACATCAGGTGGGGTAGAGTCATTTGCCTACGTTAATATAAAAAAAAAGTAAAGTTAAACGTTGCGAACAAATGCGCGACTTTTTGGTCGTCGTTGGTCGTCTAGTGCGCGAGGTGCCTTAAACTGTTTAATTAGGATTTCAGGTTGTATCGGGGTTGATTGGATTTTTCTTAAAGTATTTAAAGAATTTCGACTTCTATCAAATAAACAGAATTATACGCAGAAATGATTAGCAATATAAACAACCTGTCGCACAAAAACTAAGAAGTATTTAAAATATTATATAAAAAAACGAAATCAAATATTGCAAAATAATAATTAACTATAAAAATCGGAAAGAAAATTGCAGAAAAAATTACACCTACATTTAATATTGTAGAACTTGTCAGATGTAATGGACCTGTTTTCATTTAAAGCGGTTCAAATATCTACTGTCTTTCAAACTATCATGAGCAGGTGGAGGTTTTTACGGGTTTTCATGACATCACACTTGCTAATGTTATTTCAATTATTTAGTTATAAGAACCAATAGAAAAAAAATTGGATCATGGAAAAGGCTCATTTATTATATAATTATTTGCTTCGTCAAAATATTCACTTATTTCTTTAAAGATAATCTGGATTAATTTGATACTTCCATCAAAGAATTCATATAATAAATTCAATAACTTAATTGAAACCTTTATTTTTTCTCTGAATAATATTCTATTTTTGTAATTTTCGTTAGTAATAATACCTGTATACAATTTTGGATTGTTACCCATATGTTTCTCATAGTCTATTATGTTTCTCATAGTCTGTTTAGTTTATATTTCTTTTATAGATCAGTTGACGGTTTAGATTACTACATGTATATATTGTCAGTTATATTAAAATAAAATAAATAAGACATATTTTGATTTCAATTTTAAACTCAAGTCAAAAATCTTTATTTAAATTGGTTGCACAATACAACTCTTTTGAATCGTCCAATATTTTTTACCCTACCACCAGTTAAGTTTTCGAACATACATTAAATTTTCATAAATGTACTGAGAAGCAACAGTCATTATATCGATTTCTTTAAATTTTTCCCCACAGCAAAATACCGTATATCACACCTTAGATTAAAACAAAAAGGGTAGATACGGCACTAGTCTCACAAAAGTGATCCGCACCAATTGTGGTCCACGACCCTAATAGCTTTAGTCACAACTTGACATGCAAACGACGTACATGTGAACGCCAAAAAGAAATATTGCTAATATTTTGTGTTTATATGTTAAAACAATCCCTAAGTGTGTTTTAAAAAAGTGCTGAAATTGCTCAAGAACTAAAAATAAAACCCACGCACGGCATCACTTTTCATTCGAAGTACTATAAAATATATTTTTTCATAAAAATTGTTGTTTGTTTTGAATCTTATTCGGTAGTGACGTCGAGTACTGGTCGCCTGATTGGTCTGTAATGCAGTGACGCGGATCTCACCATCTCGTTTGCGCTGCCGTTGAAACTTAACGTGCTGTTTCGTTCGGGTCGGTAATGCAGTGACGCGGATCTCGCCGTTCGTTCGCGCTGCCGTGGGATCAGTTTTTGTTTGATGCAAGTATGAGCGTACCGTATCTACCCTTTTTGTTTTAATCTAAGCATCACACTATGAAAATAACTAAAATATACTAATCAAGCAGTACCTACGTCAGTTAATTGGCGTATCTTCATTACTGCGTAGGCTGCAGAGCTAAGTCTCTTCGACAATTTTTTAATATGTGGGCCCTAAAGAAGCTTCGAATTTAGTGTAATGCCTAAGAATACTGTAGTGTCCACAAGGTCCATATTCGTATCTTTGATAGTTACACTGGTTTGTGTCTGCTTTACGTTGCACATTGTGTTATTTCACCTCAAAATTACCACTCCCTTGATTAAATGTGAATCAGATAAAGCTCTTCATTCTAAGCGCAAGAGTAAAACTCCCACGATTCTAACTATAATAGTTTCGACGAAATCCCGGTTTTTCTTTTTTTGTACCACATTGTGAAAAAGAAATAAAAAATTTTTTTTGTCTAAACTATTACAGTTATTTTATTTTTTACATTGTATTTCAAAAGGTATTATTTTTATCCATATTATGAGTCTTCTATGGCTGTCCTAGAGCTTGTAGGAACCGAGAAATCGGCGATTTACTGATTTTGGTTTTTAATTTTTTGTGCTCATGTTATGCAATATTAAAGCTTATAATTTAGTTCAAAATGTAGCTAATAATGTAGACTATCAACTCAAAAAATAACAAGCTTTAACTCGGTGGTATATCGGAAATATTAAGAATTTAAATTTGTGGGACAATGTCCCACTTTTTGAAGACGTAGTTATTGTACTTTTTTGCAAGTATTAACATAATTGGATAATGTTACTCATTAAAAGAAGTACTTGCTGTCTTTAAATTTTTTTGCGCTGTATCATGGTGTACGTGAAGCTATCGATACAGCGCAAAAAAATTTAAAGACAGCAAGTACTTCTTTTAATGAGTAACATTATCCAATTATGTTAATACTTGCAAAAAAGTACAATAACTACGTCTTCAAAAAGTGGGACATTGTCCCACAAATTTAAATTCTTAATATTTCCGATATACCACCGAGTTAAAGCTTGTTATTTTTTGAGTTGATAGTCTACATTATTAGCTACATTTTGAACTAAATTATAAGCTTTAATATTGCATAACATGAGCACAAAAAATTAAAAACCAAAATCACTAAATCGCCGATTTCTCGGTTCCTACAAGCTCTAGGGCAGCCATAGAAGACTCATAATATGGATAAAAATAATACCTTTTGAAATACAATGTAACAAATAAAATAACTGTAATAGTTTAGACAAAAATTTTTTTTTATTTCTTTTTCACAATGTGGTACAAAAAAAGAAAAACCGGGATTTCGTCGAAACTAGTATAGTTAGAATCGTGGGAATTTTACTCTTGCGCTTAGAATGAAGAGCTTTATCTGATTCACCTTCAATCAAGGGAGTGGTAATTTTGAGGTGAAATAACACAATGTGCGTTGGGTAATAAAATTTTTAAACATTTAGCTTTACCTTCATTAAGACGTAAATTATTAGTGTTAAACCAAAACCAACACATTAAAAATGCAGTTACTATACATACCTAAGTAGCCTTACACAATACCTTAGTTCTATATATATACCATGGCTCCATCACCCTATTCCATCCACATACAGAATAGCTGCATTGGGATTAACTGTAAACTCACATTAGTAAACTGATATTCTTTGAACATTTTATCAAAACAGCTGATACTAAATATACTATCATCATCAGCCTATAATTGCTGGGGCACAGGCCTTCCCTATTGATGGAATAGGGAAATTAGGCCATGACCCACCACGCAGGCCCAGTGCGGATTGGTTGGTGCTAACGACTGCAGATGCAGCCGGAAAAACGTCTTAACGTGCCTTCCCAAGCATGAGGAGCCGAGATAGCAAATTTTAGGTCACTCATCAAATAATCGACCACTGCGAAAGTTGCTTTACTACAACGTTAGCAGCCGAAAACGCCAACCACTTGCGCCATCGAACTCCTTGCCCGGAGCCCATACGATAAGAATTGTAACGAAAGCCAATAAATTTCAATCTCTTCCGGCATTTATAAGTTATGGTAGATTAAGGAAACACATGACAACAAAAATTCTTACTAATAATTCATTATTGGCAAGCTGACCCTATTCTGGGCATTAGGTGGCGCGGGTTGAACGACGCCTACCTAACGCCCTGAATAGGGTCTGTAAAATCCAGACAATACTACCGGTGCAGTCATTGTTCGCACAAACGGAACCTACCGAAAGCGATTGTCACTTGTGTTCACTGGAGGCACTTCAGTAAAACATAATTAAGTATATAAATAGACACTAACAATTCACAGAACAAGACACAGTATTTATTTCAAAAAGATATGTCCTTGGCAGTAAATGAAAAAGTAAATAGCATTTTTGATCACTGCTGTTGATCAGCAACTAGTCATGATCATTTGTAGTGTCCTTCTGGTTTTGTCATGGGTGAAACCTTGCATCTTCCTCCCTTGTACATGTTTAAGTACAGTGTTTGAAGGAGAAGGATCGATTGGATGTAAGAATGATGAGAAGACCATAAGGATGTTATTTCGAGAAACGAAAGGTACAATACATACATTTATAATAACAATCATGTTTGGTGTTATCAAATAGTATTATTTTAGATGACTAGCCATAGAATATTATAATGAAAATGGTAATTGTCACTTAAATAATTTATTAATTAATTTTCATGAGAATCCACAATATTGTAATGTTTTGTATATAGTTTGAATAGGGGTGATGACGGGGTACAGCAAACGAAATTCTATTTAGTCCGTCAGTTAGATGATCAAAAAATAATGGACACATATTTTTTCTTTGGGCAATCAACCAAAAAATGACAAAGTTAAAGCGTGTCAAAGTTTGGGAGTAGGGGCTCGTGACGTCACTTTTGAGTGAATTTTCACTTATAAGTGTACTCAAACGTGACGTCATGTGACTTTTCAAATCAATATATCTCTGCAATGTTTATATTATATGAAAAAAGAAAAAATACGTGTCCAATACTTTTGGATAATCTACCTAATAAACAAAGAAAAAAAAATTAGTCATCATCCCTATTATGTTTACTTTTTAATTAAATACATAGGGAAGAAAAAATTCAACTAATTGTATCATCACTATATGTTACCTTCGATCTTCAACATCTGGAAGAGAAAAATATTTTTAAATCAAGCATTTGTTATTAATACATGTGTTGCAGAAAAATGAACCCAATAGCAAAAGAATTAACCCTTCAATTGCGGGAAAGCCTCCGCCTAAAACACCCCCCGCTTGCGGAACGATTGCGCGGCCGCAGCGCGCGCTCGACGCGGTTTGAAATTTATTCAATAACTTTAATAAATCGTTCGGTCGACATGCAGCAAAATATTTTATTTCAATTATAGATAGTCAATGTACCTTCTTTTTTAGTAATTTCCTATATAAATTGTTTCAACCTTTTTATTTTTAACAGGAAACATAGACTCCACCATGCCACCTTAGGTGGCATAAACGCGATTTGAATAAATTATACGAATACTTGTGCTTTTCATTGATAACCTTTTCAAAGTTGAATAACTAAACAATAGATTTTTGCAAAAAAATAATATACTGTTGTAATATAATGTTGTTAATAAACTGTTTTAAAAATTACTTTTTAGTTGCGAGCTCCCCGATACTCGATTTTAAAATCGTCGTACTAACGGTTGTTTGGTCATAAGAACGACTTCACTACAATGAGTGAATGGTTTATTCATCTGGGTATAAAATTCAAAAGACTTTGAACTGTATTGCATTGTATTTATTCCCAAAATTTCAAAAAATTGAATGCGGGTGACGAGCGAGCAGATCTACACTTGCCCAAACGGACTTTACTCACGAAGGCGTGCAGCGCTGCACTACAGCAATTGAAGGGTAAAGAATAAACAATGGTGCATGCTAGCATTTCAATAAGTTATTCTTATTTTTGTTATTTAATTTACAGCAGTACATATATCATTATCATACTTTGTAGGCAATGTAAAGGAGAGTTGTATGAAGTACCAGCTTATATTTAAAACGGTACTTCACAAGTTTTTGGAAAGCATTAGTGCACATGGACAGATAAAAATTCTTGCTTTTAATATTTTTCTGGATAACATTGTCATAGAATCCCACATTTACAGGGCTGTTCATATCTGCTATTGCTCTATAAAGCATGATAAGTACTCCTGTTTTTTATAAATAAAAATAAATAGCCAGAAGTGCTAGCATCACTTTGACAGCATATTCACAAATTGTCATTGAAGCTTCGAGCAGACAACAGGTGGGACGGTATGGCAACGCTCTAATGGCGTAATATTGCATCAACGCCATCGCGCCCAAGGTGAGGAGCTGTGTGACATATTTCATAATAACCGATACATTACAACTGTTTATATTGCGCCATCGTCGCATTGCCGTCCCGGACCACCCGCTGTCTAAATGAACCTGTTCTGATCAAATTACTTTCAACTTTGAAAATTTTTAATTTAAGTTGTCATTTATTTTATTTAATCAACACCAGACTGTAATGTAGTAATTGTGATTATGGACTCTGCATAAATGAAATTCCTCAAGAACAAACAGAAAAATAGTAGTAATGAAATGCCCCATTTTAAAGAATTAATCAAATCTTTTAATGTTAATCCTCTTATTTCCAATGTTGAAAATACTTTTCAGAATATTTAAAGCTCTAAAAATGCAATCAAATATGGGTGATTAAACATGACTGCAATGTATGTATAGGTGTATACATAAAAATACTTACTTTTCCCATCACATGCCACAATTTTCACTTTATCCACTTTGGCAACTTCCTGTACCTCCCTAAACTCGACATCATTCAACATAAATGTCCACACATTGTCACAAAATCTGCAATGAAAAATTTCAATTTAGTGAAGCCCTCTATCTTGTTTAATATTATTATAAAGGCTTCTGCTATTAATGTAGTTAATTTACTCTAAATCTTTAATATGCTTATATTTTAATTACCTGTAGGTATTAAGTTTTCCAGCTTTAAAAGTAAGCCTTGATTTGACCCTGTTTGATAGAGCTTGATTAATAGATTTATCAAATTGCAGCAAAACTTTTACTGCTAAAGCCGGAGTAATCTGACCATACTGAAATAAAGAAACTTATATAAAACACAACAATATCAACATTGAACCCTTACAAAATAGGTGCTGGATATATTGAAACTTACTTGAATCAATTCGTCAAGGCTTTCTTGTAAAGTATTTCCGATGGTAGTATTTCTATACAGTTGATAAGACATTACTAAAGTCTACAATTATTTGTACTTAGGCGAAAAAAAAATTATAAAGAAAAACAGCAAAAACACTACAGTTGCGGTGCAGAAACGAGAAATCAAAACCACAGATTACAGAGATTATGATCAAATCAAAACTGAACGTCAATGTTACAGCTTACAGATGGAATGTACGGTTTAAAACCACACGACACAATTTGATTGCCGATTGAATTGGGTACAATCTGGTCGTCCGTCTACACATACACAACAAGATCGCCAATTTCAGTTTTATTTGTTGCCTCTGCTGAACGGACTTGTTTGTATTAGGATGCCTCTTACCAAGAAGCAAAAAATTGGATTAATCTTGGCTCTAACTACAAATGTAGATGAGGAAAAAAGAAAAAGAAGACTGTGGACAAAACAATTAAAAGAAAGCAATTGAGTCACTTAAATGTAGTTATATTATATTGAAGTTACTCAATTAATAAACTTAAATATAGTTATACTTAAAGAGTAATATTTTAAAGAATATATAACTAGAAAAAATTCCACGCGGACCAGGCAGCAGACGGGACTTGAACCCGCACCCTTCGAAAACCCTTTAAAATATAACTGAGTTATATTTTCTTTAGATTTAAACATCAAGCAGTTACATGCTTTAAAAATAATAAAAATTATAACTATAATTGCTATTTCTTCTTTTAATGTTTAATACTTGTAAAAGTATTCATTTTACATTGTGGGCAAGGGCGGATCCAGCTTTGGCGCCAGGGGGTGGGTCATATAGCCAGCTTTGGCACCAGGGGGGGGTCATATAGTCGTGGTATATTAAAAGTACTTAAATAAAATCCCCCTGGGTTTGGTCCATCTGTACCCAGCCCTGGATCCGCCCTTGATTGTGGGTTACCTATAATGCGAAGAGATGGCGTTGCCTTGCAACTTAAGAATGGCTGGAAGAATTTTGACGCGGTCCGTGAGGGCCGCGGTAGCATAATTGGTCAGTGCATTCGCCCGGATTGCGAAGGGTGCGGGTTCGAGTCCCGTCTGCTGCTTGGTTCGCGTGGAATTTTTTCTAGTTATATTTTCTTTAGATTTAAACATCAAGCAGTTACATGCTTTAAAAATAATAAAAATTATAACAGTAATATTTTTATCAATATTATTCCACTTATTCCGCAAAATCTCTAAGAAATTATGCCTTGCTTGTTTATTTTTATATAATGGGTTAGACACATCCCAAAGGCATGGCAAGTCTTTACATATATCTAAAATCTCCTCCATTACTTCCCGTTCAGATCGAATAGACATAATATTGTCGTCATGTTGCTCCATCTTTTTCTTAAAAGACAAGTCAACACACACACCCGCTCTAAACGCCACTTGCACAGTGACTACGTTAAAAAATTGGCCAGTTATCGTCCACCAAATTGTATACAATTTTACGTCCAATTTGATTAGATTGACAATCGAATTGTGTTGTGTGGACGGAAATATGAAATTGAAGGTCTGTATCGCCCGATTCGGGATTGCCCAATCTAATTGGGTGGTGTGGACGCTAACTGGCCAATTTTTTAACGTAGTCACTGTGCAAGTGGCGTTCAGAGCGGGTGTGTGCGTTGACTTGTCTTTTGAGAAGAAAGATGGAGCAACATGACGACAATATTATGTCTATTCGATCTAAACGGGAAATAATGGAGGAGATTTTAGATATATAAATATAAAGACTTGCCATGCCTTTGGGATGTGTATAACCCATTATATAAAAATAAACAAGTAAGACATAATTACTTAGAGATTTTGCTGAATAAGTGGAAAAATATTGATAAAAATATTACTCTTTAAGTATAACTATATTTAAGTTTATTAATTGAGTAACTTCAATATAATATAACTACATTTAAGTGACTCAATTGCTTTCTTTTAATTGTTTTGTCCACAGTCTTCTTTTTCTTTTTTCTTACCTACATTTGTAGTTAGAGCCAAGATTAATCCAATTTTTTGCCTTTTGGTAAGAGGCATCCTAATACAAACAAGTCCGTTTAGCAGAGGCAACAAATAAAACTGAAATTGGCGATCTTGTTGTGTATGTGTAGACGGACGACCAGATTGTACCCAATTCAATCAACAATCAGATTGGCAATCAAATTGTGTCGTGTGGAAGGGGTTTTAAATAGAGTGCAGTTCCCGGAGCGTTAAATACATGAAACCCCCGGATTTCAGTTACAGTGAATGAAATTAAAAAATTCAAAATGAAATGTTCAGCTAATGATAGGTACATACATAAAAAGGTTTACCTACTTATTAAAAAAATGTGATCTTGAATTGTAACTGTAGGAATTCGCGAAAGCGCGAGCTATTTGATTTGATTTTAGAACATAATGTTCAAATGGCTTATTCTTTTTGTAGTAACTCTTATTTATTTTTTGGTGAGGTTTCAAATCGTACGTGACTACTGTAAGGCTCGCTCGTCTTTTTTTGCCTGCATGAGTGTGCCTTGCGGTAGTGTCCAGTGTGACCATATGTGGCAGGATCCTGCCTTTTCGGCAGGTTAAGCCCTTTATTTTCCTCTCTGGCATATATGTTTGACGTTTTAGAAATCTGGCAGTTTATCACCTTGGACGCCATGGCGATCACTTTATATTTTTTTCATAGAAATTATCGTCCTGCAGGATAATCTTTAGATAGCCTGACGGCGTTCAAGGTGTTATAGCAATATAAGCTTTTTTTATATATTTCGCAATACATCCTTTAATATGAGTAGGGTGCGGATCGACAAACGAAAAAACAGTAGGTAGGAATTTTAAATGCCAATGGCAACATTGGCAACGATACCTTTGTTTCGGGGATTTCCCATAACATCTCTAGTTGAATTTGTAGTTCATTTCATTGTGAACCTTAAAGCGCGGAGCATAATGTTTATATTACCTATATCTTTATTTGTCAGTTGTTTATGTAATTAGTCGGACTAGAAAAACTGTCGGAGACACAGATTTGTTTTGTTTCTGATTTCGTGTGGTGTGTGTGAATGGTTACCATATTACCATGAAACGTAAATATGAACGATTATATCGCGTAGAGTGGGAGCAGAGCAGTTAACTAACTACCTTTAAAGGAAATGTATTTAGGTGTCAACGTCAGCAGAGAAATCACTTGTCTAGCAAGAGATATAAATCTGAAACCTGCGATACAAACGTTTCTTGAGCATATGCAATCATTTCTTATTCAACTTTCAAGTCAACTAAAAACACGTCTGCCATTAAACACTCTTTTAAACAATTACAGTTCTTAGCTCCTCAAGACGTTGTATACAAGGAGTTTTCTTCGATAGCCAATGTTATAACCCAATTTCCCAATCTTGTTGATGAAAATACAATTCAAAAAAATTGATGACGAATACAGACAATTTAAACTTGATAATGACGTTAGTGATTTATTAGAATCTGATGGAAGTAATGCAAAGCCAATTCTAAGTGTTGATATAGATCGGCAACACTGCCCAAGTGTAAACTTAGCTCTCGATTCTTTTTATTCTAAATTGTAATAACAAGTTTGAAAGTCATCTAAAGTAACTTCAATGTGTAAATTACTGCTTGCGACATAAGTGTGATTGAAAGCAGTGTTTGGTTTCGTCCGTGGATATCTTAAATATCAAGTTTAAAGTTACTATTTTATACCCACTTATTCGAACTAAACATTTACTTGAGTTAAGTACCCTCAATTCTCAATTTATTTATAAGTCAAAATCAACTGACAGCGTCAATTTTGATTTTGACAACTGTCAAAATCAACTGACAGCACCTGTTTTGACATTGAGAAGTGGAAAGTGTTACCACATTATAAAATAAAATCCCTATTGGCGGAAATCCGAACGGACTCGTTCTTCAACAGCAGATATCATGACTGTATGCAACGGCTGTCATAATGTGGTCATCGACTCAGAGAAGATTATTTGTTCGATTTGTTCGGGTGCCTACCATTATGGCTGTGTGAACATTACCAGGGATAATTATGGTAAACTATCAGCCAGGACGAGGAATCTTTGGAAATGCCCTGAGTGCAAGATGCCGCGAAAAAGGGGGGATAACAGCAATACCCCCGTTAAGGAAGACTTGACTATTCCTGATGAACTTCCACAGCGAGAGGTTGAGACGGGGGGCAATCTCCAAAGACTAATACAAACCATAATACGCTCTGAATTGGCACCAATTAAAAATCAGTTGAATACACTACAGGAGAGTGTTGATTTCGTCAGTAAGCAGTATGACGATATTATCAAAACCACTAACGCATTGGTTAAGGATTATAATAACCTGCAAACTATATGCAGCAATCTGGAATCTACAGTAGCAACTTTATCGGAGCGCTTGAACACAATGGAGCAGCAGCAGCGAGATAACAACATCGACATTCAGGGAGTACCACAGCACAAAAATGAAAATGTCGTTGATATTGTAAAGAAAATAGCAGAAGTGGTTTCTTTAGAGATAGATGACACTGACATATTAAACAGTACAAGAGTAGCCAGTATTAATAGAGAGAGTAAGCGACCGAAAGCTATTATAGCAATACTACGGAGCACCCGATGTCGTGACGAATTCATTTCAGCAGTAACACGCTATAACAAATCTCATCCAAAAGAGAAACTCTGCTCCTCTCTATTCGGAATAGCCGGCAACAACGTCCCAGTCTACGTGTCGGAGCACCTTTCCCCAACTAACAAGTCTCTTCATGCTGCCACCAGGGCCAAGGCTAAGGATTTGTCTTACAAATTTGTGTGGGTACGAAATGGACGAATTTTTATGCGTCAAAATGAAACTTCTCCTTTTATTTATGTCAAAAATGAGAATACATTAAAAGCCTTGACATAATGTTATTTTACCTATCTTTTTTGTCTTTTTTACATGAATAATATTTTATGCAATTTTTATGTTATTTTAAATGGATGAATTATCAATTTATTTTCAAAATGTAAGAGGATTAAAAACAAAAACAATCGATTTTATGAATTCTATAATGATAAGTAATTATGACGTAATATGCATGTGTGAAACTTGGCTTGACGACTCTATAGCTTGAACAGAATTGTTCGATCAAAGATATACTATTTATCGTAGAGATAGATCACAAAATTTCATGAAGAAATAT